AAGTCAACACCTTCGAGATAACATCTCCATGTTCGTAGCGCATGCACAACCGCCAACAATTCTTGTTCGGAAGTTGTATAGCGCTGCTCAGCCGGTGAAAGCTTTCTACTCTCAATTGCCACGGGGCGTCCTTCTTGCAAAAGAACTGCTCCAATCCCTACTGTCGAGGCATCAGTTACCACCTCGTAGGGCTTGGACGGGTCTGGCAAAGCCAGCACTGGAGCATTGGTCAGCATGGTTTTCACCTCCTCAAATGCCTTCTGGCATTGATCGGTCCACTGCCAAGCATTACCCTTACGAGTGAGGGCAGTCAGTGGGGCGACTACGGAGGAATAACTTTCCAAGAAACGGCGAAAATAGTTCGCAAGTCCAAGAAATGATCTGACCTGTCCCACGTCCTGTGGAACGGGCCACTGTTGGACTGTCGCCACTTTCTTTGGATCAACTTTGAGGCCATCGTTGCCTACCAAGTGACCAAGGTATTCCAACTCGCGTTTGTAGAAGTGACACTTCCACAATCGAGCAAAGAATTTATGCTCTCGCAGTTTTCCTAACACCCATTTCAGGTGTTGCGTGTGTTCTTCTTCGGTCTTCGAGTACACGAGGATGTCATCCAAGTATACCAGGACGAATTGGCCGATTGCCTCCCGAAACACATCATTCATTGCTCGCTGAAATGACGCGGGAGCATTTGTCAAGCCAAAACTTAACACACGCCACTGAAAATGCCCGAACGGCGTTCTGAAAGCCGTTTTTGGAACATCTTCTTCGGTGATTCGTAGCTGATGATACCCCTGAGCTAAGTCCAGCGCACTGAACCACTGAGCTCCCTGGAGCCGATCGAACAGATCCTCAATTCGTGGTAGAGGGTATCTGTTCTTCACCGTAATCTTGTTCAAGGCACGATAATCTACGCACATGCGTAATCCTCCGCCCTTCTTGTTAACGAACAAAATTGGTGCTCCGTAAGGGGATGCACTGGGTTCAATCCATCCTTTTCTGAGGTATTCCTCGATCTGTTGTTTGGCCTCTTCGTACTCAGCTGGACTGAGGCGATACAGAGGTCGAAAGGGTGGAACCTTTCCTGGTTCAACAGGGATGGTGTGACCCACTGCGCGGTCAGGCGGAAGTCCATCAGGGATGGTTTCAAACACTTCCTTGAATTCCTCTGCCAGTATTTTCATTTGAGGAGGGAAATCCTCAATTGCTGGCTCCGAGGCCTCGACATTCTCAAGCTGTACGACGAATAGTGTATCAGCCGACTTAACAGAATGCCCGAATTGGTTGGCCAACACACACAGCGCGCTGGGACGTTCAGGCGTCTGTGTTTCAGTGGGCAAAGTATCATTGACTTGCCACTGGATTGCCTTTCCGTTCTTGTTGAACGAGACAATGTTGTACTGGAAGTCCAGAATAACTTCGTTGGCTCTCAACCAATCCATGCCCAGGATGAGGTCGACTCCTGACAAAAGTGGTAGGACATATACGCGAACTGTTTCGCTATAGTCCTGTACTTTCATGTCGATATGTGTCTGTCCTTTACTTGGAATGACACGATCGTCACCCAAGCGGATGGGACACGACGGTCCTACAACGAGGACGTTGCGTATCGTAACCCAAGTTTCATCAACAAGGGAAACCGACGCGCCTGTATCGACGAGAATCCTTGCTTCGTCCCCATTCATGCGTCCAGATAACAGTAGATTCTGTTGAAATCTTGGACGGATGGGACAAGCGACAACAAGTTTAGGAGGTCGAAAGTACACCCTAAATTTGTTGTGAGCGCGTCCAAACCTTTGGGATGTGGTCCACCAAACATGGTGCCCCTTGTCCCATGTTGCCAGGATATGCCATTCGTGAAATCGGCGGAACAACTCTCCTTTCACGATTCGAGTCACCAATCCCACTGACGTGAGCGGGTGCTCTTGGACACAACGGTCCACAATATCCATGATTGCTGGCAACTCGTTGAACGAGCAAGAGATGATTGAAAATTTATCTCTCAAGGATTCAATTGAGATGTTTTCAAGTGGGTATGATCGAGTTTTAAAAACAGATTTTTCATTAATAGAAGAGGCATACAAACAAGCGATTTTGCATGATGCAAGCTTCTCTAGCTTTAGCAAATCCTCATCACGAAGGACATAAGCCTCATCTACTCGATCTCGCTCACCAACTAGGTACCCACCCCCTAGTTGGACTTCGGAAAATCCTTCGGGCCCGAAGGGCCAGAACCATCCGGCTTCTTGCCCTGGTTGGGCTTGCCGGAGTTCTTGACGGACTTCCTCCAACGGCAGTGATAGGACTTGTGCCCGAGCTTGCCACAGATGCGGCAGCCTGCCGGGGGCTTATCCTCATCCTGAGGATCCTTGGCAGGCCCAGCATGGGCCCTCTTGGACTGAGTCCCAGAGGATTCCCCCTTCTGCTGATAGGGCCTCTTCCAAGAGCCACTGCCCCTGTGTGCCTGAGTCCTGTTACCACCCCCCCTAGGGCCTTCGGCACTAGGCTGCTGCTGAGCACGGGCGTGAGTCATGTACGCACGGAAATTCACATCCGTGTCAATGACCTGCTCCTTGCACTCCTTGTAGGTCCTCCACTGGTGCTCCCCGCGCACAACATGCACACGCTTGATGTGCTCAGGGAGACCCTTGAAGAACTGGTGGATGACCTCGCTCTCAGGAAGAGCAGTCTTCAGCAGCGACAGAGTTTTCTCAAACTCCTTGGCGTACTCGCGTACAGGCTGGTCACCACACTGGATGTTCTCCAGGCGGCTACGCACCTCGAGCGCCGGGGGCTGACTCAGGAATGCCGCCAGCATGGCAGCTTTGAACTCCTCCCAGCCAAAAGGATGGCCATTAGCCTCTGCGTGGCGCTTGTTGGCATACACCAACTTGCTCGCAGTGTCGTCCAGGGCAAGGGTTGCAGCGACCACACGAGCCTCGCTACGCACATTGTGGATGGACATAAAGTCCTTCGCAATGGAGAGCCAAGTCTCGACGTCGGTCTTGCCATGGACAAAACGAGGCAGGGTCGAAGGGCAGGAGCCAAAGGCAGTTGCTGCTGCAGTAGGAGGCTCAGCACGTGCTCCAGTAGGAGGAGGAACAGCAGGAGGTGCATCAGCAGGTGCAGCACGGCTGTTAGCGGCGTTGGCGACTCGCTCTGCTGCAGGAGCAGGCTGGTAGAGGTTTCCACGCCGGATCTCCCTGTACTGGGTCTGAAGCACAGAGATGCTTTTCTCCTGCTTCTTGAGCTGATCCTGCACGAACTGAAGAGTGTTGTGCAGGTCCTGAATGAGGCTGGAGGTGTCGTTTTCCTTAGGGATCAACTGCACCTCCTTGGTCAGCTGCTCAATCAAGGCCTGAAGCTTAACAGAATCAGCCTCCAAGTTCTGGATACGACACTGTTGCAATCCAATGAGAATATTCTGCTCCGTGAGTTGAGTCTGGAGCTTGACAGCAATATTCTCAGTTTCATTGGAAACACCCTCATCAGAGCCAGCCTCTTCCTCATTTTCAGCATCAGCCTCAAGGTCAGCTTCACTTCCATTGATCTCCATGTCAACCACGAAATCCTCAAGGTTGAGATCAATGTCAGCAGCAGCAGCAGCATTATCTCCCTCAGTGCCAACAACGGGCACCTCCTTAGTAGCATCCATCTCTTGACCAGCAGCCATGAAACAGGTTAAGGAGAGGAGATCTCAACAGATCTTATAATAATCTTTAAGAAATCTGATTACTCTTATAGAATAATCCAATACAGAATCTCTTAAGATAGACTTGTTTGCCAAATCTCTCTATCACCTCAATGATAGAGCAAGATATACTCAAGAGAGTAATCCTCAACAAGCCCTTTATAGATCTGAAGGTACACTCTTCTACACAAAGTAGATCAAGAGTCTTCCACCAAAGGTGGGTAAGAGAAATTAATCTCTTCAAATTTCTTCTCAATGTTGATGAAGAAAAATGAGCTCCTTGTAGATCTTGAAGCTCCAATGGTGTGTTGAGGAGATTGAAGCTTGAAGCTTGGAGATCTTGTAGAAGCTTTTGTAGATCTTGAAGAACCACTTGTAGATCTTGAAATTTCTTCAAAATCTTCAAAGATCTTGATAGCTCCTTGGATGAAATCCTGGATCCACAAGCTAGGATCCTCTAAAAAAAATAGTCCAAGTAGCAAATGGCCACACAAGGCCAAGGAAGAACCTTGCTCTAGATACCAATGTAATGCCCAGGGCTATTATAATGGCGGTTACAAGGCTTTTATAATATTCCAATACAAAATAGTAGCTTTAACTAGCCTTAATAGCCTTGGAGATGAAGATCTTCTTGATGCCTTTGATGAAAAGCACTTGGAGTAGTAGTGTAGGGAGACTTGTGAGAGAGCCCAAAAGGACTTAGAGAAACAATCCCATTTCCAATTGTTTTGTTGGAGTGGGAGGTTGAGAATGAGCTTGCTTAGCTCAGACCCCCTCAATACACCCCTTGGGGAACTATCCCAACCATGGTTTCCATGGTGGGATGGTTCCTAGGCTTGGAGCCTATGTGGCAATTGTGTTGGGTTGGAAAACCCAACTTAGAACCATTCAATGGTTGTGTTTAGGATAGAGTAGATTGTAACACTTGTTTGGCAGTTTCTGATTGGTTGGAATTCCAACCTTCAACATTCTCTTGGTTGAGTTGGAAATGTTCCAAACCTCCAAAGTTGAGGCTTGGCAAACCCAAACCAAGTTTCATCCCAACCAACTCAACCATCTTCTCCAACTCTTCCTTTGTCGAGAGAAGTTCTCAACAATTGACTTAGAGAGAGATCGATGGTTGTTAGCTCGGTAGTTAGGGTAATACGTTACATCCGTCGCCGAAGCCGTTTGCGAACGGACCCGACTGCTACGCTGGTTACTGGCCCGAATACGCGTTAAAGAGTTCGACGCGAATAAGCTATACGCGAGCGAGATCCTCGCGATCCTGCTCCAAGGCAGCTCCGCGAACCAAAAACGAGTCGGCGCGATGAACGGCGTGGATTCTCTCCTGCAAGCCGCGGCGATCTACAAATCGCGCGATCCGAAAACGACGGAGGAGGAGGAAATGCTGGAAAATATCTTCGACGCGCTGTGCAGCGTGGTGATGGTGGACGAGAACAAGGAGCGGTTCGTGAAGTCGGAGGGCGTGGAGCTGATGATCATCACGATGAAGCAAAGGAAGCTCGCGTATTCTTCGGCGATGAAGGCTCTTGACTTCGCCACCAAGCGCTGCCCCGCCGCCTGCGAGCGATTTGTGGATGTGCTGGGGCTGAAAACACTCTTCTCCGCGTTTATGAATAAGGTGAGCGGGTGAGCGGGTGAGCGGGTTAGGGGGTGAGGGGGTGAGTGGGGAAGGGAAGAAGAAACAGCGTGGTGATGGTGGACGAGAACAAGGAGCGGTTCGTGAAGTCGGAGGGGGTGGAGCTGATGATTATCACGACGAGGCAGCGCAAGCTCGCGTACTCCTCCGCCATGAAGGCCCTCGACTTCGCCACCACGCGCTGCCCCGCCGCGTGCGAGCGATTCGTTGACGTGCTGGGGCTCAAAACCCTGTTCTCCGCGTTCATGAATAAGGTGAGCGGGTGAGGGGGTGAGGGGGTGAGGGGGTGAGGAGGTGAGCGGGTGAGGGGGTGAGGAGGTGAGCGGGTGAGGGGGTGAGGGGGTGAGGAGGTGAGCGGGTGAGGGGGTGAGGGGGTGAGGAGGTGAGCGGGTGAGGGGGTGAGGGGGTGAGGAGGTGAGGGGGTGAGGGGGTGAGGGGGTGAGGGGGTGAGGGGGTGAGGGGGTGAGGAGGTGAGGGGGTGAGGGGGTGAGGCGGTGAGGAGGTGAGGGGGTGAGTGGGAAGGAAGGTGGGTTGGTGATACGGGGAGAGCAGGGTGGTAAATGGGGCCTGCTGTGCTGTGCTGCGCTGTGCAGGCTTTAGTCGTCGTCACCTCTCGCTGCCCTGCCGCGTGCTGGGACTCAAAACGCTCTTATCCGTGCTCAAAACGCTGTGTGCTCTGTGCTCTGTGCTCTGTTCTCTGTGCCCTTTGCTCTGTGCTCTGTGCTGTGTGCCGTGTGCCATGTGCAGGTGACAGTGAAGCGCAAGGACAAGTCAGAGACGCTTCAGCTGCAGCAGGAGATAGACGAGCGTGTCATCTCCCTCATTGCCTCCCTGCTCTGTACGTGTCATCTCCTCTCTGTACGTGTGATCTCCCTCATTGCCTCCCTGCTCTGTACGTTTCATCTCCCTCATTGCCTCCCTGCTCTGTACTTTTCATCTCATTTCCTAATCTGTGCGTACGGGTCATCTCCTTCACTGATTTGATGCTCTCCATGTGTCATCGCATTTTCCTTAATAGCTCAGGGAAAGACTGTATTACCAGACTCAACACCCTGTTCGACCTGTCTCCACCCCTTTGCACCCACGTGTACCAGCGGGGCTGTCCAAGGGGTCACGGCGGGACCGAGTGCTGAGCAAGTTCGTGGAAGGAGAGTATGAGAAGATCGACCATCTTTTGGAGCTGTATATGAAGTGAGTGAGGGAGTGAGGGCACGAGGGAGGGAGTGAGGGGGTGAGGGAGCGAGAGTGAGAGAGAAGATCGACCATTTGCTGGAGCTGTATTTGAACTGAGTGAGAGGAGAGTGAGTGAGGGAGTGAGAGAGTGAGTGAGTGAGTATCAAGGAGGGAGTGAGGGAGTGAGTGAGGGAGTGAAGGAGTGACGGAGTGGGAGCAGTGACTGTCAGTGTTAGCCCTCAATCTCACATTTTGTACTTGTACTTTTATATCCTAGCTTAGTGTAGTTTGCACTTTGTGTTTGGTTGGGTGTACACCCACATCCCAACCAAACCCAAATGTAATCACCAAGCAATCTCCAACCCACCAATTGGAGATTGCCTTGGAATAACCCCCAATCTCTAGGGATTGCCCCCGATTCCCTTCCCATCCATTACCTAGCTCATTTCGGATGTACTTAAAAAGCTTCAAGCTCATTACTTATGGATCGATTCTAAGCTCAGTTCTCACAGTGACAGCAGCACCATTCACTCCCTATCCCCCCCGTCCCCCTCTCCCCTCGTCCCCCCCCACCTCCCCCACTGGCAGGTACTGGGAGCGGGTGCGGGCGGAAGAGAGGAGGCAGTGCCATTCAATCCCTCCCCCACACTCCCACTCCACCTCTTCTCACCCCGTCTCCCCCAATGGCAGGTACTGGGAGCGGGTGCGGGCGGAAGAGAGGCGGCAGGAGGAGCAGCAGAGAAGACGAGAGATACTGAGGCAGCAGGGGGAGGAGGACGACGATGACGAGGAGGTGAAGTTTCCTTTTGTCTCTTACTTTGGGAGGAGGGGAGAGGGGAAGGGAATCGAGGGAGGGGGGAAAAAGGGAGGGCCTACCAACCAATCCCGGTCTAGTCCTTCCTTCCCCCTCAACTCCCTACTTTCCCGTCTCTTCTTCACTTTCCCCATGCCCCATTCCCTTCCCCTTCAGCTGTTTTTCTATCCCCCCCTCCCCCATTCCCACTCATTTCCTTCTCTCTCTTCACATATCTCCCTTCCCTCTCATTTCGTCTGTTACCTTTCCCATGCCCCCTCCAACTCTCTTCCCCGCCTCTCATCTCCCGTTCTCACTCGCACACACACATGCAGATGACAAACGAGGATCGCTATCCGGCTCGCCTGGGAGGCACTTTTTGAGGCGCCTAAAAAACCCTGTCCCTTCCTCATCTCCCTTTCTCACTCGCACACGTGCAGATGACAGACGAGGATCGCTATCTGGCCCGCCTGGAGGCAGGGCTCTTCACACTGCAGGTGCGCCCTCCCCCCACTGCAGGTGCGCCCTCCCCCCAGGTGCGCCCTCCCCCCACTGCAGGTGCGCCCTCCCCCCACCCACTGCAGGTGCGTGCCCTCCCCCCACTGCAGGTGCGCCCTTTTCTGCCCCCCACTGCAAGTGTGCCCTCCCCACATGTACCTATATTCTCCCCCAACGCCTGTCTGTAGCCTGTGCCCCACGCTTGCCTACTCCCCATCTCACTGCTTAGCGAGTGCACTGCTGCTCTTCTGCCAGCCCCCTTTCGCCTTCCTGGGGACACCTTCTGCCTTTCGAGTCGGCTAAAAAGTGTCCCATGTTTCCATCCACGCATGCCTACTCCCCATCTCACTGCTTAGCGAGTGCACCGCTGCTCTCCTGCCAGCTCCTGTTCTCCTTCCTGGAAACACTCTCTGCCCCACTCTCCTGCCTCTTACTGTGTCCCCTCCTCTTCCCTCCAATCACCAACACCCCCCCCCTCCCTCCGCCCCCACCCCCGTCTTTCGCCCTCCCCCTCTCCCTCCCCCCCGGGTCGTGTGTGTCACCTGTGAACGCCCTCTTGCGGGATGGGCCTCTCCCATCATTACTGCTATTACTACCATCAGCTCATCGCTCTCATCCTCGCCCACCTCTGGGCTGCAGAGTAAGTACGAAGCACACACACCCCCATGCCTCTTTCGAGATGTCTCAGTGCTTCTGGGTGTGATTGCCACCACCATCATCACCGTGTTTTGGGTGGTATCGCCGCATCAGCTCATCGCTCTCATCCTCGCCCACCTCTGGGCTGCAGAGTAAGCACACCCACATGCAGCCTGCCACATGCCATCAGCCATTGCCTCTCACCACATGCCATTCTACCAATGCCTCTCATGTTTCTTCACTTGCCTGATCAATCCCCTTGCAAAAAAACATATTTTTTAGCATGTCATGTCCCCATGTGTGGCGCTCCATTGCTTTCACTGCCACCACTCGCAGCCCCATTCGCTGCTCCCTGCAACCCTCCCTCCCCCCCCCCCCCTCTCTTACCATGTCCTCTACCCCAGGCACGTCCTTTCCTGCCTTTCTATCCATCACCCAAAATCATGTGTCGTCCGCGTACCATCTCTCTCTCGTCTCCACTCTCATCTCCCAAATCGTCTCCTGCTCATCTCCTCTCCCATTCTGCCAGGCATGGGGGCATGAGGCACCGTATCGACCTGCTGTTGCGACAGCAGAAGCTGTTTGTGAGGAGCTTAAAAAGCTTCTTTCCTGCCCATCTCCCCTCCCATTCTGCCAGGCATGGGGGCATGAGGCACCGTATTGATCTGCTGCTGCGACAGCAGAAGCTTTCAAGAGACCATGTGAAGGCCATTCTGCAGGTGAGGGGGATAGTGCAGGTGAGGGGGATAGTACAGGTGAGGGGGATTGTGTAGGTGAGGGGGATAGTGCAGGTGAGGGGGATAGTGCAGGTGATGTTAAGAACCTAAGGCAAGGATGATGAGATTAGGTCAAAGTTGGGGTACAAGACTAGAGTGTCGAGAAAGTTTCTGTACCCCCTAGTGCTAACCCCCATGCAGCCTAGATAACCTAAACATATATATATATATATATATATATAATTTGACACACCCCCATAGGCGAAATGGGGGATAGCCAGAGCAAGCAACGGTCACAAGACCAGTCAAGAGAAGAAACAAAACACAGCTCAGGGTGGATCACAACGTCACCACGCAGTCTGAGCACAAGCAAAAGGCCACAAGGCCAGTTCACATGCAGAGATATATACGTAACAACAACAGCACAGTGATCTCTACCTACCAAAGCAAGCATGCAGGTATATATATAGATCACAGTACAAAAAAAGCCTACAGCAAGTGAGGAAACGTGGGCACAAGGCCTAACAAAGTACAGAAACGCTGATGATCACCAGGCGGAAGTGCCTTGGTGAATATATCAGCAGTGTTGGCCCGAGTGGCCACGTAAGCAAGACGAAGCTGACCACGCTGCTGTAGCTCTCGAGCAAGGAAGTAACGCAGAGCGATGTGCTTCGTTCTGTGCTCCAGTCTGTGCTCCTGACACAAGGCAATGGCGGCCTTGTTGTCGACGTACAGCACTGGAGGAGAACGAGGCCTCTCTCCCAAGTCGGTCAGCAGGTAGGTGAGCCAGCGTAACTCCTGTGCAGCCATGGCTGTGGCGTAGATCTCAGCCTCACAACTGGAGCTGAGAACTGAAGACGAGCGTGTAGAACGCCAAGAAACCGAACCAGAGCCAAGGCTGAAGGTGTAACCCTGTGACGACCGCTGCGTAGCCTGGTCGTCAACCCAAGAAGCGTCTGAGTGCTTAGTGAGGACAACGTCGCACCGTCCTCCAAGCACGAGCCCCATGCCCGATGTACTGCACAAGTAGCGTAGTACCCTCTTAGCAGCATCCATGTGCACCTTTCGGTGCCGATCAGGAGCCACGTAGCGAGCCAGAAGGCCAAGGGGGTACGCAAGGTCAGGACGAGTGCAGGTCATCAGGTACATGAGGCAGTCCACTAGCTCTGGGTAAGGACCACTCGGCTCTACGGACTCGTCCGAAGGTGGAGCTGAGAGCAAGTGACCTGTAGCCAGAGGAGTGGGCTGTGTCGAGGACCAGGTGAAGCCGAAGCGCTGAAGGACCTGCTGCACGATGTGTGACTGAGTCAGTGTGATGGTGCGGCGTGCTCTGTCCCGGGTGATCCGCAAGCCAAGATAGCTTGTCAGCTCACCCAGGTCTGTGCACGTGTGTCTCTTCTGCAGCTCCGACTTCACCAGGGCGAGAGCCTCAGTGTCAGCAGTGGCAAAGACCAAGTCGTCGACGTACACGAGGATGTAGAACGGCGGCAGTGAAGTGTCGGTGCGTAGAAACAGCGACAGGTCAGCAGTCGACGGAGAAAACCCAAGAGCCGCAAGTGTCGCCCTCAGTGTGTCGTGCCACTCACGTGGCGCCTGGCGGAGACATCGGCCGCCTGAGGCTCCACTGGGTACCAGGAGGGAACGGCCCAGTGAAGCCAGGTGGGCGGCGCAGCCAGATCTCCTCGTGCAGGCTGCCCTGTAAGAAAGCTGTGCTGAAGTCAAGAGAGTGAAGCTCGTAGTCACGCTGGGCGGCAACGTGCAGCAGCACCCGAAGAGTGGTCATCTTCGGGGTGGGGGAGAAGGTCTGGAAGAAGTCAACCCCCTCTCGCTGACTGAAACCTCGAGCAACGTAACGAGCCTTGAAGACAGGCGGAGAACCTGGCGGCCGCTTCACCCTGAAAATCCACATGCGACTGACGATGTTCGCCCCAGGAGGGGGAACCTCGTCGACGTAGGTGCCTGTGGACTTCCAGGAAGCCATCTCTGCGTCCATGGCTGTCTGCCACTGAGAGGAGTAGGGACCCTCTATCGCCTCTGCGTAAGAGCGCGGAGTCGGGATGTCTGGTGCATCCGGGTCTCCCTCAGGGGCAACTAGCATGGACACGAGATGAGGTAAAGCAGCGGCAAAGCACTCAAACTCCTCCTGCCTGTCCTCAAGGACGTCCGTGCCAAGAGCACACTCACCCCCGACGGACGGAGGACAGACAGACTCAGACTCAGCAACAAGACTAGCAGCGTAGTCTAAACGACAGGCAGCAGCAAAGTCAACAAGCTCAGCGACTAAGGCAGACGCAGCAGCAGACTCAAACGACGGGTCAGTGACAACAGTGGCTAGCAGACGCGTGACAGTAGGGTGCTCAGCACGAAACCGGTCAGACTCAGGGTCTGGAACAACAGGCAGAGAAGACTCCGGAGGGGACGGCAGAGGAACTCGCTGCGGAGGAGAGGAAGGACGACGGACTACAAGGGAAGGTCCGGGGACAGCCGGCGGACGCTGACGAGGAACACGACGACTGGAACGACCAGAATGGACAGGTGAGACAGGACGCGACCTAGGCTCACGACGCTCAGTAAAGCCCCCTGTCTGCTCAGCGTAAGGAGAAGGAGCAGGCAGAGGTGAGCCAGGCTGTAACGGAAGACCAGTAGACGACGGGAGGCTAAGAACCTGGCGAAGTACGGAGTCAGGCGGTGGCAGAGACGACGGAGACGGTGGAGCAAAGAACAGGCGCGACTGTGTAGTGCCACCAGCACCAGCAGCTCCAGCACCCGCAGCAGCTCCAGCGCCTCCAGCAGCTCCAGTACCCTCAGCAGCTCCAGCACCCCCTGCAGCTCCAGCACCCTCAGCAGCTCCAGCACCTCCAGCAGCTCCAGCCCCCTCAGCAGCTCCAGCACCCTCAGCAGCTCCAGCACCTCTAGCAGCTCCAACACCCTCAGCAGCTCCAGCACCCTCAGCAGCTCCAGCACCCTCAGCAGCTCCAGCACCTCCAGCAGCTCCAGTACCCTCAGCAGCACCCCCAGAACCGGCACCTCCAGTCCCAGGGTCTCCAGCCTCCGTGTCTCCAGCAACAGCACCCCCAGACCCAGGGTCTCCAGCAGTAGCACCCTCAAGCTCAGCAGTACCTCCAGCCCCAGCAGCTCCAGCACCTCCAGTGCGAGCACCTCCGGGACTAGCACCACTCCCAGCTCCAGTGGTGTCAGCAGAAGTACCTCCAGCGGCTGAGCCCCGAGCTCCAGAAGCACGACCCTGACGGCGACCGTACCAGTCGTGCAGCTGCTGTGAGGTGAGAGCCACACGCGTACGAAGGCGGCTACTCCAAGGAGACCGCGCAGGAGCAGACTCAGAACCCTCAGGCGTCGCACCCCCAGACTCAGCACCCCCAGGCTCAGGACCTCCAGGCTCCTCACGCTCAGGCTCAGCACCCTGAGACTCTGCACCCCCCGGCTCAGCACCCTCAAGCTCCGCACCCCCACGCTCAGCACCCCCAAGCTCCGCACCCCCAGGCTCAGCACCCCCAAGCTCCGCACCCCCAGGCTCAGCACCCCCAAAGACAGCACCACCCCCAGTAGGACCTGAGTCACCAGTGACCTCAACAGGCGCAGGCACGGGAGGGTCTACCTGAGAAACACCTGAAGGAGCAGGACCTGGCGCGGGGAGGGGGTCTACCTGGGGAGGACCAGGGGCGAGAAAGAGCGGCGGGGGGGGGCGAGGGGCAGTGCGGTAGGGAAAGAGACGGTAAAAGGGGACGGACTCGTCAAAGGTGACGTCCTGAGACGGAAAGACACGGCGCGAGGCTGGGTCGTAAAACTGCCAGCCAGGTGCGTCAGGAACAAAGCCAAGGAAGACGTAGGGAATGGCGCGAGCGGAGAGTTTGTCCGCGGTGGTATCGCAGTCAAAGGCACGAGCACCCCAGACCCGGAAACGCGACGCATCGCCAACCTTCCCCGTCCACAGCAGTGTGGGCGAGGTCTCCGGCAAGGAGACACGGGGCCAGAGGTTGAGCTGATGCGCGGCGTACCGGACCGCAAACGGCCACAGAAAATGGGGGGCAGCTGCATGGATCATGGAGGTACGAGCGACCTCCATGACTAAGCCAATGCGGCGCTCAGCAACCCCATTCTGCTGCGGAGAGGCCGGAAGCGTGAACGTCTGGCGGATGCCGTGCTCCGCACAGAAGGCTGCCAAGAGGTCGGAGGAGAACTCACCACCTCTGTCAGAGTGCAGACGCAGGACAGGAAAGTCCGACTGGAACCGCTCGCGGAGCTGGAGACGAACAGCGCGGATCCAGGGGATCAAAACATCAGGGACCTCCCCCTTGCTGCGCAAGAGGAAGACCGTGGTGTAATGCGTGTAGTCGTCGACGACCAGCAGGAAGTACCGCTCGTGGCCCTGTCCACGGACGCGGGCTGGGCCCCACACGTCCATGTGGAGGGTCTGCAGGGGAGCCTCTGTGGGAGGAAACGAGGAGGAGTGAGGAGCGGCGCGCTGCCGCCCCTCGACGCAAGGAATGCAGGGCGGCGCAGGCGAGGGAGGGAGGGCAGGCAGAGACTCAGGAAGGCCAGAGACCAGGTAGCGAGAGTGCATGCTACGAAGGCGAGGCAGGGAGGGGTGACCAAGGCGGTGGTGCCACAGAAGAGTGTAGAGCGACAGGCGGCGACACTCACACTGAGTAGCTACCTGAGCAGACGCGTACAGCTGGGGGGACAAGGGGGTGTAGCGTGACGCAGTGGTGAGGGTGTACAGACTAGACCCAGGCGCACGTGTGAACGTGGCCAGGTGACGGCCGGTCCGAGAGCACGTGCAGATCGCCACACGCTGTCCTCCAGGAGTAAAGGTGTCAACCCAGTGTTCCTGAAGGACGGCGTTGCTCACCAAGTTCGTAGAGAATGAGGGGAGGTGGAGACCAGACAGCTCACCAGACGGGACCGCCGGACACGGAAGCACAGTGGAAGACCGTGCAAGCACTGGGCCCCCAGAGGGGTCAGCCAGCGAGACAGGAACAGGTGCAGGGAGGGGAGTGACTGTGGTGCTGTCGCGAAAGAAACAGCGGGAAGCACCAGAGTCAAGTGTGAAGGTGTGCAAGGCCTGTGCGGACGCAGTACCAGGGGGAGCAGAATCACAAGCACCTAGTGCCACAGGCGCTATACCTGGGGCAATACCTGGGTCTTGCGGCACACACAAGTAGCAGTCACCCTCAGCACTAACAGTCAATGCATACATGGCAGCAAGAATAGCCTCATAGTCAAGATCAAAGATAGGTACATCACGCCTAAGCAGGTCTGCCCAGTTGGGGAACTCAGTAGCATCAGGAAACTTGGCGCGCCAGGCGTCGCTAAGTCGAGCGAAGCAGCGCTGCTCAGTGTGAAACCCTGTGCACTGGCGATTAGCGCGGGGACCTGTGCGGATGATATAGGGGCAGCGACCAGGACCCCCAGAAGCCCCACGCCCGGCATACCAGTGAAGAAGCTGCTGGGAAGTGGGGGTCTGGCGCTGACGCTGCTGCTGCTGCGGCTGCTGCTGGCCCTGACCACCACTGGCACCACCGCTCCCTCCTCCCCCACCGCCGCTGCTGCCCCCTCCACCGCCCCCAGTGCCTCCGCCGCCCCCACCACCACCTCCACCCCCTCCACCCCCACGACCACCCCCACCACCTCCACCGCCCCCGCCGCCTGCACCACCGCCGCCTCCACCGCCGCCCCCACCGCCCCTGCCACCCCTGCCGCCCCTGCCGCTGCGACGCTTCCCACTAGGAGCGGAAGCAGCCCCGACCTCCTCAGCACCAAGGTAGTCGTGAGCAGCAGCTGCGGAGGCGTAGGAGGGGGTGAGAGGGGAGGGGGAGCACCCCTCAAAGAGGGGAGAGCGAGGAGTGCCACGAGCAGCACCTACAGCGAGGATGTTCTTCTCTGCTGCAAGGAGGTGCTTCTCGAACTCGTCGACAGTGAGAGTGGGGGGGTTTAGCGCTAGGAAGTGGTCCCTGACCGAGCTAAGAGTGTCAGGGAGGCGCGTAACGAGGAAATAGAGAGTGAAGTACATCGGGATGGGGGTTTGCGGCGCAGAACTCGGCTGAAAGGGCGGCATGAAAGCGAGTGTCAGTAGCGCGGAGGTGAGAAATGAGGTCCTCAGCAGTGGTGAACGAGGAAAGGTCGGGGAACAGGTAGGGTAGCATGAGCCGACCTATGGCTGCAGTGGCCGGGGAGGAGTAGCGTGCAACTACAGCGTCGTACAGTGTCTTAGCAGTTTTGTGCTGGCTGAAATGCGCGCGCTCAGTGATCGGCAGATGGTTCCTAATAGCTAGGCGTGCAGCAGCATCGCGAGTCTGCCACTGCGAGCGTTCGAGAGCAGGAGCATCAGCGGCAGGAGCAACGGCAGTGCCAGACACGTAATCGAACAGTGAAACGCCCTCTTTGGCATCGGTCAGAAGGAACAGTTGCAGGTCGTCTAGCCACACAGTGAACTCTATGGGGCGACCGTCAGGTTCAAACGCGAGAACATTAGGCGTCGTCATAACAGCAGTAGGCAAAGGCAGCAGAAAGCAGGCAGGCAGTAGACACGAGGCAGTAGGCAGTAGACAGAAGGCTAAAACTTAGGCAGTAGGCAGTAGGCAGTACAGGCAACGTGCAGGGCAGTAGCTTGCTGCACCCGAGCTCCTACGGTGGGGCTCTAGACAGTGGCAGGCCGTACAGTTCGAAGGCAGTGAGTTCGGCAGCAGTAAGCCTCACAGGCAAGTACACACGTAGGGCGCGCGCGGCTGCTGGCTGCGTGCGGCTAAGGGCCGCGCGTGGCTCTCTGCTGCGCGTGGCTACGTGCTGCGCGCGGCTCCTGGCTGCACGTGGCGACGGGCAGCGCGCGCGCGGGCGGCGGGCTCTACGTCGCGCGCGGGCTGTGGGCTCTGCTTAGGCTGCGCGCGGGCGGCGTAAGGGGCGCGCGGGCTCTACGGGCTACGAGGGCGACGCGGACCGGCGCGCGGCTCTACAGCAGTGGCGCACGCTAAAAATCAGAGACGCGCGCGGGAAAAAATAAGTGACGCGCGCTGCCGCCGAGGCGCGCGCGAGCAGTAGGCAAGGCAGGCAGTTAGGTGGGCCCGATTCGTAGGTCCTAGAGACCTCCTGCTCTGATACCATGTTAAGAACCTAAGGCAAGGATGATGAGATTAGGTCAAAGTTGGGGTACAAGACTAGAGTGTCGAGAAAGTTTCTGTACCCCCTAGTGCTAACCCCCATGCAGCCTAGATAACCTAAACATCTATATATATAATTTGACAGGTGAGGGGGATAGTGCAGGTGATGGGGATAGTGCAGGTGATGGGGTTTCATGTCTCATTTCTCTTACCACCCTTCCATTCCTGCGCTCCCTCACTGTGCATGTGCGGCATGATCAGGAGTACAGCGACAACATTGGGGACCTGGATGGGGAGGAGGAGCGCAACAGACGGCGCGACAGAATAGCTAAACTGATTGCCGATCTGTGATGACTGGCAGGCAAGCAAGCATGCTACATGGGAGTCGCTTTTGAGAATTCTCAGAAGATTTGTGATGTTTCGCAAGCAAGCATGCTACTACCATGTATGTGCTGCACGGTGCGGTGTATTTCGCTGCTGAGCTGCGCTGTGTTGCTACGCTGGGCAAGCTCACCACAACAACACAGCAGAGCATACCGGTACTTGATTTATGGGGACAGCGCTTGCTGGTTTGGCTTGTGTACAGATTTGTTACGATGAGCACAAAGTGAGCAAAAGTGTACAGCATAAGTGCAAGGCAATGCCATGCTGGTACATTGCTCTGCAAATAAAGTAAATAATTTTGTTTTCCTTTTCACATTCGAGCATTCAAGAATCTACCACCTACCATACGTGAGGGAACCAACATACCCAAACAGAAGCAGAGAGGCAGCTGAGCTGCACCCCACATCGCTAAACCCTGTGCGATGTAAGAGGCAGCTAAACCCTCTAATTCTTTCCTCACCAACCAAGCACCTCATAGGTTCCAAATTCCAGAAATTGGTTCATCTTTACAGTGGTAACAGAAAACGATCCAATACAGGAGCCTCTTGATATTATCCTATCCATAGAAGCACTAGGGACTCCTCTTATCGCCAGCCCTTCTTTTCCTGCTTCGCCTTCTTCCCCTGCTGCCCACCCTTCTTACCACCCTCACCAGCACCCTTTGCACCAGCAGCAGCAGCAGCACCCTTCGCACCACCACCAGCAGCAGCGGCATTGAGGCGGCGCTCGTGGAGGAGAGCAACACCGGCGGCCTTCTTGGCTCGCCCCATCTGCATGGCATCATACAACCCTCGCCTCTTGCGACTCATCAGCATGCCCCCGTACAGCCTTATCGCCACCCCTTCTTCTCCTGCTTCGCTTTCTTCCCCTCTTGCCCACCCTTCTTCCCACCCTCACCACCACCCTTTGCACCACCACCACCACCACCACCACCACCACCACCACCACCACCACCACCACCACCACCACCACCACCACCACCACCACCACCACCACCACCACCACCACCACCACCACCACCACCACCACCACCACCACCACCACCACCACCACCACCACCACCACCACCACCACCACCACCACCACCACCACCACCACCACCAGCGGCAGCGGCTTTGAGGCGGCGTTCGTGCAGGAGGGCAACACCAGCAGCCTTCTTGGCACGCCCCATCTGCATGGCATCATACAACCCCCTCCTCTTGCGACTCATCAGCATGCGCGCTGCTGCCTTGCCCCCATCCTCCTCATTCTCCTCCGCCGCTGCTGGCACTGCTGCTGCTCCTCCTCGCCTCTCCTCCTTGTCACCCTCCTCTTCCTCGTCCCCATCCTCCTCATCTTCTTCCTCCTCGTCTGCCTTGCCTCCCTCGCCCTCATCTTCTCCTTCCGCTGTGTTATCGCCCTCATCACCCTCCTCCCCGTCCTTGCTCCTCTTGCCTTGGACCAGTGAGGACGAGAAGGGAACCCCTGAAAGCTCCTTGGCCAGATCAGCAGCGTAGGCCTTCTCTTCTGCCGCAACCTGGTTAGCACAGCCAAGGCACAATCACGTAACACATGACGCGTCATGACATGTGAAGGAAGGCAGCGCCGCAAGTCAAGGGCCCTAGCCGACCCCCCGGAAAGTTGAAAGCACACGAGACAACCAAACAACTGTGAAATATTAACCCCTCAAAAAACGGTGATGCCCTTTTAACGGGTGTGCTCACCTCTGCAATCTTGGCTGCCAGTGCAGCCTCCTCAGCCTTCACCTCGTCCTCCCCTCCCCCCACCGCCACACTCCCCTCGCCACTCATCCTCACTTCATGGGCCCCCTCCAGCTCCATCAGCGCCCCCCCTCCCCCCATGCCCAGCATGCCCCCTGCCGCCCCCTTGTGCTGTGCAGCATCTCGCGCCGCTGCGGCCTCTTTCAGCCGTTGGATCGCCGCGGCATAGTCGGGTAGGTAGCCCTCCTCCTCGTGGTTCACGAATGGGGAGAGGTGCGGCGGTGGGACGCTGCTCGTGTGGTTGAAGGGGGGGAGGGTTTGAGGGGGGAAGCGGGATACTTAACACGCTTCAGAAAGCTTGGGAGGTGGAACAAGTGATGAGTCCCATGGACCTGGTCGGGAAGATAGCACCTCCAATCATGGTCCTCCTCATGATTGGCGAAGGGGGAGAGATGGGGCGGTGGCACGCTACTCGTGGGTTCAAGGGTTTAGCAGGGAAAGAGCGGGGGAAGGGATACTTGCACGCTTCTAGTGACTTGTGGAATGGAGTGAGTGAAGAGTCACATAGGCCTCAGAAAGCCAATAGGGGGGTGGAGGGGGCGGAGGGGCACACTCACAGGCCAGGGGCGTAGGGCGCGGAGGGCAGGAGGATGCGCGCATTGGCGCAGTCGAACACCCACTGCGGCTGCACGTAGTCCCGTGAGAGATTGCGGTGCTTCTGCTGTGGTCGGTCCACCACCTGATGGCGTGGTCGGGGGGGGGTACAGAGGGAGGAGGGAGGAGGGAGGGAGGCGGGGCAAAGCAGAGGGGATAAGGTGAGTAGCAGTCAAACACCCACTGCGGCTGCACGTAGTCCCGTGAGAGATTGCGGTGCTTCTGCTGCGGCCGATCCACCACCTGACGGCGTGGGTTAAGGGGGGGGGGGGGGGGGGGTGTACAGAGGGAGGAGGGATGAGGGGAAAAGCAGAGGGGATCAACTGAGAAGCAGTCAAACACCCACTGCGGCTGCACATAGTCTCGTGAGAGATTGCGGTGCTTCTGCTGTGGTCGATCCACCACCTGATGGCGTGTCAAGGAGGGGAGGAAGGACGAGGAGGAGGGAGGAGGGAGGAGGGAGGAGGGAGGAGGGAGGAGGGAGGAGGGAGGAGGGAGGAGGGAGGAGGGAGGAGGGGGGAGGGAGGAGGGAGGGGGGAAGGGGAAGGGGGGAATGGGAGGAGAGCTGAGGGAAGTTAGATAGGGATTGGGAAAGAGGTGACGACGGGAGAGCGGCAGTGTGATGGGAGAACAGGATGTCAGATGATGTCTGACATCCCACATGGTGTTGAGAACGTGTCATGAGAACGTGTTGAGCGGTACACAGGGACTGCCCACCTGGTGTGTGATGGATTCATCAGACTCAAAAGCCGGCGGTTTCTTTGGCGAGACAAAATGTCAGGCGCCTAAAAATCCTCTCGTTTTTGAGGCACCTCAAAAGCAGTGCTCACCTGGTGAGTGATGGCTTCGTCAGTCTCAGGAGCCGGCGCACCCTCGCCCTCCCAACTCGCCCTGCCTCCAAACGCGCGGATCACAAACAGCAGCGGCTCCCTGGGCACCTCCCGGCCGAGAAAGAACACAAGCCCTTTGAACAACCGCCGACACGCCCTCGTCTCCTCATCATCCTCATCCCCCTCCTCCTCCTCCTCCTCCTCCTCTGCCTCTGCTCCGCCCGCGCCTTTTCTCCCTGCGCCACCCTCTGCTTTCTCTTCCTCCTCATTGGCGTTCGCCTCTGCTGCTGCCGTCATGGCTGCTAGGCGGCTTTGGAGGGATGCCATTCGTGATGCTGTTGCTTGCTTGCGCAGCAACGGAAGCTTCTCCGATGCTTCTTTTTCGGGATCCACTGGGGGTCCTGCTGCTGCGGCGGCGCCCTCTCCTTCTCCTGCTGCTGGTTCTGCTGCTGTCGATGCAGCAGCAGCAGCACCGTCTGCCTCTCCCTCTGCCTTCCCCTCATCTCCTCCCTCATCTGTGCTCTTCTCAGCCCTCTCTTGCAACGCAGCAGCATCATCATCAGCAGCATCAGCAGCAGCAGCATCAGCATCAGCAGGAGCAGCACCGAGAAGAGCGGCCGAAGCAGCAGCAGCTGCCTTGAAAGCCTTCCTCTCTCGCTTCTGCCTCGCTGCTGCTGCTGCCTCTGCCAGCTTGCGCATCACCGCGTACAGGTCTGATGGGGTCGGAAGGGGGGTGGGGGGGAGGAGGGGTGGTGGGGGAGAGAAAATGATGGTAAACTCGGGGCTGCATGTGGCACAAGCACCAAACTTAAAGGCAGAGAAGTGCGGCCTGCTGCTGCCGCCTTTTGAGGCGCCTCAAAAGAAGTGCGGCCTGCTGCTGCCGCCTCTGCTAGCTTGCTTGCGCATCACAGTGTACAGGTCTGATGGCAAAAGACTGGGGAGCGGGTGGGGCGACGGGGAGGATGGCACAAGCATCACGCTTTGAGGCAAAGCGGTGTGGCTTTTGAGTCGACGAGGTGACTTTTGAGTCGACTCAAAAGTCACCTCGACTCAAGAGTCGACTCAAAAGTCACCTCGACTCAAGAGTCGACTCAAAAGTCAGCGGGTGGGGCGACGGGGAGGATGGCACAAGCATCACGCTTTGAGGCAAAGCGGTGTGGTCTGATGGTCTGATGGGGTGGGGGTGGTTGCAACGGATGGATGACAGCAGCACGGGACGAAAAGTAAGAACCATTGAAAAGACACAACGTTCATTTTTTAGGCGCCTCAAAAGTATAGAACCATTGAAAAGACACAACGTTGTGGGAAGGGGCAACCTTCTTTAGGGAGTCAGATAAAGGGAGCACATGGCGAGGCAGTTAGCAGCTTGAGCTAGTAGCAGGAACACAACATTCTTGGAGGTTGCTAAAACCGCGAGGAAAGTGTGAAGGAAGGAACCAGAGTGGGAGGAAGGAAGCAGAGAGGGAGCAAGGGAAGCAGAGAGGGAGCAAGGGAAGCAGAGAGGGAGCAAGGGAAGCAGAGAGGGAGCAAGGGAAGCAGAGAGGGAGCAAGGGAAGCGAGCGCACCTGCTGCAGCCTTCTCGAGGCGCGGGTCGAGGCGCGGAGGGTATGCGAGTCGCAGCTCGTGGTACAGCTTGAAATTAACGAAGCCCATTAGGGTCTGGTGGGGGGGGGGGATGTGGGGGAGGAGAGGAGAGGAGAAGGTGTGGGTTACAATGGTAAGTTGATGTTTGGTAAGTCAGCTCGTGGTAGAGCTTGCAGTTGATTGAAGTCAGCCCATTAGGGTCTGGGGGAGAGGGTGGGGGGGGCGTGTGGGTTGAAATGGTAAGTCGACCCTCTTTGAGTTAATCACACATCACACCCTTCCCCACTCCCGTTTGGCCGAAACTAGTTTGCGATTAAAGCAAGGGTGCACATTCCTAGGGGTGGTTTTCGGGTGTATTGGTTTGGTACACCCCTTAGGGTGCTATGAATGGTTGCCGAAGAGTCCAACCCATATGAAACAGTGGAGAGAGGGTTGGAGAATGTGCTGGCGAACACAATCAAATTCGTCAGCGAGTAGGGTTGGGGGAACATACGGCGGAAGGGGAGGCAAGTGATAAACCTTTGAGATAACCCCCCCCAAAGTGCACCCTTGCTTTAAGGGTTTTTCGAGGTTTGGAGGCTTTGAGATTTTCTTTTAATTTCTAGGAACAAGTATCACAGTCTTGATCCTTTTGCTAAGCGTTTTCTTACAAGTTAACTGCTACTCCCATTATGAATCTTGATCTTTGAGTGAATCACACATCACACCCTTCCCCACTCCACACCAACCTCTCCCGACTCACACCACCCACCCTCCCTCTTCTATCTAGCCCAGCACAAAACCAGCATCAACCCCCTCCCCCAACTGACCTCGTAGAACTCGAAGAAGGTGAGCATGGACCATCCCCCCTCGTTACACCCCTCCCCACTCCACACCAACCCCTCCCAACTCACACCACACCAACCACCCCCCACCCAACACACCAGCATCAACCCCCTCCCCCAACTGGCTTCGTAGAACTCGAAGAAGGTGAGCATGGACCATCCCCCCTCAACCACCCCCCCCCCAATCCCACAAGCACACACCCATTCCCCCGTCCCCTCAGCTAACCTCATAAAACTCGAGGAAGGTGAGCATCACTCGGAAGTCCACGTCAGTGGGCATGACCTGCATGAGCTGATGTGGCACCAGCCACGTCACCGGCTGCCCCACCACGTGCGCCTGGTAGTAGATGCCCTTCACCGACACAAACACCTTGCGCAGCGCGTGAGTCCGTGTTATGTACGCCTGCCACTCCAGAGACAGCCTGTAGGTGTGGGGTGTGAAGTATCGGGGGGGGGGGAGGGAGAGGGTTGGATGGGTGCGGGTGGAGTATGGGTGCGGGCACAGGCGGCTGCCCCCCCCACCACGTGCGCCTGGTAGTAGATGCCCTTGACCGACACAAACACCTTGCGCAGTGCGTGGGTCCGTGTTATGTACGCCTGCCACTCCAGAGAGAGCCTGAGGGGGGTTGGGGGGAGGGAGAGGGTGGCATGGGGGTATGTCACTGGCTGCCCCACCACGTGCGCCTGGTAATAGATGCCTTTCACTGATATGAACACCTTGCGCAGGGCGTGGTGTGCACGTGATGTATGCCTGCCACTCCAAGGACATCCTGTGGGTATGTGTGTGGGGATGTGGGTGAGCGGGTATCGTGGAAGCTAAAAAAACATTCCCTCTCCTCCTCTTCCAAAGACCCCTCCTCTCCCACTCCAAAACCCCTCCTGTACCCACCCCACCCCAAACCCCCCATCCCCCATACCCCCCTCACCTGCGCGCGTTGTTAACGCGGGTGGCGGGGATGCGGAAGGTGGCGTCGGCGGGCAGCGTGGCGAAGAGGTGCAGCATGGTCAATGCGTCGTCAAGGTCCCTGATCGCGTCGATGAACGATGGGTACCTGCGTGGTTCAGGCGAAGGGGAGGGGGCAACAGCGTGGGAATGGGATTGGGAGTGGGAGTGAAGCAAGCATTGTGGAGGGGGAAGGGAAAGGAGAGCCCCTCACTATGTGCGCCTCGTGGCACCTCTTGCTCCTTCACCTTCACTACACGCACCTCATGATTTCTCACCCTCGCTACACTCGCAGCCACACGGACATCTCTTTGACGAGGTGGTCCAGCGACACGTGCGGCAGGCTGCGCTCCAGCCGCCTCAGAAACAGACTCGTCAAGCACACCTCGTGATTACTCATCCTCCACTCACTCGCAGCACCTTCTCTTTGACGAGGTGGTCCACCTTCTCAAGTAAACTCAAACGAATATGACTCTGAAGTAAACTTGAAAATTTAGACGCATCCCTCGCTACACGCACCTCTCCCTGCAGCACGCACCTCTCCCTGCAGCACGCACCTCTCCCTGCAGCACGCACCTCTCCTTCACGAGGTGGTCCAGTGACACGCGGGGCATGCTCCGCTCCAGGCGCTCCACCTTCTCCGTTTCCAGCCGCCCCTTGGCCTTGCGGATCTTCTTCCTCTGCGCGCGCAGCTCCCTGCACGCGGTCGCGAGATGGGGGGAGAAGAATCAAGGGACAATCACAATTGGGTAAGGTTGGGAGGGCACGAGGTGGCTTTCAAGGCGCCTCAAAAGTCGTCTCCAGCCGCCCCTTGGCCTTGCGGATCTTCTTCCTCTGCGCGCGCAGCTCCCTGCGCGCGGTTGCCCGATGGGGGACGGGTTGAGACGGGGGACGCGGTCGCGAGATGGGGGACGATTTGGGGGATATCTTGAGAGTTTATAAAATATATTCTGGAAGTTGCAACATGAAGCGAGGTATGATCGAGTACAAAAGTGGGAAGTCGCATGTAACCGGAATACCATTACTTGATTTGACGATAAAAAACAACCAAATTCACCTAGTGTTTGAAAACAGGCAACCATTAGAGAAGCGTCCGTGCAGAAAGATGGGGATTCAAACAGATGGGTATGAAAAATTCCACCTTTGGAGCTCGAGCAGCGGTTCGTGCGCGAGGAAGCATGGCGCACAAGACATGGTACCATGTGGAAGCTGATATCCTTCACATGGTAGCACGTCTTGTGTGCCAGTCCGTGAAAAAAGGCTGGGGACTTAAGAGATTTACGAGAATGCCCACCTCTGCAGTTCCAGGAGAGTTTCGTGCGCGAAAAAGTTGATGTCCTTGACAAGGTAGTACGTCTCGTGCGCCAGTCCGTGCAAAAACATGGGGTTGTACGAAACTTATGACAGACCCACCTCTGCAGCTCGAGGAGCGGCTCGTGCGCGAGGAAGTTGATGTCCTTGACATGGTAGTACGTCTTGTGCGCGCCCTTGGTCTTCTTCTTCGGCTCGCGCGGGTGAATGCCCTTCAGGATGCACAGCCGCCTGCCGGGAGGGGGGAGGAGGGCGGGGCGGGGCGGGGCGGAGATGAGCGTGGGGTGGAGAAGCTGAGCGGCCGCAAGTCCTATCGCAGCGGCGGCTGGTAACAGGAAAGGCATTTGAATGAGCGCTGAGATGATCGCAGATCGACGGATTGTATCACTTGAGTTGCAATCAGGGGTTTGCTATCCACGCGAGGCGCCCCCGAAACGTATCAAAACCCTAACGCTCCTATTTTCGGATAACTTCAGCTGCGATGTATGAGTTTCCCGTATCAACTTGTGAGTCGACTCAGATGTATGTAACCTCGAATTTCTCAAACGCTAAACCCAGACGCACCTGAAGTCGGCTAGCTTGAGCTGCCGGCGCACGAGCGATGTCTACTCTCGAGATTACACTTGTACGTCAGCTTAAATGTAACCTGGAATCTCACCAAAACTAAACCCCGACCGACGCACCTGAAGTCGGCTAGTTTGAGCTGCAGGCGCACGAGCGCCTGATTGCGCGTCGTGTACTTGGCCGCATTGCCCTCCTTCCCCTGCTCCGCGGAAAATAGATAAGCGACGAAGATTAGCACGATGAAACGAAAACTATAGAGATCGCTTGAACCGGCTGCGCAACGAATGTGAAAGCAACGGAGAGGAGGACCACAAGCGCTAGCAAAGGAGATCACTTGAACCGCCTATGGCGAAGTTTCCTAGACGCCACAGCCATGACCCAGCGGCACTGACAGGGGCCAGCGACCGCACGCAACGAAAAATCCGACATGCATGCCGAAAAGTAACGTCCACTTACTCTCTTTTTCTTAAGCATGGTGCGCTACGGTTACGTGCTACAGCACGCGCAGCCACTGAAACTACGAGAACGCGGAGAAAACCTGAGGCTGAGGAAGCTACGGTAAGAGCGAAAGAGGAGGAAAGAAAGGATGGCTCCAAGGTTTTGAAAGGCCCAGGATTCAGGGTTCGGTAGATTTAGGGTGGGCTGGAAACTCGCATAATCTCCATAACAGGCCATTTGAATCATGTTCGTGCACTAAATGTATTCTATACGTTGGATTATTTGACTCATTGAAATCTACAATTGCATAAAACACCTCAAAGCTGTTCGACCTTGCAACTGCCTAATCTTAAAATAATGTAGTCAAAATATACGACTTATGATTTTTCTTTGCACAAAAAAAAATTTACACATATTGTTTGACTGCCAAGATCATAATGCTCTATTACTGTTCAATGCAAACAAAAAAATCTCTACACTAGGCGCCACAACACAGCCCTGTTCATCCGTCAGTTCAGTGCCAACAAAATCTGGCAACGAAATCTGGGAACCTATATATTCTAGATCACGTTACGGTATGTCATTCCAATAACAGCCACGATTAGCGAACGGCCACTCCCCACTGCAATGCACCCCCCACTCCGCTCATCCATCTGTGCAACCAGTGGCAGGCACACACACTTGGCTGCCAAGTGGGTCGACCACCTTGTGTTGGGCTTATTCCGATCCGATCACCCTTTGTCATGGTCATACCAGCCATGCCATGCCAAGCATGCGCAAAAGGCAATCAAGTGGGTTCATCATGCCCCTTGCTTGCTTGCCCCTTTAGAGGTTTCAGGCACCAACTCTTTCTTCCACCCACCCACCTCAGCCCTTTAGAGTTCAGCCCTTGCATTCCACTCCCACCCATTCAGGCCTAATTTTACGACCCCTAGGGACCCATCCCTCTCTCCCGCTCACCCACCCTCCCACCATAGGGGTTTCAGCCCCCATCCCTCTCCCACTCACTCACCCACGTTAGGAATTTCATACCCCATCCCTCGCTCCCACTCACCAACCCACTTTAGGGATTTCAAGCCCAATTCCTCTCTGCCACTCACCCACCCTATCACCTTAGGGGTTTTAGCCCCCATCCCTCTCTCCCACTCAAATACCCTCCCATCTTGGGGATCTAAGCCCCAATCACTCTCTCCCACTCTCCCACTCACCCACCCACCCACCCACCCACCAGCCCCCATCCCTTGTTCCCACTCACCCACCCTCCCACTCACCCACCCTCCGACTCACCCACCCTCCTACACACCCACCCACCCTCCCATTCACCCACCCTCCCACGCACCCACCCTCGCATTCAGCCCCCCTCCCCATCACTCACCCACCCAAGGGGGTTCAGCCCCCTTCCCTTATACTCACCCACCCAAGGGGATTCAGCCCCCTTCCCTTATACTCACCCACCCAAGGGGATTCAGCCCCCTTCCCTTATACTCACCCACCCAAGGGGATTCAGCCCTCTTCACCTCACTCACCCACACAAGGGGATTCAACCCCCTTCCCTTATACTCACCCACCCAAGGGGATTCAGCCCCCTTATACTCACTCACTCACTCAGGGGACTCGACCCTTCCCTGTCACTCACCCACCCAGCCCATCCCCTCACCTGCCAGCAGTAGGAGCAGCAGAGAGCCCACTTTCATAAAAGAAACAGCAACCCCTGAGGCTGAGCCTTGTGGGATGAAGTGTGGTAGTGGAAAATTGTGGGGCTGAGCCTTGTGGGGTTTCAGGCCCCCCTCACCACCCAAGGGGTTTCAGGCCCCACTCACCACCCAAGGGGTTTCAGGCCCCACTCACCACCCAAGAGGATTCAGGCCCCACTCACCACCCAAGGGGTTTCAGGCCCCACTCACCACCCAAGGGGTTTCAGGCCCCACTCACCACCCAAGGGGTTTCAGGCCCCACTCACCACCCAAGGGGATTCAGGCCCCACTCACCACCCAAGGGGTTTCAGGCCCCACTCACCACCCAAGGGGATTCAGGCCCCACTCACCACCCAAGGGGTTTCAGGCCCCACTCACCACCCAAGGGGTTTCAGGCCCCACTCACCACCCAAGGGGTTTCAGGCCCCATTCACCACCCAAGGGATTTCAGGCCCCACTCGCCACCCAAGGGGTTTCAGGCCCCACTCACCACCCAAGGGGATTCAGGCCCCACTCACCACCCAAGGGGTTTCAGGCCCCACTCACCACCCAAGAAATTTCAGGCCCCACTCACCACCGAAGGGGTTTCAGGCCCCACTCACCACCCAAGGGGTTGCAGGCCCCTTTCTCTCTCACTCACCCACCCAGCCCATCCCACCTTCACCTACCAGTAGTAGGAGCAGCAGAAAGCCCACTTTCTTAAAGAAACAGCAACCCCAGAAGCTGTGACTTGTGGAGAGAAGTGTGGTAGTGGAAAATTGCTTCCAGCCCAAGACTCAAATCCCACCCCTGACGTAGCCAGAGCTGACGCGAACCAGAGCCGCCGGCCGGTTGGCTCTGACGGTGTCCATTAGGCCTTGAACGCCAGATTGGTTACTTGAGCACCGAGTGCCGTGCCACGCAGATTCCACCCACCACACCTCACGCACAAGGCACAACCCCAGGAGATGCTGCCCCTAAGGCAGTGAACTCCCCGCTTGCTCCCATGCTCCCCACCCACCCACCCCACACTTCACCCCCATGCCTCCTTACCTGTACCTAACACAGCCGTGCAGAGCGCCATGATGCTGAGGCTGCTGGGAAGTGGAGAGAGAAGGGGGGATTAGCGGAGGGAGAGACTCTTCTGTGGTCCAGGCCGGGTGCTGCTGGGAGGGGAGGGAAAAGGGAGAGAGGAGGAGGTGAGTGAGAGGGTGGACTCCACTCCCCCGCCCTTGCTCCAGTGCTCCCACCTTCAGCCTGCAGGGAGAAGGGGGGAAGAGAGGGAGAGGAGGGGATCAGCTTACCATACCTCACCTGTAACCATACCACACCTGTTACAATACCATACCTTGTACCATACCTCCCCGCAGCTACATCTAGCCTAGCCTAGCCCCCCTTCCCCCACTGCTGCTACTGCTGCTGCCGCTTCTGCTGCTGCCGGTCTGCTACTCTGCTTCCCTGCTGCTGCTGCTGCTGCTGCTGCTGCCGCTGCCCCTCCCCTACCCTCCGCTGCTGCCCTGCTGCTGCCCTCCTGCTGCCCCCTGCTGCCCTGCTATAGCCTTCAATGTACTGGGAGGGAGGGGAGTGGGAGGGAGGCAGGGAAGCAAAGGGGCAGCAGTGAGAATGGGGAGAAGGGCATGCAGAAGCGTGAAGGCAGGGAGAAAGCAAGAAAGGGAAGTGAGCATGGGGAGAAGACCGAGCAGCAGCATGAGTGCAAGAGGGAAAGGGGCTCACCTTGTTCCAGACGACCCAATCCCGATACTCTCCCATCCCATCCCAGCCGAGTGGAGTGCTGCCCCCTTTGCCTCCCACCTGCATGGCCACAAGTGGAGGGGCGCAGAGGAGTGGCAGTGTTGCCCCCCACACCCCTCCCCTCCACCTGCAAGGCACACACACAGCAGAAGTGAGTGTACTGTGGGGGGACTACAGGCAAATCGGCTAGGCGAAAAACTGCAAAGGTAGAGGAGAGAGGGGCCACTGGCAGAGGCACAACCACAAGCCACAGACCCCCAAGTGAACCTGAGGGGGTGAACCTGAGAGGGCTGTGAGGCTTTGGGGGGGCTGAACCTGAACCTGAGGGGTTACCAGCAGTAGGAGTGGGGGGCTCTGTGGCTTGTGTGGCAGGCCCCAACCAGTGGCAAAATTTCAGAGGCGAAAGCATGAAGAACACATGAAATGCAAAAGAACTCGGAATGATGCGACTTGTCAGCGGGAAAGGCAACGCTAAGGAAGAGAAATACTCAGCTGGAGAGTCCTGTTGCTGCCCCTTCTCCTCGCTTTCTGCTGCCCCTGACCTCCCTCCTGCAGCTTGCCCTCCTACCACTCTCCCCCTACTGCCCTCCTGCAGCCCGCCCTCCTACCGCTCTCCCCCTACTGCCCTCCTGCAGCCCGCCCTCCTACCACTCTCCCCCTACTGCCCTCCTGCAGCCCGCCCTCCTACCACTCTCCCCCTACTGCCCTCCTGCAGCCCGCCCTCCTACCGCTCTCCCCCTACTGCCCTCCTGCTGCCCTCCCTCCTACCACTCTCCCCCTACTGCCCTCCTGCAGCCCGCCCTCCTACCACTCTCCCCCTACTGCCCTCCTGCTGCCCTCCCTCCTACCACTCTCCCCCTACTGCCCTCCTGCTGCCCTCCCTCCTACCGCTCTCCCCCTACTACCCTCCTGCTGCCCTCCCTCCTACCGCTCTCCCCCTACTACCCTCCTGCTGCCCTCCCTCCTACCGCTCTCCCCCTACTACCCTCCTGCTGCCCTCCCTCCTACCGCTCTCCCCCTACTACCCTCCTGCTGCCCTCCTGTTGCCCTCCGGCTGCCCCTTTGCTGCCCTGTTACAGCCTTCAATGCACTGAGGCTGGTGGGAAGGGGAGAGGGAGAGAGGCAGAGGCAAGGGACAGCACTGAGAATGGGGAGAAGAGCAGACAGAAACGCGAAGGCAGGGAGGGAGCAAGAAACGGAAGTGAGCAGGCAGAAGCGCGAATGACAGAACTGAGAAGAGCTTGTGAATGAAGAGGAGGAAGAGAGAGGGGAGAGGCCAAGTAGGGAAGTGACGTACCTTGAGAGGCCAAGCCCACCCCCATACTCTCCCTCGTGGCGCCGATGTCAGTGTGCTGCAGGGCCCTTCCCTCCCTCCCATCCCATGGGTACCTGCACGGCCACACGGGGAGAGGCACGGGGGAGTGGCGGTGTTGACCCCCACGCCCCTCCCCTCAACCAACAAGGAGAGAACTGAGGAGAAGTGATTAAGTCGATAAGGGTGGAAATGTGAGAGGGAGGAGTGCATGGGCGGGGTGGGTGGGATGGCAGGCGAGAGAAGACAAGGGGGCCACTGGTGCATCCTTAGCTACAAGCCACAGACCCAAGGGAGGTATATACCAAGGGAGGCTTAACCTGGGAGGGAGAATACCTTCTGTACCTGGGGTTGTTTACCTTAGAAAATAAAGGGTCTGTGGCTTGAAGCTGTGGCACGACCAGAGGCTCACGTTTGAAGGGAGACGAAACAGGGGATGCAGCAAGGACCAAAGTGGAAAGGAAATGAACAAATGAGAAACGGCAGCAAAAACTGGACTGTGGTAACGTGGAGAGAGAATGAGTGGGAAAGCAGCTCACTTTGAGGCTTGTGCAGCAGGGAGCAGCCCGCATGCTCTGCTCTCCCTCTGGCTGGAGTGCCACCCCTTGGCCTGCCCGCAAGAGCCTCTGCTGCAAGAGCGGACTCTGCAGGGAGAGAGACAGGGGAGCATGGAGGAGAAGAGCAACAAGTGAGTGCAGTGGGGGGGGGCAACGATTGTAAACAGAAACTGCAGAGGAAAGTGAATCACAGGGAGTGAGGAAGAGCAGAGGGCTTACCAGTGAAGGCCAACCCCCTCCCGATACTCTCCCTCATGGTAGCCCTCAGCTCTTGTCGCTGCCTCCCTCGCAGCCCCAGCAACACCTGCAACGCCACAAAAGAAGAGGCGCGGGGGAATGGCGGTTGACCCCCACGACCCTCCCCTCAACCGGCAAGGAGGAAACTGAAGGTAAGTGAGTAAGCGGCTAGGGCGACAAAAGTGAGGGATATGGAAGGTGAGAGCAGGAAAGAAGGCCACTGGTGCAGCCTCAGCTACAAGTCACAGACCCAAGGGGGGATATACCAAGGGAGGCTTAACCTGAAAGGATACCTTCTGTACCTGGGGTAGTTTACCTGGAAAAAAGGGGGTCTGTGGCTAGAAGCTGTGGCACGACCAGAGGCTCACGTTTGAAAAGACAAGAAAGGATCAACATGGAATGCGAGAGAAGGTTGGGGAGAAGTGAAGCAGGGCAGGGACTTAACTGTGGGTGGGTTGGGTGGAGAGCAGCTGCTGCCTGTGCACCCCATCTCCCCCGCCACTGCCACTCCCGTGTGAGCGACCTGATGGGAAGATGGGGGAAGGTCAGGACAGAGAGAGGGGAGGAGGGGGAGCAGTGGAGTGGGGAGGGCAAAGGGAAAGGCAACGACAAGTGACCAAAGTGAGATCAAAGAGTGCAGAAAGTGCAAGAGTGATGCGTGCATGAATGGACTGCTGCAATGGCACACCCAAGATGTTAGAATATACTTATACATGCATGCTCTAGTTTTGGGTGTAGTGTGGGTAAACACCCTAATTGGGGTGAACCCAAATATCGTAGCTTAGACTTGGTTCCAACCTTGTTGGCCAAGTGGGGTTGTCAAACCATCACTGCCCCATGTGCTGGGGCAACCAACTTTGGTTGGTTGGCCACCACCTTACTAGGGTTGGTTGGATGGTCCTTCCTCCCACTAGGCTACTTGGTCTTGGTGTCTTATGTGCTAGGTTTGGTGTTCCTCTCCAACCTTCTCTTGCTTGTATAACCTTGTGCTCTCTTGAGCTAATCTCTATGATTCTACTTCATAGTTTCTTTCACAAGAGACCTCGTACCGGCTGAACCAGAAAGAATTCTATACCTGAGGCTGTACCGAAATCCTAAACAAGCTACCTTGGGGGAGTGAGGTCTCTTGAGTGTGACAGAGAGCAGTAAAGAAGGAAAATAGATGCATGGTGCAAGCAAGACATGAAAAGCAACACAAGAGCGAGGGTTGGGAAGAGAGAGATAGGGTGGGAACTTAGCTGTGCGTGGGTTGAATGGAGAGCAGCTGCTGCCCGCGCACTCCATGTCTCCCCCCACTGCCAGTCCCACGTGAGCGACCTGCTGGGAGAAGTGGGAGAAGATCAGGATAGAGAGGGAAAGGAAGGAGGAGAGGAGAGGACGGGGGTGTGAAGGCGGAGCAGAGTTGTGAGGAGGGCAAAGCATGCACAATGTGGAAAGACAGAGAAGAAACATCATCTGCAGCAGTAGGAGGGGGTTGCGAAAAGAGGCACACCTTGAGAGGCCAACCCCACCCCAGATACTCTCCCTCATGGCAACATTCCTCCCGCCTTCCCCCCGAGTCTCGACCACCACTGGCACCTGCACGGCCACAAGGGGAGGGGAGCGGGGGAGCGGCGGTGTTGACCCCCACACCCCTCCCCCCAACAAGCAAGGAGGAAACTGAAGAGAAGCGAATAAGCGGCTAGTGGCAGAATCGTGAGAGGAGTGCACGGGTGGGGTGGGATGGATGGTGATAGAGAAAAGGGGGCCACTGGTGCAGCCCCAGCTACAAGCCACAGACCCAAGGGGGGAAAATACCAAGGGAGGCTTTACCTGAGAGGATACCTTGTGTACCTGGGATGGTTTACCTTAAAAAGGGGGTCTGTGGCTTTAAGCTGTGGCACGACCAGTGTCTCAGGTTTGGAAGGGAGGCAAAACCGGGGATGCAGCAAGGACTAAGGAAATGAACGAAAGAGAAACCGCAGCAAAAACTGGAGTGGTGAGGTGGAGAGCGGATGAGGAGGGAAGAAGCTCACCCTCTGGCTGAAAAAAGCAGCCCGCATGCTCTCCCTCTGGCTGGAGTGCCACACCTTCGCCTGTCCGCATGAGCCTCTGCTGCAGGAGCGGACTTGCTTCTGATGCTGCAGGAAGAGAGACGGGGGAGCATGGAGGAGAAGAGAACCAAGTTAGTGCAGAGGGGTGGGCAACGGTTGTAAGCAGAAACTGCAGGGAAAGTGAACTGAGGGGAGTGTGTGATGACGGGAGTGTTGAAGAGCAAAGCAGGGGCTTACCTGTGAAGGCCGAAACCCTCCCGATACTCTCCCTTATGGTAGCCTCCCGTGCCCCAACTCTTCTCGCTGCCTCCCTCCCAGCCCCACCGGCACCTGCAAGGCCACCAGGGGAGGAGCGCGGGAGAGTGGTGGTGTTGACCCCCACCCCCCTCCCCTCAACCGTCAAGAAGGAAACTGAAGAGAAGTGAGTAAGCGGCTAGGGTAGAAGGGTGAGGGGTGGACATGGGCTGAGTGGGTGGGATGGCGGGTGAGAGCAGCAGAGGGACCACTGGAGCAGCGCTAGGCACATGGTGCAGACCCAAAGGTAGTGAGGGCTATAGTAGACGTGTAGGGCTTAGGGTAGGCTTAACGTGGGGGCTGGGGGGGGGGATACCTGGAATAGGGGGTCTGCACCATGTGGGCTAGGCTGCTGCAAGTGGCTTGTTTGAGGAGAGGAGGTATGCAGCATGGACGAAATGATATGAGCGGATGCATGTGAGCGTGCACGTGAGACACTGAATGCATTGAAAAGGCGAGAGAGAAGAGTGTACTTATCTGGTGCTGCTGTGAGTGGCTGTGGTGCCTTGATGCTGCAGTGGTGCCGCCACTGAAGCGCATCACACCACCCAAAGGCGCTGCTGGGAGTGCTGGGAACTCGCCACCAGAGGGGCTGCTGGGGGATGGGCGGAGTGGTGAGCAGGGGGAGAGGTGGAGGGGGGAGAGGAGGGGAGGGGAGACTCGGAGGGGAAGTTAAGTGGCGGAGAGAGTGGGAGGCGGATGGAAAGCGACATGTGCAGGCGAGGCAGACAGGCGAGGAAGAGGGGAGGGGCCACTGGTGGAGATTACAGCCACAAGGCACAGACCTAAGGAAGACCTGAGGGGGACCTGAGGGGACTGTAAGGCTGTAGGGGGTCTTAACCTGAGGGGAATTACCTGCAGTGAGTGAGAGGTCTGTGGCTTGTGAACCGAGCTCCAACCAGTGGCACCAAAGATTCAAGAAGAGAGAGCAAAAGAAAGCAGCGATAAGAGAGCAGTGAGCAGCAAGCAAAGGCGAGTGCAGGGAGGACAGGGTACTTAGCTTTCAGTGAGGTGCACGTGAGAGTGGCCGCCATCCCTTGCTGCTCTCTCCTGCCTTCCCCTGCTGCTCCCTGCCCTCCCCTGCCACATCCTTCGCACCACTCCTCCTCCCTGCCTTGCTGCGTGCGCACCTGCATGGCCACAGGGGGGGATGGCGGTGAGTGGGCATGGCAGCACGCACAGCTACAGTACACAGAGCCACGTGCATGGATGAGCACACAGGGCCACGTGCATGGATGAGCACACAGGGCCACGTGCATGGATGAGCACACAGGGCCACGTGCATGGAAATCAAGCAAAGCTTGCTGCAGCACGCCACACCCAAGGGGGGAACCTTAGTCTCAACCTTACCTCGCTCTCACCATTACCTTGGCTGAAAGTTTTGTACCTGAACCGGGGGGGGGTACTTACCAGGGGAGGACGGTACCTAGTCCGAACCTGGTAGCTGGGGCTTGGGTGTGGCAGCGAGCAGGGCCACAGTGTTGGTGCTGTTGCTGGTGCAGCGAGCAGGGCGAGAGTGCGGAGTGCATGCGAGGGAAAGGAGAAAGCGAGGCGAGTGAAGGGCGAAGGGGCACTCATCTGGGAAGCAGGACTGTCCGTTGGCGTTAGCGTTGACTGCAGGACAGTCCGCACTCAGCAGCACCCAGCAGCACCCAGCAGCAGCCGCGGCAAGAAGCATCGCGCCCACAGCAGCAGCGTACACGTTGACTGGAGCAGCAGCAGCTGGAGAGAGGAGGGGGGAGGGGTGGGGGCCAGCATGGTATGGTTGAGGGGAAGGGGCGGAGAGGCAGCGGCAAGCAGGAGGAGGGCAGCAGAGGCGCACACATGCTGGGGAGGAGAGAGCGCCAACGACAGCAACGCCTGCCGCACCACACCCAGGGGAGTACCTTAGTCTGAACGGTACCAGAGCCGAACCTGTACCAAGGATAATAATTTTTGTACCTGCAGTGGGGGGAGAGTAACATGTTGGGCCAACCTGCATTGGGGGGGTTGTTTACCTGTTAGGCCGAAACTGATACCCGAGCGTGGGGGAGCCCTTGCGTGTGGTGGTAGGCAGGCGTGCAGCGAGAGACGCTCGTGGCAGCGTGGGGAGGGGCGCATGCATGCGGAACGATAAGGGGGTCAAGGGCGAGAGGGTACTTGTCTCCGTTGCAACACACCCCGGAGCGTTGATGCTGGCAGCTCATGCCACGCAGCACGAGGGCTCACTGGAGTGTGACGCGAGTTGGCTTCACGCCAGTAGAGAGGAATCGCCTTGAGTGGAAACGCATGCAAAACGCATGGATGCAGAGCAGGAGCCATGAGCATGCAATGCGTGCTTCAAGCGTCGAACCTGCGAGACAAGGGACATACAAATAGAAGTATAGGTGAATCGGTGTATATGCTTCAAAATTAGCATGGACGAAACGAAAACGCGACTCTCGCGGCGGGCTATGGTAGTCGTCTACTAGCCTTCCCACTGGCATCACTACGCTTACGTTGAAAGGTCGTTCATGTTCGCGAAAACGCGAAACTGAAGGTTCGTTGGTGCGTCCAAAAGGGCATCAAATCGAAGCAGATGTTCGTCGCGACGCCAAGCAGCAAGATCCTGCAGGAAAACGAGCAAGCGGAATCAGAGAGCTGAAGAAAACAAGAAAAAAACACCATATTAAGAGCGAACGGGCGAGAATGTAGATTGGGAACTTACTAACGACGCTCCGCGGTGAAAAGATACGCTGCTCCGCGAAGCTGGATCGAGAACGTCCGTACGTCAACGCAGCAAAAGCTCCAGCGACGAGGCCCGTGCGTGTAGCAGCCGAATAGAAAATGGGAGAGCAGAGTCAGTCTGGTCTGGAAGGAGACGATTGCGTTGAGAAATCGCGATATTGGTTGGGAAATGGGAAGTGGGTGGAGGAATCGGAACCGTCATGCGAGGGAGAGACTGGCTGGAGGCTGAATGGGAGGATTGGGGTCGAAACCTTCGAGACTGCTGCTCGTCCGAAACATTGTGTTTCGTAGTCCAATGGGGTTTCGGAAATGTTGGAACTTGGCAGATCGCTTTTAGCTAAGAGATCAGCGTTTTGTGACGAATGTCTTTTTACTCCTAGTGAAGGTTGCTCTCAGATGGGTGGGAAAACTACAGATACCCGCAAAGAAACGAAAACAACCAGAAAATCAACGTCGACGCCGCGTGTCCAGGGTTTGCAAGTTTCGAAACGAGGGAATCACGCCGACGCTGCTGGGAGGGATAGCCGTTGGTTGGGGGATAAGGGAAAAGAGGGGAGCGGCAAGCGTGGGATCGTTCTGAAACGGGAAGAGGGTGGACGGCTCAGATCGATTCAGCGAACATTTGAACAAGAATCTGGGCGCCAAACTGAGGTATTGAAACTTGGAGCAGCGAACCCTAGCCTAGCCGTTGCCAGGAAAGCTGGAGGTCAGGTTTCTGTTGGATGGGCTTTCCTGCTCTCGGGGAGTGTTGGCGAAAATCATGAGCGCAGTCAGTTGAACACAGAGGGAGACCTGTGATGGCGAAAATGGGTAGCCGTGGCGAAAAATGGTGGTGACAAAATGTCGGTTGGGGCTGGCGTAGTTGGCGAACACGAACTGTAACCAGCCTAAAGGGTGATGTGTGTGGAAACGATGAGCGGTTATGGGTCAGACCCATCCTGAATGACAACCAATAGAATTCCACGAAACATTGTGACGTGGCACGTCGAGCTAGAACTTGGCAGATTGCTTCTGTTCTGAATCAGGGGCCTCGATAAATAAGGAAATGAAATACATAGAACAGTTACGATAACGTAATACATAAAAAACATATCAGACAGGTGAGATTTTAAAATGGGAAGATCCCTAGAGAAGACCATTTGAAATACAAAGTACTTAAACAGCATAAATAACCAGAAAACAATGATGTTGTGTCGTATTTCCATGGGTGTTTGATTTCTGTTTCGTTTAACTTGTCATATTATACGGTACATTGAACTAATCATATACAGTTTATTCTAACTGGAGTAAGCGCATCCCTAGCTGGTTGACATCGCGACATGCGTACAGTGGAGATGCACTCACCCCATTGGACAAGATTCATCAAGCCGTTCAAAGGACCAAACCGAACCAACCAGCCATCAGATACCGAACCTGTCAGAGTGACCAACACCATCAGAGAATGTGCCAAACCTGATGTGCTGAAGAGATTCCCGAGGCGAGCCTGACGGTCGTAGTATGAGGTTTGCCTCGAGATCATCATCTAGACCAAAATAGTTAGGAGCCGTCACAAATCCACAGCTAGAATACAACTTCTACGAACCTAGAATTTTCTTTGTCAGTTGCGTGTGAACCAAGGTATCCTAGTCGCACGAGGAAAGGATCAGCGTCGTTTCTGATCATTCATGGTGAAGCTACTGTAGTCGTAACTTCACGATCCATGGTGCTTCGCTGCGTTGTCGGATCCCTTCGCGGGTAAGTCCATGTTGTCTCCTTATTTTCAACCGTTTGTAACGTCGAAGTCATTTTGGCTACTAGGTCCTTGCACCGTTGCGATTACTGCTCAGATTGCCGCCATATTTCTCGATGCGAATCAAACCCTAGTTTCTCGTCTTCTCTCCGTCGCTATAACTCCGTACATTATCGTCTCTGGTACCTGTGCGCGTTTTTATTGTTCGTTTTTTTTTTCTCCTGTATCTGTCTCACCTACACTGCTGATTTGAAATCGACGGTCACTCTTAACGATGTACCTTTTCCTTTTAGACATCTTGTCCTTTGTTTCCAAATCACTATTCTTCCTCCTGCTCTTCCTGAATCTCACTCTTTGCTATCCTCCCCCCTGCTCGTTTCAAATCCCACGATTTGCGTGAAATCCCTGTTGTAGTCATAATTCAGCAGGCGCCTTTTGAGTTGACTTATAAGTCACCTTCCTTTTGCTGGTTTCATACCCGACCGTTCAAGTGAAACCCTTGCTCTAACCATGAGCTCCAAGAGGCGCCCTTTGATTCAATTCAAAAGTCACCCTCCTCTCTGCTTCTTTCAAACCACTGTTCGCGTGAAACCCCTGCTCTAGTCATGAGCTCCAACAGGCGCCACGCCCACCGATCGCTCGCCAATGGACCCTCGTCGCCCACCCGCGCAACCATTCCCCCGGCCTTCCCCCGAGACGCCTCTCCGACCCCCAGAGGCGGAAGCGGAGGGCGCAAGCCGACCAAGAGTAGGCTCGAGAGCAGTGCTGGTCATCACGCCTCCGCTTACGTCAGCAACCCTAATTCTGCCGGACCAGCCCGGACCCACCAGCAGCAGCAGCCGCAGCAGCAGGGCGAGGCTTCTGTGCTTATCGGGACTGTCTCTACCGGGGTTAAGAGAGGGGATTCCAGCGTGACTGTCAGTGCGACGGGTAGGAAGGCAGGTGGGGAGAAGGGGGATTCGGACTCCGGGCAGTTGCGGCTCACGGGGCGAGGCAGCTCGACTGGTAAGAGCAGCGGCGGGGAGGACGGGGGGCTGTCCAACAGCAGCAACGCCCGAAGCAGCAGCAGCAGCAGCAGCAACAGGGGGGTAAGCAACAGCAGCAGCGGCAACAGCAGTAGCAGCGGTGGCAGCGGTGGCAGCGGAAGCAGCGGATGCAGCAAGGGGGGGGAGATGGGGACGGGGGGCGTGCGGGAGGTGAGGGTGGAGGCGATGTTCTTCGTGCACATGTGCGTCTTCCTCGCCATCCAGCTGCTCTGCCTCCACCGCTCCGCACTCCACGATATCAACTACCACGTCGTGAGTGCTTTGAACCGTTCATTACCGCGTCTTGAATGAGTTGCTAGGCCATGCGTGAGTTCGAGCTGTCCACGTTATAGCACATTAAGCAGCGCGTAGTAGGTAAGTCATTCGTTGCCTGTGCTGCACGTGTGCTATATACTGTATTGCACACGTGTGTGCGGATCGTCGTTTCTGCTCGTCACCACTATCCTCTGGTTCCTTTGCATCCGTCCAGTCCCTTCCGAATTCCCGTTCTCGAGCTTTCATCCCACACGCCCACACGCCCATACGCGTTTCCTCCCATCGCAGGTGCTTCTGGTCTGTCTGCTTCTCCTGCGCCGCATAGTCGCCTGTTTCATTGACTTCCACCAACCTGCCGCCAATAAAGCTCCCCAAGCTGCCACCTTTCGGCCTGCCAATAGCAGCAGTGCTAGCAGTAGCTTCCTCAGTCGGCTCTTCCTCCTGAGTAGCAGGAGGAACGAAAGCGCCATTCCACCTCCTGCCTCTCTCAGCGGTGCTGGCAACGCCACGTCTTCCGCAGCGGACAGAGTAGGTGATAGTGTAGCTCCTAGTGCGGTTAGAAGTGCAAAAGAAGCAGTCACCAGCGGTACAAAGGCGTGGAGGGTGAAGGGCAAGGCCGGGCGGGGAGGGGATGAAGAAACGGCTGGTGCTGACGGTGCTGCTGCCAGGGAGTCGTTTCCTTTGACTGGTAGCGGCATGGTGGCAGGGGATGGAGTAATCAAGGCAGGCAATCACCACCCCACGGATAGTTGTAGTGAAAGCGGTGGAAGCACCATCGGCGCAGGAGGGGCAGGTGGTGTGGCGGATTGCGCTGGGCAACAGCTCATCGCAGGAGGGACAGGTGGTTCAGGCAATGAGCTGTTGCCGGGAGACGATGCGACAGAGAAGGGGAACTCTCTGCTTGATCCGGGGCTTGCTGATCCGGCAAGAGGCTCGGGGCATGGGCAGTGGGAGCACCATGTCTTTCCGCCCATGGGCGTCGTCACTGGCACCTGCAGCTCCCTGCTTCTGGTACGCTCAGGATCTTCTCGCAGGATGTTCATGCCGCTGCTCGCTCCTCAGTCGAAGCTTTTCAATAGCAGTTGCTGTTGTCCAAGCTCCTTTGCTCATTTGCTTGTTTGCCTTCGCTTGTTTCCGCTCCCCTCTGCAGCTCCATGCCCTCTTTCATCGCCCCTCTCGCTTATTCCCCCCTCCCGTCCCTCCTGTGCTGTGCATCCACCTCCTGTTCTCTCTCATTCGCTCCTCGCTCCTCTCTCATCGCCCCTCCTGTGCTTTGTGTCACAGGTGGGGCTGTACGTGGCGGCCGTGGCTCTCCTCGCGCTCAAGCTCTCCCTCACCCTCCCCTGGCAGTCGCAGCTGCTCCTCTTCGTCCCGTGCGTCCCTTATCGCCTCATGTCGCCTTGACCTTGTGTGCCATTAGTTGGTTCTTGGTGCATTCCGCCACGCCACTTTTTGAAACCAATTTTTTATTCCCAACTTCTATACCTGTATGTATCCATTTCCGACCAATCCCTGCCAATTTCCCTCCACTTCCCTTCTTGCTCCTACCAAGCCGATCTGCTACTCCATCATTGTCACTTTACTCCCCCCTCATCCGTCCATTTTGCTCCAATCCTCTCCAATTCCTCCCAATCCCCCTTAAATTCCCTCCCAACCCCCCCTTGCCCTCACCAGGCCCGTTTGCTACGCCATCATTGTCGCGCTGCTCAACCACCAGATCAGGTCCCTTCATCGCGACGCCCCTCCCTCCGCCCCTCCTCCCTCGCTCCCCTCTCTGCGCCCCGCCACTCTCCTCCCTGCTGCTGTCACATCCGATAAGAGCACCACACCGTCACCAGCAGCACTGCCAGCAGCAGGATCAGCAGCAGCAGGTGCAACAGCAACAGCAGCAGCCCCCGTCTCTGTTCTTCCATCCTCCACAGTAACAGCTTCGCTTTCGTCGCAATCCCTACAGCAACCACTCCTGCTCCCTCAGATCCAACCCACATCGTCCTTTCCTCCCTCACTCCCTCAACCCCCCAGCCATTCATCCAGTCTAAACTCGCACTCGCACTCCTCCCCTCCCTCCTCCATCCCTCACACCTCCACATCTCTGCACGACTGCACAGCCCCACAGAAAATTCACACGGCTGGTGCTGCTTGTGCTGCTCCTCATGCGGCAGTAGCAACGCCCTGCCAGCAGCCAAGCGGTGTGCATCCGGTTTCAGTCAGCAGCAACCAGCCAATCAGCGTTCATTCAGCGTCACAACAGACAAAATCCTCCAGTGGGGAGCCGCCTGGGGAGGCGACAGGGGAGAGGGGGGGGAATGATGGCAGCACGGCAGGTGCTATGAATGGTAGCAGCACCGCTACCAGTATCAGCACCAGCACTAGCAGCAGCAATGCGAGTACTGGCATTGTCAGCACCAGCACTAGCAGCAACAGCACCACCACCATCAGCAGCGGAAGCGGCAGCAGAGGCGGCAGCATGAGGAGGAGCAGCAGCAGCAGCAACGCTGGGGGTGCCTCTGCATCGCCGTCTGACTTCACGCGCTTCACTCGCAAGCTGCGGCGCTGGCCCAAGCTGCTGATGCGCCTGGTGCTCGTGGAGGCGTGCATGGGGAGCTACCTGGTGGGGGTCCTCCCCATCCAAGGCACCCATGTGAGTCACTCTCTCTGCTCGTGTATGCATACCCGCCTATGTGCGTCTCTGCTCGTGCATGCATACCCAAGTGTGTGGATTGTTCCGCAAGCCCAAGCTGCTGATGCGCCTGGTGCTCGTGGAGGCGTGCATGGGCAGCTACCTCGTGGGCATCGTCCCCATCCAAGGCACCCACGTGAGTCACTCTCTGCTCTTGCTTCTATGCTCAAGTGAGTCTATGAGTCTTTGCGCATGCGTGGGCACCCAAGTGTTAGACTTCACGAGTGTCGGTAATGTGCTGCAAGCCCAAGCTGCTGATGGGGCTTGTGCTCGTGGAGGCGTGTATGGGGAGCTATCTGGTGGGCATCGTTCCCATCCAAGGCACCTACGTGAGTGTTTGCTCTGTCTCTGTCTCTGGTCGTTCTTGGATGTTTAAGTGAGACTTTTCTCATGCATGGACTGGACACCCAAGTGTGTGGAGTGGATTTTGCCTCAACCCCAAGCTGCTGACGCGGCTGGCGCTCGTGGAGGCGTGTATGCGCAGCTAGGGGTCGTCCCCATCCAAGGCACTTACGTGAATCAAAGGCAGCATTCAACCCCTCGCATGCAACACCTCGCATGCAACCCTCGCATGCAACCCTCGCGTGCAACCCTCGCGTGCAACCCTCACATGCAACCCTCGCATGCAACCCTCGCATGCAACCCCTCGCATGCAACCCTCGCATGCAACCCTCGCGTGCAACCCTCGCGTGCACCCCTCGCGTGCACCCCTCGCGTGCACCCCTCGCGTGCAACCCTCGCACCCCTCGCGTCCACCCCTCGCGTGCACCCCTCGCGTGCACCCCTCGCGTGCACCCCTTGCGTGCACCCCTCGCGTGCACCCCTCGCGTGCACCCCTCGCGTGCAGCCCTCGCGTGCAACCCTCGCGTGCAACCCTCGCGTGCACCCCTCGCGTGCACCCCTCGCGTGCACCCCTCGCGTGCAACCCTCGCATGCAACCCCCTCGCGTGCATCCCTCGCGTGCACCCCTCGCGTGCACCCCTCGCGTGCACCCCTCGCGTGCACCCCTCGCGTGCACCCCTCGCGTGCACTCCTCGCGTGCACCCCTCGCATGCACCCCTCGCGTGCAGCCCTCGCGTGCACCCCTCGCGTGCAACCCTCGCGTGCAACCCTCGCGTGCACCCCTCGCGTGCACCCCTCGCGTGCACCCCTCGCGTGCAACCCTCGCATGCAACCCCCTCGCGTGCAACCCTCGCGTGCAACCCTCGCGTGCAACCCTCGCGTGCAACCCTCGCGTGCAACCCTGGCGTGCAACCCTCGCGTGCAACCCTGGCGTGCAACCCTCGCGTGCACCCTTCGCGTGCACTTCTCGCGTGCACCCCTCGCGTGCACCCCTCGCGTGCACCCCTCGCGTGCACCCCTCGCGTGCACCCCTCGCGTGCACCTCTCGCGTGCACCCCTCGCGTGCACCCCTCGCGTGCAGCCCTCGCGTGCAACCCTCCCGTGCAACCCTCGCGTGCACCCCTCGCGTGCACCCCTCGCGTGCAACCCTCGCGTGCAGCCCTCGCGTGCAACCCTCGCGTGCAACCCTCGCGTGCAACCCTCACATGCAACCCTCGCATGCAACCCTCGCATGCAACCCCTCGCATGCAACCCTCGCATGCAACCCTCGCGTGCAACCCTCGCGTGCACCCCTCGCGTGCACCCCTCGCGTGCAACCCTCGCACCCCTCGCGTGCACCCCTCGCGTGCACCCCTCGCGTGCACCCCTCGCGTGCACCCCTTGCGTGCACCCCTCGCGTGCACCCCTCGCGTGCACCCCTCGCGTGCACCCCTCGCGTGCAACCCTCGCACCCCTCGCGTGCACCCCTCGCGTGCACCCCTCGCGTGCACCCCTCGCGTGCACCCCTCGCGTGCAACCCTCGCATGCAACCCCCTCGCGTGCACCCCTCGCGTGCACCCCTCGCGTGCACCCCTCGCGTGCAACCCTCGCACCCCTCGCGTGCACCCCTCGCGTGCACCCCTCGCGTGCACCCCTCGCGTGCAACCCTCGCGTGCAACCCTCGCGTGCAACCCTCGCGTGCAACCCTGGCGTGCAACCCTCGCGTGCACCCCTCGCGTGCACTTCTCGCGTGCACCCCTCGCGTGCACCCCTCGCGTGCACCCCTCGCGTGCACCCCTCGCGTGCAACCCTCGCGTGCACCCCTCGCGTGCAGCCCTCGCGTGCACCCCTCGCGTGCAGCCCTCGCGTGCAACCCTCGCGTGCAACCCTCGCGTGCAACCCTCGCGTGCATCCCTCGCGTGCACCCCTTGCGTGCAGCCCTTGCGTGCACCCCTCGCGTGCACTTCTCGCGTGCACCCCTCGCATGCAACCCCCTCGCGTGCAACCCTCGCGTGCACCCCTCGCGTGCAGCCCTCGCGTGCAACCCTCGCGTGCAACCCTCGCGTGCAGCCCTCGCGTGCACCCCTCGCGTGCACCCCTCTCGTGCACCCCTCGCGTGCAACCCTCTCGTGCAACCCGCGCGTGCACCCCTCGCGTGCACCCCTCGCGTTCACCCCTCGCGTTCACCCCTCGCGTGCACCCCTCGCGTGCAACCCTCGCGTGCAGCCCTCGCGTGCACCCCTCGCGTGCAACCCTCGCGTGCAACCCTCGCGTGCACCCCTCGCGTGCACCCCTCGCGTGCACCCCTCGCGTGCAGCCGTCGCGTGCAGCCCTCGCGTGCAACCCTCGCGTGCAACCTTGCGTGCACCCCTCGCGTGCAGCCCTCGCGTGCAACCCTCGCGTGCAACCCTCGCGTGCACCCCTCGCGTGCACCCCTCGCGTGCACCCCTCGCGTGCAACCCTCGCGTGCACCCCTCGCATGTACCCCTCGCGTGCAACCCTCGCGTGCAGCCCTCGCGTGCACCCCTCGCGTGCACCCCTCGCGTGCACCCCTCGCGTGCAACCCTCTCGTGCAACCCGCGCGTGCACCCCTCGCGTGCACCCCTCGCGTTCACCCCTCGCGTTCACCCCTCGCGTGCACCCCTCGCGTGCACCCCTCGCGTGCAGCCCTCGCGTGCAGCCCTCGCGTGCAGCCCTCGCGTGCAACCCTCGCGTGCAACCCTCGCGTGCACCCCTCGCGTGCAGCCCTCGCGTGCAACCCTCGCGTGCAACCCTCGCGTGCACCCCTCGCGTGCACCCCTCGCGTGCACCCCTCGCGTGCAACCCTCGCGTGCACCTCTCGCGCGCACCCGTCGCGTGCACCCCTCGCGTGCACCCCTCGCGTGCACCCCTCGCGTGCACCCCTCGCGTGCACCCCTCGCGTGCACCCCTCGCGTGCACCCCTCGCGTGCACTTCTCGCGTGCACCCCTCGCATGCAACCCCCTCGCGTGCACCCCTCGCGTGCACCCCTCGCGTGCACCCCTCGCGTGCAACCCTCGCGTGCAACCCTCGCGTGCAACCCTCGCGTGCAGCCCTCGCGTGCACCCCTCGCGTGCACCCCTCGCGTGCACCCCTCGCGTGCAACCCTCTCGTGCAACCCGCGCGTGCACCCCTCGCGTGCACCCCTCGCGTTCACCCCTCGCGTTCACCCCTCGCGTGCACCCCTCGCGTGCAACCCTCGCGTGCAGCCCTCGCGTGCACCCGTCGCGTGCAACCCTCGCGGGCAACCCTCGCGTGCACCCCTCGCGTGCACCCCTCGCGTGCTCGCGTGCAGCCCTCGCGTGCAGCCCTCGCGTGCAGCCCTCGCGTGCAACCCTCGCGTGCAACCCTCGCGTGCACCCCTCGCGTGCAGCCCTCGCGTGCAACCCTCGCGTGCAACCCTCGCGTGCACCCCTCGCGTGCACCCCTCGCGTGCACCCCTCGCGTGCAACCCTCGCGTGCACCCCTCGCGTGCACCCCTCGCGTGCAACCCTCGCGTGCAACCCTCGCGTGCACCCCTCGCGTGCACCCCTCGCGTGCACCCCTCGCGCGCACCCGTCGCGTGCACCCGTCGCGTGCACCCCTCGCGTGCACCCCTCCCGTGCACCCCTCGCGTGCACCCCTCGCGTGCACCCCTCGCGTGCACCCCTCGCGTGCACCCCTCGCGTGCAACCCTCGCGTGCACCCCTCGCGTGCACCCCTCGCGTGCAACCCTCGCGTGCAACCCTCGCGTGCAACCCTCGCGTGCACCCCTCGCGTGCACCCCTCGCGGGCACCCCTCGCGTGCAACCCTCGCGTGCAACCCTCGCGTGCAACCCCTCGCATGCAACCCCTCGCGTGCACCCCTCGCATGCAACCCTTTGCTCAAACCCAGATACCCCGCTTGCCACTTGCCCTACCGCCTAACAACTTCCCTCTCTTTGCCCCGCTCCCCACCCAGATGCACGAGGATACCCTCTTGAGCCACCTGACGGTGTGTTGCTGGGGTACGCGTTTGTGGGGGCGGACATGCTATCTCCTCGTGAAGGGTGCTGTGGTGCAGTGCTCAAATCAGACCCCTAATGGCCCCTCCTCCCCCTCCCCCCAACCTGTCTTTCAGATGCACGAGGGCATACTAGTGGTGCTTGCTGCTGGTGTACGCGTTTGTGGGGGCCGCCATGCTGCTGCTTATGAAGGAGGCGGTGCTGCGCTGCTCAACTCAAACCCTTAATGCCCCCTTGCCCCCTTGCCACCTCCTCCCCTTGTCTTCCAGATGCACTAGTGAGCCGCCTCTCATGCTGTCTGCTGCTGGTGTTCGCGTTTGTGGGGGCGGCCATGCTGCTTATGAAGGAGGCGGTGCTGCGTCCCCCCTCAAACCCCCCCCCTCCCTCTACACCCCCAACCTGTCTTTTCAGATGCACGAGGACATACTAGTGAGCCGCCTCTCTTGCTGTCTGCTGCTGGGGTACGCGTTTGTGGGGGCGGCCATGCTGTTGCTCATGAAGGAGGCGGTGCTGCGGCGGGAGCAGGTGGAGTATGTGGCAGCACACCTGGGGTGCTGGCACCGCGTGGACGTACCAAATTTCACCATCAGCAGGTGAGGGGAGCGCCACATTGTCAGTTGTTGTGCAGAGCTGCAGTTCTACCCTGTAGGCTGTAGCCTTGGGCCACTGGGTAGCGTGGTTGTGAGGAGGGAGCAGGTGGAGTATGTGGCGGCGCACCTGGGGTGCTGGCACCGCGTGGACGTGCCCAACTTCACCATCAGCAGGTGCGTGCGTGTTGTGCCAACTTCAGCATTAGCAGGTGAGATGAGCGCCCTATTGGCATGGTTTGAGAAGGGCCAGGGAGCAGGCAGCAGGTGGAGTACGTGGCGGCGCACCTGGGGTGCTGGCACCGCGTGGACGTGCCCAACTTCACCATCAGCAGGTGCGAGGCACATTGCCGAGGGTTGTGCGAGGCTGCTGTTCTGCCCTGTAGCCTAGCCTCAGGTGAGCTTGTGGGCCCTGAGGAGGCTGATGGGGGCGTGGTCCTCAGGAGGGCAGCAGGTGGAGTATGTGGCGGCACACCTGGGGTGCTGGCACCGCGTGGACGTGCCAAATTTCACCATCAGCAGGTGCGTGTGTGTGTGTGAGAGAAGTAACGCCACGTTGCCATGGGCTGTGCAGAGCTACTGTTCTGCCCTGAGGCCTTGGGCCAGTGGGTAACGTGGTTGCCAGCAGGGAGCTGGGGAGTATGTGGTGCGTGCATGCACCTGGGGTGCTGGCACCGCGTGGACGTGCCCAACTTCACCATCAGCAGGTGAGCTTGTGGGTTGTGCGAGGCTGCTTCTCTGCCCTGTAGCCTCAGGTGAGCTTGCGGGCCTTGAGGCTGATGGAGGGGCGGTCCTTAGGAGTGGAGCAGGTGGAGTATGTGGCGGCGCACCTGGGGTGCTGGCACCACGTGGACGTGCCCAACTTCACCATCAGTAGGTGGGTGTGGGAGAGCAGGTGAGAGGAGCGCCTCTGCTCTGTTCTGCCCTGGGGCCTCAGCAGTGTGCCGTACAGCGAGGGTGCCATCGTGCAGCGAGAGTGGGGGTGTGTGAAGGGAGGGGCTACACCCTCCTTGCCCACAGTGTCTCCTTGGCCTCAATGTTTCCTTCTCTCTCAATGTCGCCGTGCATGCAGGGACGTGGCAGAGTGGAATCCCCACAGTGTGCCGTACAGTGAGGGAGCCATCGTGCAGTGGGGGGGGGGGGGAAGGGAGAAAGGGCGCTACACCCTCCTTGCCCATAGCGTCTCCATGCCTTCAATGTTTCCTTATCCCCAATTGCCACCACACCAGGGACGTGGCGGAGTGGAACCCCCACAGTGTGCCGTACAGTGAGGGAGCCATTGTGCAGCGAGGGGGGCGTCTCTTTGTGGGTCTCGGCAGGTTCAACACCGCCCAGCCCGGCTCGCTCTCCGCCGCCCTCCTCTTTGTAACTCCCCGAAGCCTTCATTCACTTTATGCTCGATCTTGTAGTTCTAGAGCTCATGCTCGAGAGTTTCATCTCTGGGGTAATGCGTTGTGTCAAAGCAGTTGTGTTTCGACTCGTACATCCCGCCCGTCTCTCATTTACCCCCCTGTTTCTCATATCCCCCCCATGTGCCTTTCTCGCCTGCAGCTGCTGCACCACCAGCCGCTTGTCTTCTCCAACTGGGTCGTCGGCACTCAGATCTGCGTCTCGGTGAGCACCCAGGCTTAGTTGACTTCACACCCCTCCCCTCCCACCTATATATATATATATATAGCTTCACTTCTATCCTCATCCGGCCTGTCGTTCAACGATCGCTGTGTCCTGTCCTTAACTAATGCACCACCAGCTGATGCCCCTTGATGCGTAGATATAAGATCGCCCCTCTGTTGCACTCCTGTATTGCCCCTCCATCCACCCAGTCTTCCCCATCCTTATTTGAGTCGATTCAAAATTAGGCGCGCACCAACGTTATTGCTCACGTGCTGATGCCATTGTCCCGCACGTGCACCCTAAACCCTAAATGTTCTACCCGAAACCATCTCCAGGCGTCGCAGGTGCTGCTGCTGCTGGTGTGGTCGAGGTGGTGGGAGGGGTATGCAGTGATGGCTCTGGTGGGATACCACTCGCTGCTCTTCTTCCTCTCCTGCCGCCACCTCTGCAACGCGCAGCAGCAGGCGGTGTCAGCGCAGCAGCAGCAGCGCCAGCAGCAGCTCTTGCAACACCAACAGCCGCAGCAGCTGCCGCAGCAGCAGTCACAGCAGCTGCAGCAGCAGCAGCACTCAGAGAAGAGTGGGCACAGCAAGAGTGGCAGTCATGGGTTGTGCAATGGTGCGGTTGGAAGCAAGGATAAAGGTGTTCAGGCGAAAGCACTGGGCCTTAAGTCAAAGACTGAAAGGGGGGTGTCACATGGAGTGGTTACTGCACATGTACGGTAAATGTCTGAAACTCTGGCAAGTTTGGGACAATGAAATGACTAGTCCTCTAGAGGACTGGTTGCGGACTGACGCATGTGGATAATGGATAATTGTGCTCTCCAACAGATGTTCTTCGGCTCTGTCAAATTGGAGGACATAGTGTGCAGAGATTCCTAGAAGTATCTTTGTAAGACTGAGGATCACTTGGAGTAGATTGGACATCACGTTGGATATATATGCCCACTAGCAGATCAACTCTTGGGACTTGTTTTTTCCGCATCACAAGCTGCAGCGTGGTTCAAACAAATTTGCCGAGAGGAGATTGTCAGATGTGCGGCGGTGATACGCCTTGGTCTCTGAATCTGACAGTTATGAGGTGTCAGGGTGTGGCACATCCAACACATCAGCCCTGTTCGATAGGCTAACACTTTGCAAAAGGCGAGGGTTAGGCTAGTGTTAAGAGGAGGGATCACCGCAATTTCCTCTAGCTAACCGAATCGGAAGCCCCGCCCCTAGAAATCGGAAGGAGCGGGACCCTGAGGGCGATGCTGCGCGCCTCCTTCTACCTGGGTCATCGCGGGCTGTGTCGAAAAAAAATGATTGCTCGCTAGAGGGGTCTGGGTAACAACGCCGGCAAAAAAAAAGCCTTATCCACAAATCGCTCGCCTGGGATCGATCAGGTTTTCGAATGGAAGTTTTTTTTCGAGCAGTCTAGTTTGGCGGTTTATGTTTTGGGTCCACGGAGTGGGTATCCCTACCACTGCAAACACTTGACGAGCCCTTTGGCAAACCCCACTTTTGGGGGGCGAGGGTTAGGCTAGGCGAGGGCTAAACCTTTGCCCGAGTGAGAAGGACGCGTGAACTTTCTGAGTGGGCTAACGCTGCTTGAGTGGGATGCGTTCGAAAGGCTAACCTTGAGGTTCCAGAGCGTTAAAGCCCTGTGACACCAAATTACGGACTGACCGTAGAAAAAAAACAGAAATCGAAACAACCGCGAGGATTCCGCGGGCGTTAGTGTTAGCCTATCGAACAGGGCCATCATGATCCGTCATTTTTTTCGGACGGCAACCTATCGCCACCGTACTATATCGTACTAAAACACATAATACAGTCGAAAATCTCACTGACTCCATTGTCAGCGAGCATTCACCTGCAACTTCTGCCTGCTGAATTGACTGGCATAATTATCACCAGAACTACTATTTTCCTGTTGACTGCAACTACTAGGAGATCACGTCTGCTACGGGTATGGTGTGCGGTGAGTTCAATGTCTCTAGAACTTTGCGGTGAGTCGACGATAGTTCATGGAGTCAGCAGTTTCTGGTTTAGGGCTACCTAGTAAGCACTGTACGAAGGGACTTTTGAGTCGACTCAAAAGTCACCGGCTACTTCGTAAGCACTGTACGAAGTCAGGGATGGAGATTAGGATCACCTGACCTGACACCACTGATAGTCCCGCCATCTGCTGTGTGCCGCCGCGATTCCAGGTTTGCCGTGACCGGACTCCACTTTAGTCCACAATTCATCATGAGCATCCGTGAGCGTTATTGACTGATTACTGCTGCTTGAAATGTCGTCGAGACCGTCAGGCGAAGAAGGATAGGGTACAGCGTGTAGCATCTCCGCGGGTAGCAGCTCTGCGGGTCGTCGCATTTCTCAGTGCCGCGCTCAGCGCGGGATCTGCCATCCGCCTTCCGCCATCCGCCATCCCCCTTCCGCCTTCCGCCATCCGCCATCCGCCGTCCGCCATGGGCGACACGTTAGGCGCCATCGTGGAGTACTTGGAGCGCAACAACCTCCACAGGGCCGCGGAGGCGCTGCGACTCGAAATGTCGCAGAAGCAGAAACGCCCTTCGCAGAAGCTGCCTTCTCACAAGTTCCAGCAGTCCTCTCCTCCCGCCGCCTCCGCCGCCGCCGCCGCCGCCGCCTCCTCCCGCCCTCCGCCGGACCCGTCCGATATGGACGTTAATCTCTTCCTCTGGATGAAGCAGGACCAAATGTTTAATCGCGGCTCCGGGTTTGCCGGGGCAGGAGGCGGCGCCAGCAGCGGCGGCGGGACCGGCGGGGGAAACAGCGGCGGACCCGGCGGCGGGTTCGCGGGATTCGCGGGATTCAATGCGATCGCGCGGAGCAACACGGCGCCGTCGCAGTTTTTGGAACACGCCGGCCTGCCGTGGTCGCCCGCGCACTCTCCGCCCATGGCGCAATCCCCCTCCGCCACTCCCCCCTTGTCCCAATCCCCCTCCGCCACTCCCCCCACCCAATCCCCCTCCGCCACTCCCCCCACGCAATCCCCCTCCGCCACTCCGCCGGGCCGCTCTCCTCGTCAGCCGCCGCAGACTCTCGCATCCTCGGGAGCACCTCCTAAGAGCGAGCATCCGTTTTCGTCCGCGTATTTCCCGAGATCCCCGTCCCTGCCGTCCGCCACGTCTCTGCCGTCCCCCCGGTCCCTGGACGTAGTTCTCGAGGAGGATTCGTCTCTGCACGCTGCCGCTCTTGCCGAACCGAATAGCTCAGGTTCGGCAGCAGGCGTGGGAGCAGGCTCGGCTGCATTAGGTTCAGCAGCAGCAGGTTCGGCGTCATCAGCGCCGTCGGATCGGGATTTCAGTGCGACGGGAGGGGAGGAAGCAGAGAGCTGCAATCTCGTTCCTCTCGTTCCTCTTCTCGTTGCAGACCCAATTCTCGGCTTAACCGAATCCCCTCCTAAAGCTGCTCCGATATTGGATATAAGCCCTTCCCCTCCTAACGCCCCCCCAGTCGCGTCCGCGTTAGACAGCGGTTTTCCCCGTTTGAAGCCGATTCGCCTCAGTGCAGAGAGCCGCGACGGGGTGAATCTGGTCGCGTCGCTGGACTTCGGGATTGGCTCCCTGCGGGAGAGCAGAGGGGGCGGGGAGAGGGACGGCGGGGGAAGTGACTGGGGCGCAGGGGGAAGCGCAAGGGGCAGCGGGGGAAGCGCGAAGGACAGCGGGGGCAGTGCAAGAGGGAGCGCGGGAAACGAGTTCGAAGGTGTGGGGGGGTTGGGAGAGGTGGGTGTGGGTGCAGAGGTGCTTGAGTTTGCCGCGGTACCTGGTGTGGGGGGGATGGGGGAAGCGCAAGCATTGGCGCAAGTGGTCACAACACCGCAGCAGCAGGGGCAGTTAGGGGCGGGGCAGCAGGGGGCGGCGGAGGAACGAGCGGCAGGCATCAGGGGAGCGCAGCCCCGTGGGGTCCTCCGCGCCCTCCTCCCCCCTCCCTACCATCACAATCGCCCCCGTGGTCACACCACCACAGCAGCAGGGGCAGCAGACCGGGCAGCAGGGACTAGGGCAGCTTCAGCGGCAGGCATCAGGGGAGCGCAGCCCCGTGGGGTCCTCTGCACCCTCCTCCGCGCCCTCCTCGCCCCTCCCTACAATCACAATCGGCCCCGTGGTCGTGGGCTCACAGGTGCTGTCAGAAGAATTCGGTATAAGGCGAACGCATGGCGCCGGCGCGCTGGCAGGAGGAGGCGGGTCAGGGAACGTGGCGAGATCGCTTGAGTCGACTAGGCATTCCCCTCGGGGAGCGTTGGCAGGAGCAGGGGGGTCAGGGAATGTAATGGGGGGCTTTTCTCAGGAGCTGACCCGAAGCTCTCCTCTTGAGCTGACTCGGAATTCGCCCAGGGGCGGGTTGGGAGGTTCGGGAGGGTCCGGGTCTGTGCTGTCTCGTTCGGGGACGGCGGACGGATCAACGTCGGTGGTAACCAGGTCCACGTCAGCAGCTGCTGAGTCAGACGCGGGGGAGCGCGGGCCGGGGGTGGATTATAGCGAGATGCTGCTGATAGAGGGTAGTGGGTCGGACTCTGACGCGTATGAGGAGGAGGAGGACGTGGGGTATGTGAGGAGACTAGTGGAGGACGAGGAGAGGTTCTTATTGTATGAGCTAGACTCGGAGACTGATGATGAGAAGGGCAGCAGTAGTAAGGTTTCAGTGGGTAAGGGTGAAGGCGCAGGTGTATTGAAGGATGAGAAGGGAGGCAGCAGCAGCAAGGGATCGGAGGGTAAGAGCATGGGAGAGGGGAGTGCATTGGATAAGGACTTGTCGGTTCGTGAGGCAGAGAAGGGGAGCAGTAGTAAGGTTGCAGTGGGTAAGGGTGAAGGCGCGAGTGCATTAAAGGATGAGAAGGGGAGCAGCAGCAGCAAGGAATTGGTGGGTAAGAGTGCGGGAGAGGGGAGTGCACTGGATGGTGGGAAGGAAAGCAGCAGCAAGGTATCAGTGGGTAAGAGTGCGGGAGAGGGGAGTGCATTGGAGGGGAGTGCATTGGAGGGCAGTGCATTGGATAAAGACCTGTCGGTTCGTGAGGCAATGGAGGGGAGCAGCCGCGGCAAGGCAGAAAACGGGGTGAAAATGACTTCTGAAGCGGTGCAGAAGGGTAGTGGGATAGGGGAGGGGGCGAAATCAGGGAGCGGGGCAGCAGGCGTTGCAGGGGGGGTAGCGGGTGTTGAAGGGGGGGAGAAAGAGCGAGGGCGTGAAGGGGAGAGGTTGAACGATGCAGCAGAGGCGGTGGAGGGAGGAAGTGATTTTGATCTCATTGTGGATTTGATGCATACGAGGACTAGTGACTCTGGTGGCCTGGATTTTAGTGCCTCTAAGACGACTTTTGAGGCGCCTCAAAAGCCGATGGAGGGAGGAAGTGCTGTGGATCTGATTGATACGAGGACCAGTGGCGCTGGTGGCGTGGATGGTGGTGGTGCCTCTAAGAGTGCTGATAGGAAGGGTGGCAGGGGTGTGCTTTTACAGAATGTGATTGTAGGAGGAGGGACGAGGGGGAGTGGGGGCGGGGCAGGGGAGGGTGCGGAGGAGGGGCAGAGGGACGACGAGCAAGGGGGGGAGGGGGGAGGAGGGGCTGGGTTTGGTGAGGATTTTGGAGGGTTTGGGGGGGGCGGAGACAGGGGAGGGAGGGATAAGGGAGGCGGGTTTGGGCACGATGGGGAGGGGGGGGGCTTCTCGTTCCACTCGCCCTCGAGTAACGAGGGGCTTTCGCGGGGTAACTCCGGGTGGTCGGGGCTGGGGGAGGGGTTAACCCACCCGTCCCTGGGCAGCAGCGGAGCAGCAGGCATGGGGGAGATAGAGCTAGAGCACGAGCTAGAGAGAATGGGGAGCGTGGCTGATAGCACTCTCGAGGTTTGGAAGAAACAGGCCAGTGGCACGTTCCCGAAGCTGGCCCAGACTGCCTCGGGGAACTGGGATTTTGCGGCGGCAGGGAGTGTGGGTGGGGGAGGAGGGGAGGGGAGGAGTGGGGCAGGGAGTGCGAGGAGTAGTGTGGGCAGGGATAGGCGGTCAAGGCTTTCTGTGGATTCGGTTGAGGTTGGGGAGGTGGGGGAGGTGGGAGGGGTTGGGGGTGTGGGGGAGGAAGAGAAAAAGCAGGATGCAGCGAGTGCGGGAGAAGCGGGGAGAAAAACGGCAGTGGGTAAGGTAGCGGGGAGGGAAGGAGAGGACAGAGCTGCTCATGCGGATGGTGCAGAGGAGGGGGCAGGGGTGGAAGCAGCGGAGGTTGCAGGAGAGAAGGCGGGGAAGGGCTCGGGAGGGGCAGGCAGTGCCGAGAAGAAGGCAAAGAGTGGAGAGCAGGCAGCAGAAGGAGGGAATAAAGAGGCGGGGAAGGGGAAGGTGGAGGGGAGCAAGGGGAAGGATGAGGAGGAGTTTGAGACTTTCAACTTGAGAGTTATTCACAGAAAGAACAGGTGAGGAGCTCTTTGTGCTTCTGTGTGTACGCCTGTTGGTGTCTCTGTCTCTCTGCCTTCGTCTCTGGGTCTCTCAACCCACTTCAGAGCTGAGCAACAGACTCCAGGTGCCTTTTAAGTCAAAAGGCGAGCTACTCAAAAGTCACCACAGGGCCTGTCACCTCCAGTCACCACAGGGCCTGTCACCTCCAGTCACCACAGGGCCTGTCACCTCCAGTCACCACAGGGCCTGTCACCTCCAGTCACCACAGGGCCACTGCCCTATGCCTTTTGAGTCGACTCAAAAGTCTCTGCTCCACTCAACCCCGACCCCACCCCCTCTCCTCCCTCTTTCGCTCCACCGCTTCTTTGCAGAACGGGGTTCGAAGAGGATAAGGACATTTCGGTATTCCTCAATTCAGTGATAGCAAAAAGAGGGAGGAGTGGGGGTGGGGTCGGCGGTATTCCTCAATTCAGTGATAGCGGGTCGATACTACGTGACAGAGTACCTGGGGGCAGCGGCGGTCAGCAAGGCGATGCCGGGTCCAGATAAATACTGTCTCGCATCGAGACCAAACGCCCCTTTCCCCTCCTTGTGTTGTGTGCCTCCCCCACCACATCCCCACCAGAACGGGGTTTGAGGAGGACAAGGACTTTCCCGTGGTCCTGAACTCAGTCATTGCGGGGCGATACTACGTGACAGAGTACCTCGGAGCAGCGGCGTTCAGCAAGGCCATTCAGAGTCTGGATAAACACCATGTCCCTCCTTTTCCGCCCTTGTGTGTCTCCCCCCACCAGAACGGGGTTCGAGGAGGACAAGGACTTTCCGGTAGTATTGAATTCAGTGATAGCGGGGCGATACTACGTGACAGAGTACCTGGGAGCAGCTGCGTTCAGCAAGGCCATCCAGGCGCATGACCTGCACACGGGCATGGACGTGTGCTTGAAGATCATTCCCTTTCCCTACCCCCTCCCTCCTTCCCTCCTTCTCCCTCTATCCCTCTCCTTCTTGCCTGTCGACCCAACCAGAACGGGGTTCGAGGAGGACAAGGACTTCCCAGTGGTGCTCAATTCAGTCATTGCCGGGCGCTACTACGTGACAGAGTACCTGGGAGCAGCGGCGTTCAGCAAGGCCATCCAGGCGCACGACCTGCACACGGGCATGGACGTGTGCTTGAAGATCATTCCCCCTCCTTGACCCCTCAAACCCACACATTCCTCCTCTTCCTCCCCCTCCTCCTCCTTCCCCTTCCTTCCCTCTACCCTCACTCAACAGAACGGGGTTCGAGGAGGACAAGGACTTTCCAGTGGTTTTGAATTCAGTGATAGCGGGTCGATACTACGTGACAGAGTACCTGGGAGCAGCGGCGTTCAGCAAGGCCTTTCACAGTCTGGATAAACACCTTATTGCACAAAGACCAAACACTCCTTCTCCCTCCTTGTGCACCTTCCCACCACTTCCCCACCAGAACGGGGTTCGAGGAGGACAAGGACTTTCCAGTGGTTTTGAATTCAGTGATAGCGGGTCGATACTACGTGACAGAGTACCTGGGAGCAGCGGCGTTCAGCAAGGCCATCCAGGCGCACGACCTGCACACGGGCATGGATGTGTGCTTGAAGATCATAAAAAATAACAAGGACTTTTTCGATCAGAGCCTGGATGAGATCAAGCTGCTCAAGTTCATCAACATGCATGACCCTGCGGACGAGCATCATCTGCTGCGGATGTATGATTACTTCTACCACCGGGTGAGTCGGGCAGGGTTGTTGGGGAGTGAGTGTGCTTGAAGATCATAAAGAGCAACAAGGACTTTTTCGATCAGAGCCTGGATGAGATCAAGCTGCTCAAGTTCATCAATATGCATGACCAGGCCGATGAACACCACCTGTTGCGGATGTACGACTACTTCTACCACCGGGTGAGTTGTGGAGGGAAGGTAGGAGGGAAAGAGGGAGGGAAGGAACGTGTGAGTGAGCGAGCGATTGAGTGAGCATGAAGATTATAAAGAGCAACAAGGACTTCTTCGACCAGAGCCTGGATGAGATAAAGCTGCTCAAGTTCATCAATATGCATGACCCTGCGGACGAGCATCATCTGCTGCGGATGTATGATTACTTCTACCACCGGGTGAGTCGGGCAGGGTTGTTGGGGAGTGAGTGAGCATGAAGATCATAAAGAGCAACAAGGACTTCTTCGACCAGAGCCTGGATGAAATCAAGCTGTTGAAGTTCATCAATATGCATGACCCCGCGGACGAGCATCATCTGCTGCGGATGTATGATTACTTCTACCACCGGGTGAGTAAACGAGAGCATGTGTGAGTGTGAGTGTGAGTGTGAGTGTGAGTGTATGAGTTTCACAAGTACAGCCCCCCTTGTTCCTCCCCATCCACCTCCTTCCCCTTTCCAATCCTCATCCGCTGTTCTCCCCCCCACCCTCTCGCAGGAGCACCTCTTTATCATATGCGAGTTGCTACGAGCCAACCTGTATGAGTTCCACAAGTACAGCCCCCCTTTTTCCTCCCCATCCACCTCCTTCCCCTTTCCAATCCTCATCCGCTGTTCTCCCCCCCACCCTCTCGCAGGAGCACCTCTTTATCATATGCGAGTTGCTACGAGCCAACCTGTATGAGTTCCACAAGTACAGCCCCCCTTGTTCCTCCCCATCCACCTCCTTCCCCTTTCCAATCCTCATCCGCTGTTCTCCCCCCCACCCTCTCGCAGGAGCACCTCTTTATCATATGCGAGTTGCTACGAGCCAACCTGTATGAGTTTCACAAGTACAGCCCCCCTTGTTCCTCCCCATCCACCTCCTTCCCCTTTCCAATCCTCATCCGCTGTTCTCCCCCCCACCCTCTCGCAGGAGCACCTCTTTATCATATGCGAGTTGCTACGAGCCAACCTGTATGAGTTTCACAAGTACAGCCCCCCTTGTTCCTCCCCATCCACCTCCTTCCCCTTTCCAATCCTCATCCGCTGTTCTCCCCCCCACCCTCTCGCAGGAGCACCTCTTTATCATATGCGAGTTGCTACGAGCCAACCTGTACGAGTTCCACAAGTACAGCCCCCCTTGTTCCTCCCCATCCACCTCCTTCCCCTTTCCAATCCTCATCCGCTGTTCTCCCCCCCACCCTCTCGCAGGAGCACCTCTTTATCATATGCGAGTTGCTACGAGCCAACCTGTATGAGTTTCACAAGTACAGCCCCCCTTGTTCCTCCCCATCCACCTCCTTCCCCTTTCCAATCCTCATCCGCTGTTCTCCCCCCCACCCTCTCGCAGGAGCACCTCTTTATCATATGCGAGTTGCTACGAGCCAACCTGTATGAGTTTCACAAGTACAGCCCCCCTTGTTCCTCCCCATCCACCTCCTTCCCCTTTCCAATCCTCATCCGCTGTTCTCCCCCCCACCCTCTCGCAGGAGCACCTCTTTATCATATGCGAGTTGCTACGAGCCAACCTGTACGAGTTCCACAAGTACAGCCCCCCTTGTTCCTCCCCATCCACCTCCTTCCCCTTTCGAATCCTCATCCGCATCCAGGTCGGTCCCAGTGTCTGCTGTGGTCTGCTGTGGTCTGCTGTGGTCTGCTGTGGTCTGCTGTGGTCTGCTGTGGTCTGCTGTGGTCTGCTGTGGTCTGCTGTGGTCTGCTGTGGTCTGCTGTGGTCTGCTGTGGTCTGCTGTGGTCTGCTGTGGTCTGCTGTGGTCTGCTGTGGTCTGCTGTGGTCTGCTGTGGTCTGCTGTGGTCTGCTGTGGTCTGCTGTGGTCTGCTGTGGTCTGCTGTGGTCTGCTGTGGTCTGCTGTGGTCTGCTGTGGTCTGCTGTGGTCTGCTGTGGTCTGCTGTGGTCTGCTGCGATTGTCTGGTGGGCTTGAGGCAGCGGTAGATTTCCCTGAAGACTAAGCCCAGCTTAACCTGTACGAGTTTCACAAGTACAACTGCGAGCCCGGAGGAGAAGTCTACTTCACCATGCCGCGCATTCAGGTGAATTTTTGGCACCTCATGCGCTTGCTCTTCTGTTTCTGGAGGAGACGCCACTTCTTGCTGTCTGAACCATCTTCACGCCCTGTCCCCCCACTTCCCAACACTCTCTGTCATCCAGTTTATTACACATCACCTCCCTCCACCTCCCTCCACCTCCCTCCACCTCCCCCTTTGCCAGTCCATAGCGCGGCAAATTCTCAAGGCGCTGGCCTTCATGCATTCCCTGGGCTTAATCCACTGCGACCTCAAGCCCGAGAACATCCTCATTAAGAGCTCTTCGCGTGCTCCACTTTCCTACCCCTCCTGCTCCCTCTTTCCCCCTGTGTGTGTGCGCCAGTCCATTGCCAAGCAAATTCTCAAGGCGCTCTCCTTCATGCACTCTCTCGGCCTAATCCACTGCGACCTCAAGCCCGAGAACATCCTCATTAAGAGCTACTCGCGCTGCCTCGTTAAAGTGATCGACATCGGCAGCAGCTGCTTCACGTGGGATGCGCTGTGCTCGTACGTGCAGTCGCGCTCTTACCGGGCTCCTGAGGTTATTCTGGGGCTGCCCTACGGGCCCAAGATTGACGTGTGGTTGCTCGGGTGCATTCTGGCCGAGCTTTGTTCTGGACAGGTGAGGCGTGAGAGAGAGGGGAGAGGAGGGTTGCGAATGGGAGGGGGAGGGAGGGAGAGCGCTGGAGGGGGGAGGAGGGCTGGGAAAGGGAGGGAGAGGGAGAGGTGAGAGCAGGAAGGGGGGGTGGGAAAAGGGGGTGAATGGGGGCAGCAGCTGCTTCACATGGGACGCACTCTGCTCGTACGTGCAGTCGCGGTCGTACCGGGCACCGGAGGTCATTTTGGGATTGCCCTATGGCCCCAAGATTGATGTGTGGTCGCTTGGGTGCATCCTGGCCGAGCTTTGTTCTGGACAGGTGAGGGGGAGAGGGAGAGGAGGGTTGGGAAAGGGAGGGAGAGGAAGGAGGGAGAGGAAGGGAGGGAGAGGGGGAAAGGGAGAGGGGGGAAGGGAGAGAGGGGGGGTGGGAACAGGAAGGTGATCGACATCGGCAGCAGCTGCTTCACATGGGATGCGCTGTGCTCGTACGTGCAGTCGCGCTCGTACCGCGCGCCTGAAGTCATTCTGGGGCTGCCTTACGGGCCCAAGATTGACGTGTGGTCGCTCGGGTGTGTTCTCGCTGAGCTCTGCTCTGGACAGGTGAGACCATGAGAGGGAGGGGAGAGGGGGGTTGGGGATCGTACGTGCAGTCGCGCTCGTACCGGGCGCCTGAGGTCATTCTCGGATTGCCGTACGGACCCAAGATTGATGTGTGGTCGCTGGGGTGCATCCTGGCCGAGCTTTGTTCTGGACAGGTGAGGAGGAGGGGAAAGGAGGGATGGGGAGGGGAGGGAAGGGAGAGGACGGGGTGGGAGAGGAAGGGAGGGAGCGGGAGAGGGGAGAGCAGGAAGGGAGGGAGCAGGCGGGAGGGTAGGAAGTGGGTGGGGTGATCGACATCGGCAGCAGCTGCTTCACATGGGACGCGATCGTAGGTGCATTCGCGCTCGTAGGTGCAGTCGCGATCGTAGGTGCATTCGCGCTCGTAGGTGCAGTCGCGATCGTAGGTGCATTCGCGATCGTAGGTGCATTCGCGCTCGTAGGTGCATTCGCGATCGTAGGTGCATTCGCGCTCGTAGGTGCATTCGCGCTCGTAGGTGCATTCGCGCTCGTAGGTGCAGTCGCGATCGTAGGTGCATTCGCGCTCGTAGGTGCAGTCGCGATCGTAGGTGCATTCGCGATCGTAGGTGCATTCGCGCTCGTAGGTGCATTCGCGATCGTAGGTGCATTCGCGATCGTAGGTGCATTCGCGCTCGTAGGTGCAGTTGCGATCGTAGGTGCAGTTACTCGTACCGGGCGCCTGAGGTCATTCTGGGACTCCCTTATGGGCCCAAGATTGACGTGTCCTATCTCTCGTGTATTCTCGCTGAGCTCTCTCCTGGACAGGTGAGTGGAGGGGAGAGACCGGTTGGGAATGGGAGGGAGAGGAAGGGAGGGTGAGGGAGGGTTGAGAGCAGGAGGGGAGGGTGGGAGGCGGAGTTGTGCAGCAGCTGTCTGTTTCACATGGGAGATTGTGCACATGCGTGCATATGCATGCACACACGCGCATGAACTCTTTTGTGCGCGCCGCCCACCCATCCGTCCCCGCCAGGTGCTGTTTCATAACAATCCCCTAGCCCCTTCACTCACCCAACCTCGCATCCTCCTCCCACCCATCCATCCATCCCTACCAGGTGTTGTTTCAAAACGACTCCCTGGCAACGCTGCTGGCGCGAGTGGTGGGCATCATAGGGCCCATCGACTCCTCTCTCCTGTGCAGCCTTGACAGTGCACATTGCATTGCACACATGGACCCACTTGGCTGCATTCCCACCCCTTGCCCCCTCACCAGGTGTTGTTTCAAAACGACTCCCTGGCAACGCTGCTGGCGCGAGTGGTGGGCATCATAGGGCCCATCGACTCCTCTCTCCTGTGCAGCCTTGACAGTGCACATTGCATTGCACACATGGACCCACTTGGCTGCATTCCCACCCCTTGCCCCCTCACCAGGTGTTGTTTCAAAACGACTCCCTGGCAACGCTGCTGGCGCGAGTGGTGGGCATCATAGGGCCCATCGACCCCTCTCTGCTGCGCAGCCTTGACAGTGCACATTGCATTGCACACATGGACCCACTTGGCTGCATTCCCACCCCTTCCCCCCTCACCAGGTGTTGTTCCAAAACGACTCCCTGGCAACGCTGCTGGCGCGAGTGGTGGGCATCATAGGGCCGATGGACCCGACTCTCCTGCGCAGGGCCAAGGACGCCCACAAGTACTTCACACGGCACCGCGTGCTGTATGAGAGGAACCCGGTGAGCTAGCAGGGTGGTGGGGGTTTGCTCGTATCAGGTGTGTGTGTGTGGTGGGCCTTCGGTAGGGCCCATGGATGGCCTCCCCTCCTGCGCAGAGCCAAGGACGCCCATAAGTACTTCACACGGCACCGTGTGCTGTATGAGAGGAACCCGGTGAGCTGCTACTCATGGGGGTTTGCCCGTGCCAGGTGTGTGTGTGTGGGTGGTGGGCACCTCATAGGCCCCATCGACCCCTCTCTCATGCGCAGGGCGAAGGACGCACACAAGTACTTCACACGGCATCGCGTGCTGTATGAGCGCAACCCGGTGAGCTGAGGGGGAGGGGGGAGGGGAGTTGTTTGCCCCAGGTGTGTGGGTGGTGGGCACCTCATAGGCCCCATCGACCCCGCTCTTCTGCGCAGGGCGAAGGACGCTCACAAGTACTTCACACGGCATCGCGTGCTGTATGAGCGCAACCCTGTGAGCTGCCAGTGAAGGGGGTTTGTTTGTCCCAGGCGTATGGGTGGTAGGCCTTCTGAAACCCTTTTAAATACACCCCGTTCTGCTGCGCAGGGCCAAGAACGCCCACAAGTACTTCACACGCCAGCGTGCTGTATGAGCACAACCCGGTCGGCTGACAGTGGTGGGGGTTAATCGGGTGTGATTATAGCAGGATTTGGCTGGGTGCGATCACAGCAAGGGGGTGTGATTGTGAAGTGGTCCCTTGGTCCACCTCCATCTCCCCTACCCCCTGTGCATCACAGCAGTCGGGCCAATCGGACGCATTGCGCTCATTGCATTCGCTACCTCATCCCCAACCAGACCTCTCTCACGCACCCACTATCCATGGCGCATGGGCTTGAAAGCATTTTTTTCTTCCCCCCCCCCTCCTCACCCATCTCCCCACCACAGGAGACGGACGTATTGGAGCATCTTATTCCCAAGAGGACGTCTCTCAAGCGTCGATATGGCGCATTGGCCTGAAAGCGTTTTTTGCTTTCCGTACTCCCCCCCCCCCCCCTCTCCTCACCCATCTCCCCTGTCCTTCCTGCCACCACAGGAGACGGATGCATTGGAGTATCTTATTCCCAAGAGGACGTCTCTCAAGCACCGGCTGCCCATGGGAGATGAGGGCTTTCTTGAGTTTGTGGCGTTCCTGCTACAGGTGGACCCCGATAAAAGACCAACAGCTGATGAAGCTCTTCTACACCCGTGGATGTCACATGAATATGATCCCATCACATGAGTTAAATGCAGAGGAGGATGGAATCACCGTTGAAAAAAGAACGTTATATATGTGATCAGTTGAGGCCATTACCTCAACTCTATTATTATAGGTGCAACAAGCCAAGTGTTGGCGTTCCATGTGGATTTGCGGGTGGGACGAAGTTGAGTTGTTGTGCATACTGTACAATGTAGTGCATGTCACGTTTATGTTGTGTAGAGGGTTTGGAATGTCTCAAACAAGTGTACGGGAAATTTTCATTCAGGGACAGAGATTTACTGTTCCAGCTTTCACCTCACCTCGTTCAAACCTTTTGGGTTTTTGGCGCGGCAGCGTGGCGAAACCTCGAGGTCAGGCGAAGCCTCTGCGACGCGAAAAGTTCAGGCTCGGCATTTCCAGGGTTATCCCGAGCGCCCGTTCTGTCAGCCCACGCAGGCTGGGGGAAGCAGAGCCGAGCGGAGCGGAACGGAGCTGCGGACCCATCCATTTCTGCGCGTTTCTTCCCCCCTCTCGAGTGGAGTCTCGAGTCTCGAGTCTAGACTCTAGACTCGAGACTTTGGTATCGTTCTGTAGGCACCTGACGAGGGAGGGAGAAGAGAAATGATGAGGGTTCCGAGGTGGGTTCCGATGTCGATTTCCCCCTCCTGGGCAAACATGCGAGATGGGAAATTTCACATTTTGGGGAGGTAATTTCCGAGGGAAAATGACGAACTTCTCGCGGAATTTCTCGCGCCCATCAGAGAGATAATTCCTGACCACTGTTTAGTGCACCCAGTGTATTTTGGACTGCGAGGGTAATTTATACAGAAAATCGAGCCCCAAAATACATGCCAGCCCTTGGACCAACTTCGAAGGTGGGGCCTCAGGTGGTTGGGGTGTGGTGTGTTTATTTGTTTCGATTTGGGAGGTGCCACCCTGGTTGGGTTAGACCTTGTTGTCTATTGCGTTTTGTTTGGGTGGGAGGCTGGTGTTCCCACGCCCAGCTCCGCCCTCCCATCACCATCGCACTTCCGCGTGAAGGGCGGTTGGCCGATGGCGGGGCGAAGGCAAACAAATTTGCCAGAGGAGGAAGGTGGTGAGGGGAAATAGGAACCTTCCTGGTGGGCCATTTCCATCGAGGGAAACGGCTGTTCTGCAGGCATTTCCCTTCGTTTAGGTTCGGAAGGGAAATGACTGCCACGTCGGCATTTTCCGGGCTGACCGCCATTTCGAGCCTAAAATTGCAGAGGCAGGCAGCTTCCTATTTTCCCTCCCCTTCCCTCCGTGATGCCTACAGAACGACGCCTTTATCAATGCATCAGATCAGACACCTGCTCTTTCTCTTGCTTTCATTTTCCCGTCCCGATCTATCGGGCTCCACCTCTTTTTCACCTCTTCTTTTGCTTCGGTCCACCCGCTCAGATGGCTCGATCTGTTTGGGTGGAGCTCGCGATTGGGTGCTGATGAGTGGGATAAGCAGATGAGGAGGTATTTCTTGGTCTCTAGTTGACAGATGCCCTAAACTTGTTAGTCGGTTGTTCTTAACTTGTTAGCTCACGGGCGTGTTCGTATCGTAAATCAAACGGTCGTGCGTGCTGAGCCATGGCTTCGTCGCACGCCACAGACTTCGCATTTCCGACCAGCTTTGCGAACGATGCGACGTTTCGTGCGTCAGATTCCTCAGGGCATTTCTTTGATAGAGCGTCAACACCTTACGGAGCAGAGGGAACAGGCGGACTAGGGGGAACACGCGGAACAGGCGGAAAGCTTGGTAGATCCCGGCGATATGGAGTGCGCGCCGACACGCCGTACAGCCGGCCGGCGACGGGAAGACACGCTGCTGCCGGCCAACTGGCCGCCGCTGCTGCTACAGCCGCTGCTACAGCCTCCGCTGGTGCTGCTGCTCCGGCGGGTGGCAAAGATGGAAGTTCGCAAAAGAAGGGTTGGCTCGGAGGACTCGGCGGCGCGGTGTTGAGTATGATTGGCTGGCGACGGAGCGGCGATCAGGAGAGCGACGCTGTCCGTGGGAACGCTGGTACTATGATCTCAGAGTCGCAGAATCGCAGAATCGCAGAATCGTTTTTCGCTAAATCAGGCCGCTCTTTCTATCGCCTTTCGCATTGTATTCCTCGTGTTGGTCGAAACCCTATTGCACTATCTTTCGTCAGTTACATCACTCTTAGGTAGTCCTGCTTTCCGCCCCAACGGAACCCTAATTTACTGTACTTCTGCTTGCAAGGTCTGACCGTCGGTCGAGCTGCGATGCCCTCACATATAGGTCAATGAAAGCCTGGCAACGGGCTAGAGCGTTCTCTTACACCGCCACCCGCCTTCTCTTTCCCTCTCTCGGTCTCTCCCACTCCCTGTCTCGCTCTGCCATCTTCCCTCGTCCGGTCTCGGTACCAGGATCGCAACGGCAAGAGGAGCCTGCGCGCGGGGGGGAGGACGAGAGGGCGGAGCTCAGCCTAGCTGACGGCATGGCGGATGCTGCTGGCGGCCCGCCCTTGAGTGGAAAGCCCCTGTCCATGTGAGTGCACTGGGGGATGCTTGGGCTTTAAAAGTAACAGAACAAGAAATACATTCAATTATTTCACAGTCGGAAATACTCGTCCTGTTGATGGTTGTGCTTCCGGCTGTTCTATGTCGACTCGTTGAATTGCGTCAACGTGAGTGACGTTGAGTCGAGTCGACGCATGATTGTGCTGGGTGCCGCCGTGGTTGTGCTTCCAGAGCTGGTTTAGGTCGACGCGTTGAGTGCAATCAACGTCAGTCCGTTTCCTGGTTCCTGTCATGTGTGTGTTCGTGTGCGTGTTTGCGTGAGAATGGCGTGTGTGCCTTTGTGATTGTGTGCCGTATGTGGTTGCGCAAGTGTGTGCGCGTCTGTGCGCGTGCATGCGCGTGTGTGCGTGTGCGTGTGCATCTTGCGTGCGTGTGCATGTGTCTGTGTGTGTCGCATGCAGGCGAGAGTACGTGCGACTGTCGCAAATGCTGCGCGCTCAGGTGGTCGATGACTCCGACGCCCCTCCCCCCACCGCCGCACACCGCACTGACGCCCCTTTTACCACATCCACACCGTTCCAAACGCCTGCTGTCGCACCAACGCCCTTCCACACGCCTGCTATAGCAGCAACGCCCTTCCACACCCCTGGCGGTTTTAAACCCGCTCCTGGCGGCTCAAACCCCACTTCCAGCGGCTTTAAATCCACGCCGTTTCATACCCCAGGCGCGGCGGCAGCAGCAGCGCCTGTTACGCCGTTCTTTGACGCAGCACGCACCTTCGCCGCTCCTTCCAAAGGCGCTGATAGGACGGTGCCGCGGGGAGGGGGATTGACTGGTAGGGGTTCTGTTGGGAAGGGGTTGACTGGCGGAGATCCGGGATCTAGATTCGCCACGCCGGTGACCAATGGTTGGGCGTCGCCTGCTGACGTGGATGGCGGTGCTGCTGACGGGGACGAGGACGAGGAGTTTCACACGCCCGATGTAAGCGTTTGGTGGCAGAGGGAGGTGGAAGTGAAAGGATGAAGGAGGAAAGAGGAAGAGAGAAGGAACGGGGAAGGGGTAAAAGGGAAAGGGGTAAGGGGGAAGGGGGAAGGAAGGGGAAAGCTAGGGGAAAGGAAGGGGAAAGCGGGGAAGGGAAGGAAAGGGGAAAGCGGGGAAGGGAAGGAAAGGGGAAATCGGGGAAGGGAAGGAAAGGGGAAAGCAGGAAGGTGCGGGCAGGAAAAGGGGGTCGGGATTGGCCTGTGTGAGGTTGTTTTACTTTTATTTTCTCCTTGACATAGTTATCTTCCGGTTTCGTCTCTAGCATTCTCCTCACGACAATTTTCCCGCAGCCCTCTCGTCCCACCTGCTCGACTCTGCACTGTGCTTTCCGTTTCCCTCCCCATCCCTCCCCACACCATCCCATCCCGCTCTTCCCCCCTCCGCCCAATCGTGTCTGCCACCCTCCAAGGGCGGGGCGTCGCCGGTGGATATCGCCAAGGCCTACATGAGAGGGGACCCCTTCTCACCCCTCACGCCTTCCCTCTCCCTTTCCCTCCCCCTGACTCCACCCCTCTTGTCCACCCCCCCCAGGGCGGGGCGTCACCGGTGGATATCGCCAAGGCGTACATGAGAGGGGACCTCCACGCTGCTTCCGCCGCTGCCGCCGCTGCTATTGCTGCCGGTGCTGCTGGTAGCGGTGCTTCTGGCGGTACCCCTACTGCTGCTGCTGCTGCCGCTGCTGCTGCTGATGATGATAATGATGATGCTGATCCCTCTCCTGGCCGCGAGGACACGGAGGGGAGGGCGAGCGGGTGGGGGGAGATAGTGGTGGTGGGCTCGCGACGGCCCTCTGATGCTCTGCTGGGAGACGCGTGGGGGCAGCAGGCGCAGCAGCAGCAGCAGGAGGAGGATGGGGAGGAGGAGGAGGAGGAGGAGCAGGAGGAGGGGCGGGAGCAGGAGAGGGAGGAAGAGGAAGAGGAGGAGGGCGGGCAGGGGAGGGAGGAGGAGGATGGGTGGGGTAGGGAGACGGGAGAGGAGAGAGAGGATGGTAACGGGGAGTTGGTGCGAGCTGTGTTTCCAGGAGCTGTTGCTTCTCGCAGCCGTTATGGTGCATCAGTTCCCGCCACGCCTAAGGTGGGCTGTGGTTGGGTGAAGGGAATGGGTGTTGCTGCTGATACAGAGATCACATATAGCATTTGCTGGTGCGTTTTCATCTCTTTCCTTCCATCTGTTATAACAGCTTCTCAATCCTTCTGTTCCTTCCCTTCCCGCCCCCGTTCTGCCTCTTTATCCCCTCTGCCTGTCAGTCTGCCAAGCGAGCTCGTGACGCTGACGAGGCAGATGCTGATTGGCTGAGGGGATCCGAGTCAGCACGACGCACTCGCCCGCGTGCCTCCCAACAGCCCAACCGCCTCGCCCTAGTCTCCTTCCCTCCCGGCCCCACCTCTTTCCCCGGTCCTATCTCAAGACCTTCAGATTTCCGTTTGGGTGTTTTAGCTGCCCCTCCCCTCCCTCCCCCTGCGCTCTTTTCTGCTGGGGCTGGAAGTTTTCTTCCCTCTGCCCGGCTTCGCGGGCAGGCTGCCCGCTCGCACGGCTTTGCCTCTCGCATCAGCAACGGCGGCCCGCGCATGCTGCCCGGGGAACTGCCCGGATTTTCTCTGGGCGCTAGGAAGGGCGCGTGGGATAGGGCGTTTGAAGGGGTGGGAGACGGTGGAGGGCTGTTCCCGGAGAGAGATACGTTTGGGCTGTTCGGGCGAAAGGGGGCAGGCAGAGAGGGGAATAGGCGGTTAGAACAAGACAAGCGCCAACAGGGTCTGGAGCAGCAGGGGCAGAGGCAGGGGCGAGAGGGGCAGCAGCGGGTGGGGCAAAATGTGCTGTCTGGAATGAGCCTTGCGCCTGGCAAGTCACTAGAGACAGCTCAGAAGATCCTTGCAAAGCTGGGGGATATTACAGGCGCGGGGGCGCAGGGGGGTGTGCGTGGAGGAGGGGGTGAGGGGCGCGGAGGTATGGGGGGAAGCGGAGGGGGAGGAGGGGGAGACGGGGTTGGCGGTGGTGCTGGTGGGGATAGGGGTTTGGGCGGGTTTGGTGGGTTTGGTGGGGATGGGGTTGGGTTTAGCGACAGGGGTGTGGATGGCTGGAAGAGGTTGCTGGGGCCGAGATTTAGGGTAAATGATGGGTTCGGGGCAGGTTCGGGTTCAGGTTCGGGGGCAGGTATGGGTGCAAGTTCGGGTTCGGGGCGGGTGGGCAGGCGGGGGGAGGGGGACGATATAGTGGCGCCTCCCCTGACCTTCCTCCCCACGTACATGAGCAGAAAGGCTGCTGGTGACCTCCCAACCGCGCACCCTGCTCCAGGTGTTTTTTCAGGTGGTTTCTCAGGTGCCGGTGTGAGTGTTGCGGGTGTGCCTGCTGCTGCTGATGGTGAAGCTGCTGCTGGTGTGAGTGCTGCAGGTTTTGGTGCTATTGGTGGGTTGGAGTGGGTGGGGCAGAAGGAGAAGGGGAAAGAGGTGGTTGCAGAGGAGAGCAGGGAAAAGGGAGGGTACAGAGCAGGAGGGGACACAGAGAACGGCTTTGTTCCAGCACCTGCTGTTACTGATTATTTTGCTGGTTCTGGTGCGCCTGCTGCTGCCCCTGCGGCTGCTGCCTTTGGTACAGGTGTTGCTGCCCCTGCGGCTGCTGCCTTTGGTGCAGGTGCTGCTGGCAATAGCGCTGCTGCTGCAGCAGCTGCTCATGCTCCTGCTGCGGTTTCTAAGCCTGGATTTTCTTGGGCTGCAGGTGCGGGCACAGGCTCGGGAGCAGGTATGGGTTCGGTCACAGGTATGGGAGCAGGTTCGGTTTGGGGCGTGGGTGCAGGTACGGGTGCGGGTACAGCAGGTGCAGGTGCAAGCACTGGGGTAGGTGAGGGGGCGGGAGGGAGCAGGACGGCAGGGGCAGAGAGGGAGCGGGTTCCAGTGAGAGAGAAACAAACAGAGGGAATGTTTGCAGGGGCAGGGGCAGGGGCAAGGGCAGGGGCAGGGGCAGGGGCAGGGGCAGGGGCAGGGGCAGGGGCAGGTTCAGGTTCAGGTTCAGGTTCAGGTGCTGGTGCAGGTGCAGGGGCAGGGGCAGGTGTCACCACTAGAACTAGAGGAGAAGTGGAGAGAGGGCCTTTTGCCACGTCATCTGACCAGCCGACCATTGTTATTCAGCCACGTGGATCCCCTGGTGCCACGTCAGCAGGAGCGGGTGCGGATGGGGGTGCAGGGTCTGCTGGGGGTTTCTCGTTCCATGGCACTGGGTCAGCCCCTGGAGGCTCGGCGTTCCCGTCTGCAGGTTTGGCAACCCCGAAGCTGTTTGGTTCGGGCAGCGTTTCCAAGTCCCAGGCCTCTCCTCCTGGAGCTGCTTCGGTCGAGAAGAAGAGTGCAGGGACCGCCGAGCTTAAGTTCAGCTTTGGCAGCAAGCCAGGCTCGGCCGCAGGTCTGGATTTCGGTCGGGTGGTTGGCAAGGCAGCAGAGAAAGAGCAAGAGCAGCCAGCAGCAGCAGCATCTGCAGGTGCTCGCAAGTTCCAATTCCGCTCTCCAGCACTGTCCTTCAGGTATGGTTCCTTCCTGGTACTACAGGTCCCAGTTCCTGTTTCTTGTTACGTGTTTGAAGTTCAGTATTTCAAGTTTATGTTTGCCGTTTCTTCCAATGGGAATCGCTAGGGCCAAGTGTCTGTACCAGTTTGTTGCTCTGTACCCGCGTACATCGTTTCTCAGGTTTCAAATGCTTCCTGTTCCATATCTGAACAAACTTTACCATTCCTCCCGCTGTTTCCCTCTTTTTCCACCATGCAGCAAGGCTGTCTCTTCACCATCCCATGCCATGAAGCCACACTCCCCTGCTGCTCCTGTTGCTGATGCTGCTGCTTTTGCTGCTGCTGCCACTGCTCCTGCTGCTGCTGTTGCTGCGATTGCCACTGCCAGCGCTACGGCTGCTGCCACAGCGTTTCAGCCCCCGTCCTCGCCGCCCTCCCCACTCACTCCTGTCGCTTTCTCATTTGGATCCCCTGCTGCTACTGCCACCACTGGCACCGCTGCTGCCGGCACGTTTACAGCTGGTGATAATCCACAAGGGCTGGGGCAACAAGGCCACGTGCCCAAGGCCCTCTTTGCCACCTCCTCCCCTTTCTCATCGTCTGTGGTCCCCAGCTTTGGGGGTGGGAAAGATTCCGCTGATGCTGGAGCAGGCACGGGCACGGGATTCGGCACAGGTACGGGAACAGGTTCGGGAACAGGCACGGGGAGAGGAACGGGGGTATCAGGTTCAGAGGGGACGACAGTGGCGAGTGCTGCTCCGGTGTTTGCCTTTGGTGCTTCTGCCACACCTGCCACCGCACCAGCCAAGAGTGCCTTCGCGTTTGGTGCCTCCGCCACTCCTGCCACTGCTCCAGCCAAGAGTGGATTCGCCTTTGGCACCGCTCCTGCTGCTCCGGTTTTCGGATCAACGGGCCCTGCTTCTGCCACTGCTGCTTCCACTGCTGCTTCCACTGCTGGTGCTGCTTCTGGTGGTGCTGGTGGCACTGCCGCTCCTTCATTTGCAGCGTCACCGTTTGCCTTTGGAGGGAGGAGCAGCTTGGGAGGTGCAGAGGCGAAGGGCGTTGCTGCAGAGGCAGGAGTGTGCGGAGGGGATGGGGAAGACGATGAGGGAAGCGAGAGGCTGCAGTCTGACCGGCCAAAGAAGCGAGGCGGTGGCGGTGGCGGTGGTGGTGGTGGTTTTGGTGGTGGTGGTGGTGGTTTTGGTGGTGGGGTTGGTGGTGGTGGTGCCTCTGAATGGAAAGCTGCTGGTAGCCCTTTTGCTGCTGCTGATGGTGATGGTGGTGCGTACCCCAATCCGTTTGTAAAGCGGCCGTCCACCACACCAGATCAGGCGCCCAACAAGCTGGGATCCGCCTCCCCTTCCTCCTCCCCGTTCGCGCCATCCTCCCTCTCCTCTGCACCTGCTGCAGCATCGGCACCCTCGCCATTCTCCTCGTCTTCCCCGTATAAACTTGGGGCATCACCAGGAACAGCAGCAGCAGCAGGAGGTGGAGGAGGAGGAGCAGGAACAACAGCAGGCGCTGCCACTGCTCCCATGTTCTCGTTTGGCTCGTCCTCTCCCTCGGCTGCTACTGCATCCTCATCTGCACCAGCCCCCAGCTCCTCCCCGTCCCCCTCGCCCCCTTCATTGTTCTTTGGCACAACATCCGCCGCAGCAACGGAGGCTTCAAAAGCAGCAACAGCAGCACCCTCTGCTCCTATCTTCTCCCTTGGTGCTCCCCCCTCCTCGTCCCCCTCTCTCTCCTCCGCACCGTCTTCCACCACTCAATTCTCCCCTTCAAACCTCACCACTGCTTTCGCTCCTCCTACAGCCTCCACTGCTCCTCTTTTCTCCTTTGCCTCCAAGGGCCCATCACCATCAGCAGCTGCTTCTTCAGCCGCTGCTTCCCCATCCCCTGCTGCCGCAGCTGCCACCACATCTCCTGCTGCTGGTGGCTTCACCCCGCTTACTGCTGCTGCTGCTGCTGCTGCTACTACTGCATCATCCCCTGCTGCTGGGTCATCTGCTGCTGCTGCTCCGCTCGTCTCGTTTGGTGGTGCCCCGTCCACCCCGCATTTCTCCTTTGGCAAGCCAGCAGGTGCCTCTGCGTCCCCAACTGCAACCCCCGTCTTCTCATTCGCTGCTGCCTCGCCTGCTGCTGCTGCCTCACCTGCTCCTAGTGCTGAAGGCGCGAGCAAGGGCGTGTTTACATTTGGAGGGTCAGCAGCTAACGGTGTTCCGACTTTCAATTTTGGTGCCTCTGCTGCAGCACCAGCAACAGCAGCAGCAGCAACAGCTCCTGGTGCTCCTCTATTTGGAGGCTTCACTCCTCCCCCTGCTGCAGCTGGCAATACGGCTGATGCTGATGGTTCTGGTGAGAATGGCAATGGCAGCAATGGTGGTGCTCCGGCACCTGCTTCGCCGTTTGGGGGGTTTGGTGCGGTTGGGAATGGTGGGGGGTTCGTGGGGACGTCTGGAGGGTTTTCACTGGGTGCGGGGGGGGATGCAGGGGAGAAGACACCGGCAGGTTCGAATATTGCCGGGAGGAGAATTGTGAGGGCGAAACGACCACTTGCAAGGCGAAAATAGGAGGTGTTTGGGGGAAGGTGATGTATTGGATTGGATAAGATTGGATTGGCTGCTTCCAGAAATCGTCTCTCACCATAGCTTGCATTTTTGTTGGGTATACTAGCAGGAATCACTTGAATTCTCAGTTATTTTTTTTATGTTAACTGGAATGCATGCTAAAACAATAACTATGTAATTTGTTTTTGTGGTTAGTCTCATCTTTAAATTTGGCTTCATTGTGCGAACATTCTCCCCTTTGACCAGTCTCGATTGTAGCGGAGATTTGTTTCTCCTCGCTTGTCACCAAAAAGCCCCTCTCTTGCAGAGAAGGCAGCAAATTCTCGCATTTTAAAAAACCCTAATCCTGCAGTGACAGCTTCTCTCACTTCTCCACAGCACCAGCAGCTTTTTCTGAGACATCCGTAGCGGCGTTACCTCTGCCACTCGCACGCCGCACTAAGCACGTCTGACGAGCTCCCGGGATTTTTCCTAATTGCGCGGAAGAAGAACAAGTCGACATTTTTTTAGCAAGAGTGGTTTATACCAGAAGAGACTTTAGTACGAGAGAGGATTCAGAATGGCGAAGAAGGACGAGAAGACGCCGAAGAAGAGCAAGAGCGAGGCGGCGGGCGAGGAGGTCGAGAAGACGCCGAAGCGCAAAAAGAGCGACGCGACAGCGTCGGAAACGGCGACGGCGAGCGGCGGCGAGCGATCGACGAAGAAGAAAAAGACGGACGCCGCCGCGAGCGACGGCGCGACGCCGAAGAAATCGAAGAAGAAGGAGAAGGAGGGCGGCGAGAAGGGGGGTAAGGGGGAGAAAGACGCGGCGGCTGCGGCGGAGGCGGAGGTGCTCAAGTGGCGCAACGTGTGCACCATCGCGAAGCCGCTTGCGGACCCGTCCTTCAACCAGAAAGTGCTGCAGCTCGTCAAGAAAGGTGCGCGCTGTGCGCCGTGTGCGCCGTGCTCCCCGCCGTCCCCGCCGTGCGCGTCGTCCCCGTCGTCCCCGTCGTGCGCGCCGTGCGCCATAAACCCCGTCGCTGGAGTGCGATACATGTAGCCACGCGTCGCCGGTGCTCAATGGTCTCGATGGTCGCAAATGTTTCCGCGTCCGGACACATCACCCGCTGTGCAGCATCCAGTCGTCACCGTCCCATTGTGCCCTGAACGTTGCTCCTTCGAGCTTTTAGGCGCCCCCGTATTCTATTCAGTGTCTCGATATTCGCACATCTTTCCGCCACCGGAGTCCGGACACATCACCCGCTGTGCAGCATCCAGTCGTCACCGTCCCATTGTGCCCAAAGCGCTGCTCCTTGGAGCTTTGGGGCGGCCCCGTCTTCTCGAAAACCGCGAATGTTTCCGTTATTGGAGTCGTTTCCGTTATTGGAGTCCGGACACATCACCCGCTGTGCATCAGTCCGTCTTAGCCGTCCCACTGTGCCCTGATCTGAACGTGGCTCCTTGTAGCTTTTAGGCGCCCCCTGTCTTCTTTACCCTTCACGTCTACTTTTGAGGCACCTCAAAAGTCTTTAGGCGCCCCCCGTCTTCTTTACGCTTCACGTCTTCTTGAGAGACTTTGTACCTCTTAAAACACCCAATCAATACCTTTCCCGGAAAGGACACTCAGGGGCGGCCTCCCCGTGTGGCGTGTGCCTCAGAGGCGGTCTCAACGTGTGGCGTGTGCCCGAGGGGCGGCCTCAACGTGTGGCGTGTGCCCGAGGGGCGGCCTCCCCGTGTGGCGTGTGCCTCAGAGGCGGCCTCCCCGTGTGGCGTGTGCCTCAGAGGCGGTCTCAACGTGTGGCGTGTGCCCGAGGGGCGGCCTTCCCGTGTGGCTTGCCCCTGTGTTTCCCAAATGCAGCTGTGTCCACCCACTTTCCACTCACTCTCCCCCACCTCCCACCCCCTCCCAACCCCCCTCTTCCCCCCACCCCCACCCCACCCCCACCCGCACTCCCGCGAACCTCTCCCTCTTCTCATCGTGTGGACTTGTGGTGGCATGGTTGCTTGGTGCGAGCAGCGGCGAAGCACAAGGGGTACCTGCGGCGAGGAGTGAAGGAGGTGGCTAAGGCCGTGCGCAAGGGCGAGAGGGGGTGAGTCCCAGGGGGAGGGGTGGGGGGCGGGGGGGAGGGGAGGGAGGGGTAGTTGATGAGGAAACGGGGAATGTGGAAGATGGGGGGTGGGCAGAAAAGAGGAAAGAAGGGGGGAAGGGATTAGAGGGTGGGGGTCGTGCCGCCTTGCATGCAATTGGAGGAAAGGGGCGCTCGTGTTGCAATCACCCCAATCGCACCCTCCCCCCAACGCACCCCCCACACCCCTTCCCCTCCCTTCCTAACCTAATTGATTTTCTGTTTATGTGTGCCTTTCACATTCCCTATACACTAATTGGCATTGTTTCTTCCTGAGGCATGCATTCCTAACCTCTCAAGTTTGCTTCAACGCTTGCTGCTTTTGGGTGCAGTGTGTGTGTGTGCTGGGAGGAGACGGTGCCCTAAAGAGTCAACTCAAAGGGATTTTTCTTGTCCTCCCTCTGGCTGCTTTTCTCTGTGCAGAGTGTGTGTGTTGGGAGGGGACGTATCGCCCATTGACGTCATCTCGCATCTCCCCGTGGTGTGCGAGGAGGCCAACATTCCCTACACCTACGTGCCCAGCCGTGCGGTATGTGTGTTCCTGTTGCCTCTTTTTTTAGAGGTCTCAAAGCTCAACATGACCTACACCTACGTGCTTCTCAAAACTCAAGATTCTCTACACCTACGTGCCCATCCGTGGATGTGTAACCCTGTTACTTCTTTCCCCGTAGGCTGTTACCTGTATTCATGTTACCTCTATGCTTGTTACCTCTGACCCTGGTTCCTGTAAGCCTGTTACCACTATTTTGGTTACCTCACTCTCCTACCTTGGATATCGTCACCTCCAGTTTTCTATTCCGATGAGCTTGTTACCTCTCACCCTGTTACGGTGTAACGCTGTTCATCCAAGGGGCGTTTACCCTTCCTATTCGTCAAGTGTTCATTCCTTGAACTTGCTTATCCCTTCCACCGTCTCCTAACGGATTCTTGCCTCACTGGTACCTGTTCCTGTGTGTGTTGTGTGTCAGGACTTGGGTAATGCTGCCATCACAAAGCGGCCCACAAGTGTAGTCTTGGTTCTACCGAAGGCCTCTAAGGGAAAGCCCGCAGAAGTGGAGGAAGGGTTTTCGGAGGAGTTCAAAGCGGTACTTGGTGAATGTCAAGAGAGGCTTAACAGATGGCTTCAAGAGAAATGACAAGTGTATTGCCATCCTTCTTCCCCCCTGTTTACATGGTTCGTTAATTTGTTTTTGTTTTTCTCATGGTGCCTTGTGCAATTTACAACTTTTAGCAAAGATGGTGAAGGGTAGGAATACATACTTACACCCGCATGTGTTAATTTTGTGCACTTTCCCAGATATCGCATTCAAAAAGAGTGGTTCAAGAAAAATATCCTTGTGACTGTTGCCACAAGGGAAAACGATTGCTGATCCGCCAGGAAATTTCGGCATTTATGAGGCTAAGCTCCAAGAAACTTCTTATGACGCAAGCTTGCGTCAAACATGACTGATTTTACAGTTTCTTTCGCTGTTGTGGTCCTCCCGATTGACATGGGCCAATGGACAATTAAAATGTCAATGTGATTTTCTCAATTATCCACACCACGTTTTCTGCCCGGTTCCTACGGTTTTCTCGGATAAATCATGGTTTAAAAAGGTGAATCACAGTAAAATGTTCACAAATAGAATGCTCGTCGGGCACCCTATGATTGACGACTCGTAGAAAACTCTTCGTTCTGTTCATTTGCGACATATGTCTGTCTGACTCTCCACCTTCCCGTGCATCTTCCTTCCTGCACAGCTTCCTGCGGCCGTTCTGTCAGACCAGATGCAACCAAAGGGGCGGTTTCTTTTCTTCAATCCTTCCTCCTGCTCAAGCAGTGATGCTGCTCTTGTTTTTTCTCGCTGCTCCTCGTTGATCTCGCAACAGGCACGCACAGAACGGAAGCCAGCCTTCTTCCAAGAGCCTGGATGATTTTGTAAGGGCGCGCTGCAGTTCTATTTTGTTTTTTCAAAAATTCTTTGGAGCGGGTTTCGGGCGAACTTGAGCGCGTTTGGGTTATGTCGAGCTTGAACATGCAAAAATACAGAGTATCGGCACCCTTTGTCAAGTGCACCAAGACTGGTTTTTTGGGGAACCCGAACTCCTACCAACCATGCGACCAAAATTGGGGTCGCACGAACACTGTAGACGTCGTATAGCTCATCGTCTCATTTCGTGTAGGAGTCGTGAACATTTCGTTAATGTCGTTATTGTTTCGCGTTTTTCGCAACTGGAGTTCACCTTTTGGGGTGGTGCAGTTCCCTGTCAAGTTCGAGCATTTGACGGGGAATTCTGCAGTATCGTTTGCCCGCGTTTGGGACGCTATGGCGTTCAAGTTCACAAGTCAAAACACGAGCGTGGCTACTAGCTTTCTTTCTCTAGGTCCCGCGTGCGTCGTTTAGACCATTTTAGCACTCGCAACGTGGCTTTTCAGTCGACTCAGAGGTCGCCTCATTCCAACCATCTGGAGAAGATCCTCTACTCGCGATCCCGCCATACCCGGCGATGGCAGATGACGCGGCGCGTTATTACAAGCGGGATGAGGTTGTCAGCTGGGCACATGCGCATAGTATGAAGTGATGATCCACACAGATGCTAGTTGAGTGTATGCTAGCCGTACCTGGCGGCACAGCAGGCACTAGTAGCTATAACATTACCAGCCACCACAAATAGTCGGATTTGCTTCTGTCATTCCTTACCTCGGGTGTCTCGCTTTGCGGTCGTACTTCTAAGCCGCCGCGACGGCAGTAGCGCGTTGAAGGGCGCCGCAACTCTCAGTCGTCGTCAAAGCATGGATCCGCAAATGGACGGTGCGAACAGCCGACTCGAGAATGCCGACGTGGCGGGGGGTCTACTGGCTACGGACTTGGCCCTCACGTTGACGCCGCCCGTCGCCACTTCTAGAAGGGGAGACCCCGCTTCGCGAATCGTTCCATCGCGAGACGCCGACGAGGTGCTTTCCCGAAGCGCGTCAAACACGAGGCCAGCGGCACAGGCGGCGCAGCTGTCAAGGTTCCCCACGTCGAGCAGCCGAACGCGCAGCCCGCCGGCAGCTGCTGGAGGATCCGTCGTGCTGAATCAGTTCTTTGAGAATTCTAAAAAAACGCGCAGTCCGCCGGCAGCTGGAGGCTCCGTCGTGGGCGGCTTGGGAATGTCGCTGGATCCTACTACCACTGATGCTAACCGCCCTGCGGCCAAAGCTTCCCCCGAGGCTCTTCAACAGGTTCGGCAGCAGCCGCAGCAGCAGCAACACCCGGAGCATCTACACGAGTACCAGCTACAAGAGATTCTGTTCCGCTCGCGGCCGTTTTCCCCGTCTCTTCTTGCGGAGTCAGCTGGCCGATTCGCGGCGCGGCAGCCAAACGATGTGTTTCTCAGTCGTGGCGCGACACATGATCGTGGCAGCGCAGTCCCCCCACCGACGCGACCGCCGCATTTTTTTGCTCCAATCGGAGCTCGAGCTCCCTTTTCGGCGTCGCCCGATTCGCCGGGCGGCTCCAAAATTCCGCCGGCGCCGTCAGCGGCGCCGTTGACGTACGATGCAGCAGCGGTGGTGGTGGATTCCGTTGCGCAGTTTCTTCGAAGCCTCGGCGCGCCGCCCGCTCCTTCCGCCCTTCCTGGAGTTCCCCCCGCGAGTACCGCACCGTTCTCCGCTCCCCCACTTCCCCTTGCCAGAGCCTCTGCTCCTGAGGCTCTTTCCGCTCCCCCAACATCAGCGTCTTCCGCTTCAGGCGCTTCGTTCGCCGACGCAAGCGCTGGGTCCGCAGCAGAGCTTGCCGCGCGGCTTTTGGGCGCGCCAGGCAGGAATGCAGGGGGTCAAGAAAATCTCGCGCTATTGGGCCGGCTCTGGGGCGCCGCAGGACCCGCCCCACCGCCGCTGGCGCAAATTAAGAGTGCGCAACTGCCACGAGAAGGCGGAAATGGCTGCGGTGAACTTGGGATAAGCGCGGCGGGAGGACATTTTGCGCTCGGGGTAGGTGGTAGAGAAACGGGGAAGGGAATAGATAACGATGACGGAAAATTGGAGGCAGCGCGAGCAAGGGGGGCAAATCATGTAAGCGGAGGGGCGGAAAGGAACCCCGTTACTGCGGGGACAGATTTCGATCGGTTGAGATCGGCGGATGGTGGTGCACATCGAGGTGGCGAAGGCGGTCGTGACGTTAGCGGTTCACAACTACACTCCGAGCCAGTGTTACAGCTGTTTGAACCACAATTGCAATTACAGCAAACGCATCAACAGAATTCGCATGTAGTACAAAACATGCCAGCTCCGTCAGGAATCGAGCCTGCAGTCTGGGCTCGGGGACTTGAGTTTCTCAGAAAACATCCTGGGCTCGTGACAGCAGCAGCAGCAGCGGCAGCGACAACAGCAAATGCGGGCCTGCGACCAAGTTTACAGACACGGATAGAAACTGAAAGACCAGGTGATGTTGAAAAGGAAGATGCAATGGTAGCGGAGAAGGCAGTGGGACGGGCAGCAGATGGCAACTGGAGAGGGAAAAGTGAAGTCAGGGATGCAGGTAGGGAGGTCGGGACAAGGCTTAAGATGGATGGATTGGAGGGAGGAGGGAGAGCAGGGAGGTGGGAATCAGAAGGTGTGGCAGCTGTGGGCAATGCTGGAGGGGTAGGTGTAACAAGGACGGCAGCAGGCTTGGATCCGGACCTGACGGAGAGGCTCGGAGCGATTCTTGCTGCTGCGTCGGGACGTGCTGCTGCTGGGTCTGCTGGTGGCAATGTTGGTAACGGTCTGGCTGGAGCTGTCAGGAATGTGGCTGCTACTGCTGCTGCTAGCAATAACTCTGCTGCTGGCAACAACATGGCTGCTACTCCTACTGCTGCTGTTCCCATGCCTCCTACTCCTAATGTGACTGCTGATGGAACAGCTCTTGGTACAACTGCTGCAGGCGTCCGTGCAAGGGAGAGAATGAGTGCAGGGCAGGGGTATGGGGAAGAGGAGGAAAGAGAATCCAGGGGAGCGGAAGGGGGAGAGCAGGGGGAAGCAGGTGAGAGGGGAACTGGGGGAGCAGAAGGGGAAGTGGAGGGGGAAGCAGCGTCAGCGGAAGGAGGGGAAGACGGGGAGGGGACTGGGAATAAAAGAAAGATGCGTCTATCGCAGGAGCAGCAGGGCACAATGGAAGCAGTATTCAGGAAAACCCCACGGCTCACACCCAGGGAAAAGTGCGTGCTGGCAGGGCAGCTGGGCGTGCGGGTGAGGCAGGTGGAGGTGTGGTTTCAGAACCGCAGGGCGCGCACCAAGGTGAAGGATACGGAAGTCGAGCTGGACGGCTTGAGGCGGCGCTGCCAGACACTAGCTGATGAAAATCGCCGCCTCAAAGAGAGGCTCAGTGTGAGTCATCGAGGCATTGGGGTTCTTTTTTCTTTCTTTCTTTCTTTTTCTTTTCTCTTCTAGGAATTTGAAGCGAGTGGCGCAGGTAGTGACATTTCTGTTGCGATGTTGTGTTCCATGTGCAGCAACAACAACAGGCAGAGCAGCAGCAGCAGCAGCAGCAGCAGCAGCAGCAGCAGCAGCAGCAGCAGCAGCAGCAGCAGCAGGGAGAGGTGCGAGATGAAGGCGAGCAACGGAGACAAACTGGCCCAGGTGGCAGCAGAGAACATACTACACAAGTGACATGGAAGCTGTGCCGCTCCTGTGAATCCCCTCAAAGGCCCTCGTTTCAAGCAGCAGCCATGAGTCTGAAGCTCACAGAAGCAGCTCTACAGGTGACTTGCATGCAAAGCAAGTCTGGACAGCAAGGCTTGGCTACTCCGAATAGACAACAGCAGCTTAAGGAGCAGCAGCTGCGACCGCTCACGCATCAACTGCAGCAAGCAGTGGAACAGCGTGTTGGAGCTGTGGCTGAAACTGCTGGGGTCAGTAGTAACTTTTTGGATGATGGAAGTGAGCGAGATAGAGGTGTTGGGTCACCTACTGGTACATCCCCAGGGTTATTCCTCAAGCTTTGATGGAAACAAGTTCTCAAGCTTTGATGGGAACAAGTCCATAAGCGTTGGTGGATACATTGTCATAACCCTACATGATTTTATGTATCAGGTTCACAAGCTTTCGGCATACTAGGTCATGTCTCAAGTTTCCCTATTATTCATGCCCCGAGCTTTGATCATGGGCCATGTCTCCAGCTTAGATATGGTTCATCATTCCCCAAGCTGTGATCATGGGTCATGCCTCAAGCTTTGATGGAAATTGACACACAAGTTGTAATCATGGGTGAACTCTAAAGGCTTTGAGGGAACTGTTCTCACAAGTTTGGAAGGGTTCATCCCACGAGTAGTCATTCACACAATTGATGTTTGAATCAGTTGTAAGTTGTAAGGTAGGATACATGGATTTCCAGTTAACCTATGCTTGAATCAGTTGTACAGGTAGCATCTTTGTATAGAAAAGTTGTATTGGAAGTGAAAATTACAGAAATTGCTACAACAGGAGCAAGATTATGAGCTTGGGCACAAGCAAAGAATGTGGAGCAGGCAAGGCAGCGTCACAGCAGCAGCTACCGGTCACTTGTCAATTGGAGAGCCACTTTATTTACTCCTCCCCGTCAGCCTTCCTTAGCGATCCCAACTCCACAGGTGCTGATGTGCCGACCACCTTGGATGAAGAATACGTTGACGCATCAGTGCCCTTTGCCTTCTCCTTCTCAATTTGTGTCGTGATCCATTTGTACGTGAATGTCAGACCATCCTGCAAGATTGACCACAAAGCAGAGTCACAACAGTCCTTATAATCCCCATAAACGAGTCACTGATTCTGTAAAAAATGCGTGGAATAGGAAGAAGATGGGTGGAGGGAGGACACGGGGGAAAAATGTCCAATCACTAGGAGAATTCCGTGAATGTTGGATCGATCACTCACAATGAGCTTCATGGACGGAGCCCAGCCCAGCTTCTCCCGGATGAGCGTGTTGTCCGAATTACGGCCGCGCACCCCCTCAGGGCCCGGGATGTGCTTGATGGGCAGGTCCTTGTTCTCAATGCTCATCACCATCGCCGCCATGTCGTTCATGCTCACGCACTCGTCACTCCCAATGTTCAACGGCTCCCTGAAGTCCGACTTGGTTAGCCTGCAATTGCAACACAGGGCAGAGCTTGTGTCAACTAGCTTGCACACGGATAGTCGTGGAAGGGTACATCAAGGACAGGACGACAGCGAAACGCTAGGTAAGAAGCTCGAGGAAACTCAGCAAATGAAGATCCAGACACGTTTGCGGATGAGGTGATTAATTCGGTAAATTCTTATCATGATTTGGTAGGATTGCATGAATTACGACACAACCAACAAACGGTCTCGGCAGCCTCCTATACCGAAAATTACGGACGCAACCATGAAGGACAAATAAATGTCCACATACCTGAGCACGCCTTCCACACACTCGTCGATGAAGGTGAAGGACCTCGTTTGCTTGCCATCGCCCCACATCTCGAAGTGATCCTTGGAAGTCAGCACCTTGCGGCAAAACGCTGCTGGCGCCTTCTCGCGGCCACCTGCATCAGAAGTGTTAAATTTTTTCAGATCAAATATTTGACCCAGGAATTCAACCATGAAGGCACAACGTCAAAAAAAAAAAAGGAAGACACGCGCGAGTCTACGAAGATACGTACCCTTCCATGTGCCGAAGGGACCGTAGATGTTGTGAAATCGGCCAATTCTGCACTCCACGCCGAAGTCCTTGGTGTAGTGCTTGCAGAGCTCCTCAGTCACCAGCTTCTCGAGACCGTAAGCGTCTTGGGGCTGCAGAGAGGCAAATTCCGTCGTAAATTTTACATGTGGACAAGATTTTTCAGCCAAGAAAGCATCGACTCGTTCATATGAAAGTTGGTGTAAATTGAACTTCAACCAATGAGCTTACCTCAGCGGGCCATGCATCTGATTCTTTCAAGTTAACGTTGTCGGTCTCAAGTTGACGGAACTCGGGGTAGATGCATGCGCTCGAGGCGTAGAAGAAGCTGCAGGGGTGACACAATGAAAGCACGTCAGCCTCGTAACTCGTGAAGCTCGTTAATTTCATATGCGAATTTCATTAGCTTCAACGGCCTTACCGAGAAATGCCGTTGATGCGAGCAGCCTCAAGCATGTTGAAGCTGATCATGGTGTTGTTGTACAGAATCACAGAGTGATTCGACTGGATGAAACCCATGCCACCCATGTCAGCAGCCAGGTTGAACACATGCTCCACTCCCTTGGTGACCTTGAGACAGTTGTCCATGACACGTAAATCGACGAGATGAAACTCGTCGCAGAACATGTCCTCGGTCATGTGCTCGTTCCTCTTCCAGTCCGACGCAATCACATAGTGACCCTCCGATTTCAATCGGCGGGCAATGTGCGACCCGATGAAACCGCCAGCTCCGGTGACGCAAATCCTGAGCTTCTTCTCAGGCCAGTAGGGTTCGCGCTCGAGGTTCGCGGCAGTGAAGGAGCCATAGTCGTTAGAAGCGGCCATGACTGCAGAAATTCTGACGCTAGCACCGAAGAAGGAAGCTGGAGAGAAGGAACGACTTGACTGGGCAAGCCAAAGCACAAAGAGTTGTCTTACGGAACTCGAGCTGAAACTGAATGTTTATGCAAAACAGGGGAGGAGGCTGACCCCCACAGAGGTTTGTTGGATGAACCGGCTCGACCAATCAGGTAGTGGCGGGGATGACGTAATGCGGGAGGCCTCGGGGTTTGTCCTCCCGCCAAGTATATTCTCGGGGTTGCTTTTCCTCCAAGCCCAAAGGAACGCGACTCGCCTCTTTGCCCACACAATTTCCAAGTGCTATCCAATGAGAGACACCAGAGTCCACAAAAGCGTTCGCACTCCAATCCGACCGACAAATGGATGGTTTCGGGCAGAAAACTGTAAGCATGGTGAGGCTTGACTCACTCGTGCTGCGGTGTTACGGGCAAAGGGACCAGAACAAATAGTGGTGTGGTGTGCAGAAGACGGGACACACCCAGACACTGACGTGGCAGCTGTGAAGGCTCGCTGGTTCCCAGCTGGCAGCTTGGGTTCATGAAAGGCCACGTGTTCCACTTCAAAACGCAAACGGACAATTCGAACTGCGATCTCATTTTCCCAGTGCGGGTTTGCAAATGCAATATTTTCGGGCAGAACCATGCCGCTGCCCGTGTTTAGGGTTGGGGCTCCCCTAATCGCATGCCATCCATTAGGGGTTTAGTTTTTTCTGACCGCGGGCAGATTACGACCCATCAGCTTCTTCCAGGCGGACTGTTAGGGATCGCATTTGCGAACCGCGCTGGCTTAATTAGATTGCAGCTGAAGTTGTCCCAAACGCAAAAACCCCTAGAAAACGCGCTTCGTACCCTGTCACCTACGTGGACGCTGGCATTGCATCCCCTTCCGCTACAGTACATCCTGGACCTTGTCTGAAGCTTTATTTCACATGCTACATGTCCTGTGAAATTAGTATTGGACACTACAAGTACTGCAATGCAATCTCTACTTGGACGGATCCTCCATTGATGCTGCATGTTGCTGGTAAACGACCACTTCATATTGGTGAACTGCAGCTATTACCGAGGTGCAGGACAGATGAAAGTGGTATCGATATCACACATTGTACGGACGGCAATGTGCATTCACATCTCATTCCCCTGCAAATGCCAATTAATGGGAGTGGTCTGCCTCGCGCATAGTGCATGTGCAAAACCTTGAGATGAAGCAGAGTGAAAAGGGTAGGAAGATTCCCAGTTTGTGAAGTTTTAATTTATGGTACTATCTGACATCGATGAATACTGGGTGGTTCATACTACCGGTACCAGTGTCTAGCTAGACAAGTCCAACAAATCCACAGAAGCAGTGTAGTGTTCTCACCAAACTCCATATGCATTGGGTAACGGTTTCCTAACTACGGTAATACTTTCTGCTAAAAAAGGTGGAACTTACAACAATAGGGCAAGGCTCTAGACTGACACCTTCACCTAACCAAAAAGCCTACACACCTCAATAAGGTTGTCCCACCACGCAAGGTCACATCTCTTCTTGTGATTTTCTTACACATCTGCCAACCTTCTTCTTGAACACGTCACGTGTCTCCCGCCACTCTTTCTGTATAAAAAAAAACAAAAAGGGACAAGGGCACAGCTCAGGCATTGAACCCCATGAAGGGATACCGAGCAGACAAAGTGCATGTGAGCATGTGTGTTCAAAAGTCAAAGGAAAGTGGGTTTGGGGAAGGGACAGGAGAAGGGAGAGTTAGGCGAGATGTATTATACATCTAACAAGGTGGTGACTAGGTGTGAGCGGGAAGGAAGCATGAGGCTGGCGGCAGAAGACATAGGTAAATGGGGAGAAGGGGTGAACGAGAGTGAGGACCGCAAAGGGGCAAAAGAGAATAAGAGCGCGAAAGAATGGGAAGACCGGGTGGGAACAGGTGCATGAGGGGAGATGGTATGAGTTGAAAGGGAAGGCGATGTGAGCAAGAATGTGAAGGGACAATAGGAGGCAATGCAATGGCATCAGGACTGGTGAGCGGCAAGCTCACACAATGACTGTAGCTTTGCAACACAGCAACACAGCAACCCAGCAACCCAGCAACCCAGCAACTCAGCACCACAGCAACCCAGCACCACAGCAACCCAGCAACCCAGCAATCCAGCAACCCAGCGACCCAGCAACATAAAGACACGGTGATGTGGAGCTCAGATCACAGTGCTCACCGCTGCGTCGATATTAGCAGGCGATTCGTCGTTGGGGCTAGAAAGCATGGAGATGATGCTCAACAAGATGGTCTCCACCTGCCAAGGAAAAACATAAGCATGGAACGATTTGAGGAATCCATGCTCCAGTAACCCAGTACCCCCAAAACTGACAAAGTCCGGGAAGCATACACCTGCGTGGATAGACGACTCTCAAAACCTACCCAAAGGCCCCAGAGTGGAGCTGACACTGTGCACGGGGAACACACGAATCTGAACCAACAGGATATGAGAGGGACATTACTGTGTGCCAAGGTGACAAACGAGCTGACTAAAGAGAAAAACGAAAAGGAGCTTACAGTGTGCACGGGCGACCAGCGTTCGCTTGCCAGCTCGTATCCATTGGGGTCGTCGCCAGGTGCGTGCAGGATCGATATGCACACTCGGCCGTCGGGGTAGACTGCCATGGAGAAGAACGAATAGTGCATAGCATATAGAAGAACCAACGGCATAGTTCATCATTCTCTCAATACCGATGAGCGCAAGCAGCAGATTTATGAAGTCTAACCAGGACACAAGCTCAGCTCCTATATGCTTTAACTCGTCAAACAAACACCCGATGTGAGTCACGGAAGCACGAACTTGGAGAATCGACCCCGAAAGCGAAAGGCCTAAGCTTGCCATCGACTAATAAAACGAAGAATCAACATTCTGATACAACGGGGACTAACCTCTTCGATACAATGGGGGCTAACCGGTTTCATACAACAAAAACTCACCGTTTGGATGCCACATTTCCGAGGTGAAGCGAACTTGCGGTGGGCTGTTGGGGTAGTTGTTTGGGAAGCTCATAATTGCATTGAAGAATCCACCCTCACTGCCAAACCGAAAAGAATCCATTAATCACATGTACCGGTCTGTTCCTTATCGCGGATAAGCGGGAAAGGGTTAACGAATCAGAATCTGGTATACACGTACTAGAGGGTATCCGGCGGGCCGATGATTGTGACTTGCCACTCGAAGAGATTAGAATCGTCCACGAGACCCGCAGAGAACCCGTCGACGGGATTCTTAAGCAAATCTGCGCAAAGGATTACGAAAACGACTAAGTACGGAATCGAACGACATGTTTCACCGTCACAGAAGATCCATCAGAGCTGTTTCACGTCGACCCATATAACGCAGCTCCACGAAAAAGCAACCCGTTGGTTAATCACCTCTCAGTTGCTTCTTCAAAAGCAAGCAGGCCTGGGAATCCGCCATTCTTCTACCCTCACCCCACTACGACCGCAACAAACCAAAGTCAAAACGGACGAACGCAAGCGATCGTAGATTGTAGACTAGCAGTGGGATAAGAAACTAGAAGTAGAGACCTAAAGTTGCTTCAGCTGGTTTAGGTTAGGAGGTAACGATGGAAAGTATATCTAGATTCTTCTAGGTGAAAATGGTTTGAAGTTATGATGGTGACTATTGTTGCGAGCCTAGGGAATTCCAATTCGCAAAGAACTGATTCGTTTCCGCAAATGTAAAGTAGATGAATGCAAGTGCTCGGATGAATACCAGAAAATAGTCTCGCTAGAGAGTCAAAGTTCCAGCACGGTGATTGGGAAAAGCAACTGTAGACATGCTAGCTGAAAAGTGCACGATGATTCCTCAAATTCCGGAACCGTGGATCAGTTCTGAGCCAAACGGGTTTCTTCCCGCGTCCAAGGTAGGTCAGTGGAATTCCAGAAATTTCTCACCACGTAATCAAAATGTTTCGTCGAACCGCAACATTTTCCAGATGTATCTGCCCATGTCCGACCAGTTTTTCCTAGTAAGGTGCTCGTCCCTCAACCAGTAAATCCCCCTTTCACACCAGATAAGGGTCCAATTTCCCAAACTTGAAAAACATCACATGTTAGAAAACAATCTTGGGCAGGGGCAGGCTTGATGTACTTCGGAAAAGACATATGTGATTCGGAAAACCACCAATCTGGAGAAACCTTAGAGTTGTCCTTCAGAGAAACCTTGAACTGAATGGCTTTTCAAAGAAAAAACTTGACGTTCTTCCACTTCTGTTGTCAGGAGAATCAGGAAAATAAGTCTCCTTATTCCTGATCACGGATCAGGCCCTGCTTACATTCAAAGCAGGCCCCTTATTTTTGGGACAGGCTTTAGGGTGGTGTAACAGGCTGTGAATCCTGGAATGCCCGGCTTAGCACTGGACAAAGCCATGGTTTCGAAATCAGCCAAGGATGAGGTTTCCGTGAAGTCCAAGTTCATGCGACGGTTAGCGGCGAGCGACGAGGAGACGAGGGACCAGGCGTTCGAGGTCTTGTCACGATGGCTTATCGCTCGCAAGGAGATCGCCGAAGAAGACCTCCTGAAAATCTGGAAGGGGCTGTTCTACTGCATGTGGCATTCGGACAAACCGCCGGTTCAAGCGAACCTCGCGGAAAGAATGTCCGGTATTCTGATCTCGCTCGATCCTGACCTCGCGCTGCTGTTTCTGCGAACTTTCTGGAAGACGATGCGACGGGAATGGGGAGGAATCGACTACCATCGCCTGGATAAATTCTATATGCTTGTCCGCCTGGTCATGCGGAATATTCTCGAGTTTCTGGAAAAACGGGAGTGGGAGGAAGAGGTGGTTTCGGATCTTGCTGCGTGCGTCATGCAACAGGGGCTTCTTGCTAAGGACAAGTTTCGGGCTATCGGTCTCGAACTGCATATACTGGATATTTTTAACGAGCTCTTTAAAAAGTCTGGAGGGGGTGACGTCAGAGTGGTGAAGGCTGTTCTGCAGTTCACCCGGCCGGTCGTGGGTGTGATTCAAACGAAGGAGGACGGACGGTTGCACAAACGAGCTCTGAGTTCCGTGTTTTCGGGACTGGCGGAATATCTGCGGAACGAAGCGAAGGCAAACTCAAGCAATGCTTCGTACGTGGCTGCGCTTCAAGAGGCGGCGGCCGAGATGTCCGCTGATATCAAAGCAGCGCACGGCACGGCGAAAGGGAAAAAGAAAAGCATGCTTCGGAAAGGACAGGCGATTTTCACGGCGCTGATAAACGATCTGTCTGGGAGTGGTCCTGCTGAAGGAGGGGAAAATGGGGAAGAGGAGGATGGCGATGATGATATGCAGGGTTTAGATGAGGACGGTGCTGCTGGTGGAAAGGACGACGCTGGTGATGGTGAGGGAGAAGAGATGGAAGAAGGGGAAGAGGAGGAGGGAGAAGCAGGGGGACAGGGTTCAGGGGAGGGTTCAGGGGAAGAGGAGGACGGGGAAGAGGAGGACGGGAAAGCGGAGGACGGGGAAGCGGAGGACGGGGAAGCGGAGGACGGGGAAGCGGAGGACGGGGAAGCGGAGGACGGGGAAGCGCAGGACGCGGAAGCTGAAGCGGAACAGCAGAACGGCGCGAAGGTGGAGGATGATTGTGGGGAGCATGGTGAGGAGAGAGCAGATAAACCCAGCGGGAGTGTAAGTAATGGAGTCGTGGCTGGGTCTGCTGATGCGAGTGGTGAGAAGCAGCCGAATTCGGCCTCCAAGCGCAAGAGACGGCAGCAGAAGGAGCAGCAGAAGCAGCAGCAGCAGCAGCCGCAGCAGCAGCCGCAGGAGGGCAGTGGTTCAGGCAAGAAGCGCAAGGGAAAGAAGGATGCCGTGACCAAGGAAGCAGAGACAACCCCGCTGACGTCTGTAGGCATAGAGATTGCCGAGAAGAAGGGCCAGCAGACGGTGCAGGGTCAAGCAGCTGCAGCAGACGGAGACGCGTCTGCTGAAGCAACAACAGCATCAGGCCCTGCCCCCACCGGGTCAACAGCCAGCCTACGATCAGGACTGGTGCACCCGCATCTGGCCATAAACGCCAAGACGGAAGGACCGGGCGGCGGCGGGGCGGCAGACGAGGAGGAAGCAGACGGGTTCCGCACGCCAGAAAAGGACATCATAGACGCCTTTTCATCCTTTGATTTCCCCCAGGATCTCGCCACAGGAGCTGGGAGCGTGGGTGCTCGGATCATGGCTGCAGGCGAAGCAGCTGCTGCTGCCGTAGCAGGGAGCGAGGCAGGAGGTCCGGTAACCCGATCCAAGGACGGGAGAACAGACGCTGCAGCAGTCGGCGTGCAGTCAGCCCCGGCGGGAAAGGCGGGCGGTGCGGGCAAGCGGAAGAAAAAGGTGATATTCGTTCTGAGCCGCAACTTGGAGATGGCGAAGGGAGGCCCGGTGCCGCCTCCTGCGGTGCGCACACCACCTGCTTCCCAGCCGAAAGGCAGTGCGCTCAAGCCAGGGACTAAGCCGGGGCCGATCAACATGCGCATGCTTATGGCGACTGCTGACACGAGCCCCTCCCAGATGACTGCTTCTGGGCGGAAGAAGATGGATAAAGCTGCTCGCTCGCCTGCCAAGTCCCCTTCTGCTGTGTCTCTGCGCCTGGCTAATTTCCTGCAGTGAGCCGCTGCTAGGTTGTGGCGTGAGGAAGCAATGCAGCCTTTCTAGGATGCTGTACTGGTGATGTGCTGCTCGACATGATTGGGATTGGAATCAATTCACTTTCCTTAGTATCAGCCCTTAAGCACACCAGGTATGCGTGTGTTTTGCTGCTCACTCATTGTGGAAGCTCTTTATGTTTTTTTTTTTGTTCTGACAAACTCTGTCGTACTTTGTTTAAAAGTTACCATAGGAGGTAGTAGTCCACCATACCTAGTGCACCTACGGTACCTAAGGTACCGGTAAGTCATACTTCATGGTATATTGCAACATGTACAGGTCAACATTGCCATTCAAATACTTGACGGAAACAGTTACAAAATTCCTTGGCACTTCACACTCACTCCTGCCAGTACTTCACACTCACCCCTGACAGAAGGTGGTTCCCCAGCACAGCACTATCATCAGTGCAACTTCCACATCATAGCCTCCTCATCATATTCCTGAGCATACCATAGGCCTAACTGCTGCTCAGGCTGGTCCGTGAGGGAACCATGGAGCAAGAATGGCGCGATTCCAAGATCAAGAGCAAAATACAGAAAGCAAAAAGGAAAGAACGAAAAATAACCTGTGCCCTCCCCTCGACCAGTCACAATATAACCCTCGAGGGAGAAGTGGCGACCGAGAAGCAGGCGCGGTTATCGAAGTCCCTCAATCCAGTAACAAGTGATGATTGGAGTGTTGTGCTCTGCCTTACCGGTGCCTCACTTGTACACCAAGCAGCAGCAGAGGAGGCGAAGGCGACGATCTGAATACAGCAGTGTGTAAAAACTATTGTAACTGGAATCTGAGTGCTTGGCACAGCTCTAGGGCCGAAGAGTGTCAGCTCGAGTCAAGCACCCTGATTGTGTACCATAGGTCCATAGCATGTCACCCCCCTCATCCTTCTGTTGACCGTTGTTCTCGAATGTCCCTCCTCTTCTTCCTGATTGCCCGCCCCTCTTCCTCCCTCCATTCCCCTTCCTCCTCACCCCCATCCCAGCCCCTCCTATCGTGTAACTGCTACCGGTGAGGCGATCGAGCAGGGTAACACAGGTTACCGCTGATCCCATCACCCTGCCTGCCCCATCCTTACTCCACCCCTCCCTCCTCAGCCTCGTCACAGCCCTCCTTCCTCCTCCTCACCCTCGTCACGCCCACTCTCAGCACTTCTCCCATCCCAGTCTTGCGGATAGTTCCCCTCCCCCCCCAACCCTCTCATTGTTCCCATCTACAACCCTCTCATTTGTCTTTCCCCATGCCAAACACCTCCACTGCATACCCTCATGGTGTGTCTCCGCTGCCCCCTTCCATCCCCCCCTTGAGAACACCACTTGCTTGCACTCCCCTGCCTTGTGCCTTGCATCCACACTCTCTGCTGTGGAACAAGCAGGCACCTCCCCCACATAACACCTCCGCATGTTGGCACCTCCCCCACACAACACCTCCGCATGTTGGCACCTTGGCATGCAGGGACCTCCCAGATCGCCTACACGCCTCTGGCTATCCCATCACATAAACAGGCAGGTGCGATCCTCCTGCCTACCACTGCCACACATGCCCGCTCCCCTGACCTGCTCAACAAAATAATTGGGGGGGAGGGGGGAGAGGAGGAGGAAGAGGATTGTGCAGATGGTGGTGTGGTGGGGAGAGGAGCAGGGGGAGGAGGCGGAGGGGAGGGAGGGTGTGGCGGGAGGGGTGCAACGGGAGGCTAATAATGAAGGCACACTACCATTGCAAGTGCAAAAGTGCAGAAATAATCTGGATTCGTCAAACTCGTCAGCTGACATAGGGAGCAGGTAGGCCAGTAATACTGCCCATCAACGCGCACCCGAGACCCAAAGCCATCATTTGAAGCTCACCAGTGCGAACGCGGCAGGTAGGCCAGAAAGACTGCCCATCAATCAACGCGCACCCGAGACCCAAAGCCATCGATTGAATCTCACCAGTGCGAACGCGTGACCCCGAGCGAATCCCTGACAGTGCGTTAGTCAGTCCCAGCCCTCGCTTGCTATCCAGCGCGTCCGTTGTGCTCCCCCGCACGCCCCCTGCCCCCGCTGTTGCAATTGCCTGTGCTTCTGATCACCACACCACACCACACTTCACCACCAAGCACCAACCAATCTCAGCTCACCAGTGCGAACGCGTGACCCTGAGCGAATCCCTGACAGCGCATTCGTGAGTCCCAGCCCTCGCTTGCTGTCCAGTGCGTCCGGTGTGCTCCCCCGCACGCCCCCTGCTCCCGCTGCTGCTGCCTGTGCGGGCGCTATCCCACCAGCAGCAGGCGCTCTGCGCGCCCCTGACCCGCTGCCCGTCCGCGCGTATGCATGGCGCTCCGCCTCCGCCTGTGTGGGGGTGGGGGGAAAGGGGGAGAACAGAAGCAATCGCAGGGGGGAGTGTGTGGGTTGACAGACAGCATCACCAGCAGCAGGCGCTCTGCGCGCCCCTGACCCGCTGCCCGTCCGCGCATATGCATGGCGCTCCGCCTCCGCCTGGGGGGGAGAAGGCGGGGAGGGGAGGTGGTGTGGCGAATGCTCACATGATGAACGTCTCCTCAAGAAGAGTAATGAAACGCCTCAACCCCCATTCATTCATATCGGCCACTCCAACCCAGCAACTGACCTGCTCTTTCACCCTCGCCCCTCACCTCCTCGTCCGCGCTACGCATGGGGCGCCATGGGCGACAGATGAAGTCCCAATCCCTCTACACCCCTCACACCACAGCCCATCAACCCGCAACAGCGCCCTGACCTCCTCGTCAGCATGCGGCATGGGGCTCCGATGCCGCGGGCTCTCCATGGGTGACCTGCGTACAACCCATACCACCCCCCCCCCCCCCTCCTCCCCTCTCCCCCCCCCACCAGAGACTGTCAACCCGCTACCCAACCCCTCACCTCCTCGTCAGCATGAGGCATTGGGCTCCGGTGCCGCGGGCTCTCCATGGGGGACCTGCGGCGAGCCAAGTCCGCGTCTGGTGGGGCGAACGAGGGGGAAAAGCGGAAAGAGGGAGGGGGAGGGCGCGAGAGTGGGCGGAGGAAGAAAGAAGAGAGTGAGTGAGTGAGTTCATCTCAAGCGAACGCTCTGAGATGAACTGGTGAATGATGCAGGGGAATCTAGATCTGGGATGGCTGCGATGGAAGATGTGTGGGAGAGGAAGGGGGAACGAGGGAAGAAAGGGGTGAGGATCGCTTCGAAAGGGGGAAGGAATTCAAGCAAAAGACACACATCCGGGAAGAAAGACGAAAGGGGGGGGTTGGGAGGGGGGGGGGGGTGTGGGGGCGATCGGGTCGAGGGGAGGAAAAGGTGGGACAATGGGAAGCGGTTAAAGAAGGAAATCATGTAAGCGGAATGTAAGATAAAGCTTACCTGGTGCATTGGCAGCGGGAGATGGTGCTGCAGCTGCCGCATTTGCACCCTGCACAGGAAAGCGCGCGCACACACACAAAGGAGAGGGAAGCACGCAAGTACACACAAAGGCATGCACGCACATGACCCCCTCTCAAACCCCCCTCTCTCCTCTCCCACCCACACACGCACCACACAGTGCATACGCACAGCCCCAGACACACACTCACATAGGCACAAATACACATACAAAGAGGAATAAAGGTATGCAGCACATGGGAAAACCAAGCATGACAGAGCACATGCGGAAAGGGAGCAGCAGCAGAGACGGATGGAGAGCAGGGCGTACCATCATGCGGGTCGGGGCGACGGAGGCCTGCGACTGCTGGTACTTGAGAATGGTCCAGTCAAACACGTAGTCAAACTGGAACCCTGGTGGGGGGGGGTTGTGGCATGGTGGGATGGGGTATGGCATGGTGCGGGGGGTTATGACAAGGCGGGGCGACGGAGGCCTGGGACTGCTGGTACTTGAGAATGGTCCAGTCAAACACATAGTCAAACTGGAACCCTGGTGGGGGGAGTTTGTGGCATGTAAGAAAGGGGGGGGGGAGTGTATGGCATGGTGGTGCGGATGTTGGCATGTGAGAGCGGCTAATGCCATGCAGTAGCAGAAATTGGCATGCACTACGCGTAAAATCGCCCACAGCACACGCACCTTCGGGAATGTAAAGGTCGCAGAGGAGGCGCTTGAGGTGCGCCTGACATAGTCAGGGCTTGCCAATATGGTGGTGTTGACATCAACCCCACCGACTCCCCTCTCCCCCCCATCTAAGGCGCCTCAGAAGCCCCCTCACGCACCTTCGCGAATGAAAAGATCGCGGAAGAGGCGTTTGAGGTAGGCATAGTCGGGCTTGTTGACATGGTGGTGCTGACTGAGGTACTGATGGTGCTGCTGACATCAACCCAACCCTCACAACACACCTACCTTCGCGAATGAAGAGGTCACGGAAGAGGCGCTTGAGGTACGCATAGTCGGGCTTGTCATCGAAGCGCAGCGAGCGGCAGTAGTGGAAGTAAGACGCCAGCTCCGTGGGATAGCCCTTGCAAAGGACCTGGAGGGATGGGAGTGATGGGAATTGGGATGGGGCGGATTGGGATGGGGCGAAAAAGAAACAGGTGACAACCGTTTAGGAACAGAATCTTTACTTGCAGAGTAGCAGAAGGAGGAGGCAATATGCAGGGCTATCCTATGCAGAGCCCTTGCTCCATAGGGTAGCCCTTGTAAAGTTGTTGTGACAACACTACATACCTCGATGGGCGTGGACATTTTCTTCTCGCTAATCTTCTCATACTTCTGCTTCTTGGTACCCGCCTTCAGACCCTGCCATGGCAAGCTGCACCACACAACACACAATAACGTGCCTCAGAAAACTAGCTCAACAACGCTACATCCTGTGGGAATGTAACAAAACGAACGGTCCTAGAGGGAGGGCCCTAAACGGTCCTAGAGGGTCATTAGAGGCAGAAGAAAAGGCCCTGGTTCCTCAGGCAACCTAACGGCCAGAAGCGCACCTTCCTCGAAGAAAGTACATGAGCACGTAGCCCAATGACTCCAGGTCGTCCCTCCGGCTTTGCTCTGCCCACAACGTAAACATGCGCACCGGTGTCATGAGCATAGTGTGTGTGTGACATGAACATACGAGCACATCTCGAGAGGAACATGACGACGAGCACAAGCGAGCAGAGGCGAGGGGCGAGAGGAGAAAGGGCGAGGGGCGAGGGGAGCAGGGGCGAGGGGCGAGGGGAGCAGGGGCGATGGGCGAGGGGAGCAGGGGCGAGGGGCGAGGGGAGCAGGGGCGAGGGGCGAGCGGAGCCGGGATGAAAGGCGAGCGGAGCCGAGGGGCGGCAGGCGCATACCGATGCCGAGATGTGTGTTGATGCTGGCGTAGCGAGCCGTGCCCGTCAGGTTCTTGTTCTCTCTGCATCACGGCATCCGCAATCACCACACACGCACACCATGAAAACGCGGGTGAGAAGAACGCGGGTGAGAAGAACGCGGGTGAAGAGAACGCGCCCACGAGCGGGAGCAAAGAACGCACGTGGAGAGTCAGCGTAAGCACATAGGAATTGCACACTGAGAGGAGAAGAACGTGGGTTGGCGCGGAAAAAAATATGGATTCAAGGCAGGGCAGTCGGGAAGAAGGTTGTGGGGTGGGGAGGGAGGGGTGGGTAGGGGGACAGTGGGAGTGGCGAAGGGCAGACGAGGGGATGGGAATCGGGAAAAAAGCGAGGGAATGAGGGGATGAGGGCGCGAGCGTGGGACAACAATTCCAGGACTACGATGTGGACGAGACAGCCAGACCAAGGGGTTTCACACCACTCAGTCTCATCTTCCCGAGCGACGCAGAGGCAGAGTGGACGCAGAGAGGACGCACGGACGCATGAGCGCACCTGTAGGGGATCTGCTGGTGCGTGGTGGGGTCGCGGTACTTCTTAGCGAGCCCGAAGTCGATGATGTACACCTGGTTCGCGCGCCTGCCCAGCCCCATGAGGAGCCTTCTGAGGCGACTAAATAGACGCACGCACCTGTAGGAAATGTGGGAATCAAACGACGAACCTGTAGGGGGTGTGCGACTCAAAAGGCGCACCTGTAGGGGATGTGCTGGTGCGTGGTGGGGTCGCGGTACTTCTTAGCGAGCCCGAAGTCGATGATGTACACCTGGTTCGCGCGCCTGCCCAGCCCCATGAGGAAATTATCCGGCTTGATATCGCGATGCAGGAAGCTCTTTGAGTGCACGTACTCCACTCGGTTGATCTGCCATGGTTGAAAGAACCACAAAACGGATGGATGACTGTAGTTTCTGCAGTAACAATGATCTCATCCATTTTCATTCCCATCTTATCCCACGCCCGCGTCTCTACTCTGCCTGCTTTGAGCATCGCGAATCAGCGAGCGAGTGCCAAACTTCCTAAGTTCCAGCGCTGAAGCGTCCAATGACGAAGTACGTCAAGAGACAAAACGTGACGAAATGCGCCCTGACGTACTCCGTTCCTTCCGCACTCCTGGGATTCTCCGCTAACCACCACGCATGTTACCACACCGTTGCGTCACTCTCCGCACTACCCCTACTCGCCTGTCCGAAAATACTGGGCCATTACTACTAGCAGTCCGTTAGCGAACGAGCGGTCGGTGGAACTACAAGTCAGTTTCAGAAATTCTGGCCTCTATCCCAAAACCCGTCGAAAGTCATTTCGCCAACCACCGCCAGCCGCGGAGCTTCAACCCTCACACGCCAGCGAACCTTCGAAAACTGCTCCTGTCACTCCGCAAAAGACTGCAAACCGCTCGTCGACTATCACCAGAACACTCGAAGGCGCAGGAAACACCGACTACCCGATCCGCGAGCCTGGGAACGGCCCCAGAAGACGATGACGAGACGGTTGCGCTGATTCAAAAGTCAACTAATCACCCACCAGCTGGTCTGCGAGCATGAGCACGGTCTTGAGCGAGAACTTCCTGGCGCAGAAGTTGAAAAGGTCCTCGAGGCTGGGCCCGAGCAGGTCGATGACCATGACATTGTAGTCGCCCTCCACGCCGAACCACCGGATGTTCGGGATGCCGGCTGCCACAGCAGCATCGAGCGAAGACAATATGACAACGCGAACGATAAATAAACGCATAAAAAGTATCGTCAACATGTGGTCAATGAAATACAGGTGACGGTGTCGTAAACATTCGTGGAATCCGCACAGTGTCGCCGAAAACAAAAGGCATGGTAAAATTTGGGAAAATATATACGCGCGGATGGCAACTATAAGTTCGGAATACGCACTTCCTCCTTGAAGAATCCTGTACAGCTTTGACTCGTAGAGTAGCTGAGGATGCTTCGTCTTGGTCGATTCCTACACAAACGAATGCCAAGGAAGCCAGCCGTCAGCGACATAGAGAAGAAGGGGAGAAAACTACGATGTGGGGTCGTAAACTATGGGAAACTGAGTGGTTACCAGCTTTATGCCGACTTCTTCATTTGTCTGGACGTTCGTTCCTGTCGACGATGTAAATAGGGGAGAGGTAACGGCAGAGGAAGGTGAAATATTGAGACAGCGAACGACATGAAGCTTGAACGAGACGTAATCGCGTCGAGGAAACGGGAGATGATGTTTACGGAAATAGTCACGGCTGAACAAAAGCTCACCGAGATAGATCTCGCCGAAAGAACCGCTACCGATTTTTCTCCCTAGCCTATACTTGTTCGCAATTCTGGGCTCCATGCCCGAAGCTCGTAAGGGTCGCTCAAACCTAAGCTACGCTCGTATGAAACGAACCCTTTCACCTATTCACTTCCTGGAACTAAGCGCAAGTCCTAAACAAATTCTATGTCCAGGGCCCACACAGCAGGGCCCTGAACTAGGGTTAGGTCGCCCTCCTCGTTCCCGCTGGTAGCTACGAACCTACGTTCAGCTAAACTTTAGGTCATCCATGGACTGGATGTGCTGACTGCACAGAAACTCCAAGCACGATAGAAGTGACACTGCTAAATCTGAAACTGCTAACTGGAGTCCCTAGTACAGTGCAGTAATCCTACTAGGCCTACCAAACCTGAGGAAAAATATGATATGCTGAACGGAAGGGAGGGAGGGAAGGTATGAGGTGAGGAGGAGGGAGGGATGTGTCAAGTGGAAGGACAAGGAGAGGGGAAACGCAGGAGGGAGAGGAAGAATATGAGGTTGGACACGGACAAGGCGATTCATGGTGGTCTCGCGCTCATCTGGTGATGGAGATCCCAAGGTGGAAGTTGTTCGCAGCTAGGGAAACCCTATTGGCGAAGCTTTGTCGATTAGTGAAGGCGAAGGAGTTGACTGGGGTGTGGCTCGGAGCGAAAACAGTATGAGGGGTTACTTTCTGCTGCGACTAGGCGACGAGAAAGTGGTTGGTGCTGAGTTTGCATGTGACTGTTTGGCTGTATGTGTGGCTGAGGTGGTCTGCGTGATGCCGTGGGCTGCATGCATGGCTCACGCTTTTCCAATTCCGAACGTCGGCAGGTTTGGGACCATATGACAGTTGAATTGAGCTTGAGGCTAGGATTGGACATGATTGGCTCAGATTCTGGTCCTGACACAAAAGATTTGCGAAGAGGTCGTTTTGCAAATTCATCGCACATGCTCGCGAACATATTTGTGGGGTCAAGCAGGAAACCCAGGTCCATCTGCGATTCGGCGTTACTGCATGTCGCGGAATGTCGCGAAGCGTGTTTGACCCCATGGAACACCCGTTCAGTATCAGGAGCAGGAGTGACCCCAGCACGGAAAGACGTTCGATTTTGACCCCGAGGGAACGCAGAGGGGGTTCTTCGTGTCAATCCTAGTTCCAAACTGCTGCATCAACACTTGTCATGATAACTATTTTCTGCTCAATTCACGCCTAGGGAGTTCATTTTGTATGGATGAACTCTTGCGTCAGTGCTCCTTGTCGGCTCGGCAGTCTCGAGGCGAAGCTGCCAAGCAAACACAAAGCCAGCACATGTTCAATTCAGGAGACTAATTAAAGCTGCGGTCTACATACATCTGGGTGTTTTTAGGGGGTATTTCTATTGCACACCCTTTGACACACGTTGATTCGCTTGCGAACAGGCTCCCGCTCGGAACTGTGCGTGCGACCCAGTCAAAAAAGACTGGCGGAATTGATGGGACGATGGGACGATGGGATGGGACGATGGGATGGGAAAACACCGTCTGGAAGAATTGAGGATCAGGCACGAAAGGGACCAGAGCTGCAGCGATTTTACTAGTCCTTAAAGCGACGGTGCACATTTGCCACCCAAAACCCAGAACCCTGGCGAACTGTTACCGCGGATGGAAAGTGTCCGCACGAAATCCTGGTTTTCGCCAGCCACCACTTTCGCTCTGGCAAGCCTGGTTCAAAAAAAAAACTTCTGAACCCAACACTGCCAAAAGTTGCCCGTCGCTTTAAAGCTTAGAGAATTTGCTGCAAGGATCGCGAATTACTCTAGGTCACGGGATCGGTGGCACAAAGGAGCGAGAGCATTTTGATAAGCTTGTTACAGTAATTGCGAAGTTATATTATCGATCACGAGCTCATGGCGGCCGCAGCGGTGCGTCTGTTGCGGGATGGACGGATTGACGGCATGGAGGCACCGACGGTGGTGCTAAGCGACACGTGTCACGTTCAGGGAGGCTGGCAGATCTTGCGCCACATGACTGAGTCCCTGGTTCGAGCGATCCACTGCAATCGCGCGCAGGCAAGGTGCGTGATGTCTGCACGCGTGACGTTTGCGTGTGTGTTATGTGAGAATTTGTGTGACGCTTGCGTGTGTGTAATGTGTGCGTGTATCTTTCTGATAAGGTCTCTGTGCGTATCTTGTGTCCATTCCCACCATTCCCCCTCTTCCACTTCCTCCCCTCCCTGCCCGCAACCCCCTCCCAGCCGAGCAGTGCTGGTCTTAGCCTCACCCCGTGCTGCCACAACCGCCGTAACCACCGCGCATGGCGCCACTGGGGGGCTGTGCGCGTGTCACTGCACACTGATAGACTGTTGCTCTGACTCCATGGGGTGGGGACAGCCGTTTCAGCCGCCCTGTAGTCAGCCAGTCAATTCCAGCGGCGACAGTGAAGGCATTGGGAGTGCAGGCAGCAGTAATGCGGATCCAATTCTCAGCAGCTGCTGCAACGTGTGGGACCTGCACTCGCTTGAGCAGCGCATTCTGTAAGTTTCCATGCGTGCCTAGCGGCATTCAGTGTTATTTGTTTGACCAATACTCGCCCTTCTGTTGACCGTTCCGTGTCCCTCCGTCCCCTACTCTCTCCCCTCCGCCACCACAGCACCTTTTATCGAACCCCATATTCGCACACCCGTGTCCCCACACCCATGTCCGCACACCCATGTCCCCACACGCTACATCCCCCCCTCGCATGCCAGTAGTGCGGCTAAGCCTCAAGCCACGGAATCGCACGCAGGCGTGCAAGGGACCTCTCCATCCATCGTGGTGCTAGACTCGGTGGGTACGTCCATGCGTAGTGAGTCGATTTTTGAGTCGACTCAAAAATCGACTCACTACACGCGGTGGGTACGTCCATGCACCCAATCCGATTGCCTGAACCGGCTCTCGAGTTTTCAGGCGCCTCAAAAGGGATTTCTCCTTTCATCTTACTACTGGACTTGGTAATCACGTCCATGCCCTTAATTCGCTTCTTTTAGGCACCTCAGAAATGCTCTCCGTCGATTGCGGTGCTTGACTCGGTAGGTAGTAGTAGGGGTACGTTCATCCATGCAAATTGTTTGCCCAACAGATTTCTGTCCTGCTTGCCTCACTCCTTTCCCTTCCCTCTCTCCCTGCATTTCGTCTCCCCATGCCACCATCCTTCCTCATCCCACTTCTCCTTGAATTCCCCCTCTCCCTGTATTCCCTCTCTCCCCGTACCATACCATGCCATGCCACGCCACGCCATGCCATGCGGCCATGCCTCTCTGCATGCCATGCCATCAGCTTGACCCCTTCCTGCGCCACAACACGCCAGCAGCCCTGCTCGCCATGATCGCACGACTGCAGTGGCATGGTAAGGGGGGGTGGAGAGAGAGGGACCGCTCAATACAGGACCATACGAGGGACCGACCGACCATCAAAGATGTATGCTCAAGCATGTTGCGTGCAGAAAGCTGTTATGACGTCCCTTATTTGGTCTGCATCTTCATCATACTTACACCCATTTTCTACACTTCCGCCGTCCACTCTGTCAATCCCTCCCTCGCTCTCTCCAGTATCAATGCGCTTTTTCTCTCCAGAACGGTCCTTTTCACTGTATATGATAAAGGGTACCTATCCTCACTTTCTCTCCTCCCTCTCTCTCCTCCAGCCTCAGTCTCAGGACTCCTCCTCCTATCCCATGCTGACGTCACCCTGCCAGCTGTCACCTCCTCCTTGCGCCACATCGCGCACGCACTCCTCTCGCTGGAGCCACATCCCGGCCACTCCATTCTCCCTCTCTCCCTCCTCCTCTCCTCCCCATCACTCCCGCATCCCGTCTCCTCTTCCCACCACCCTTTGGGAAACTCAGCTGTTACCACTGCCACGAACAGCACTAGCAGCACCGCAGCTGGCACTGGTATTATCAGTGGGAGGGGCAGCGGCAGGGGCGAGAGTGGTGGCAGCATGGGTGGGGGCATCATGGGGGATCGGCACGTGTTGCCGGGAGGGATACTGGTGTTGCAGCAGAAGAGGGCTTCAGGGAAATTCCGAACTGCGGTAGGTCTGTCTCTTTGGTTGGCGCTGTCTGGCTGTCTGGTTTGCCCCAGCCAGTACAGTGGCATCTTCGAAGCCTGTCTGACTGTCTGTCCGTCAGTCCGTCAGTCTGACAGCCCACCACTGGCACAAGGCCCTGTAACCTCTCGCTGCTCTCCCCTTCCCTCTGTTCACTCGCCCCCGCTGCAGCTTGAGGAGTTTCATTTCGACCGGCAAGGAGCAGTGCACATAGATGCACAGACCAAGGGTTCTGTGTGCATGCCACAACAGCCCTCCCCGCCCAGTGAATCTCCTGTGACCGCGCCTCAACCCACACTCGCTAGCGACAGCAGGAGGGACAGCTCTAAAGTAATTCCTGCAAGCGTATCCCTACCAGAGAAGCAGCCTGCAGAGGGGGCACACGGAGGGGCGACAGGGAGAGGGGAGGCTGCAGGCGTGGAGCCGATCAGGACGATTGGAGATCGGGTGCCAGAGGTGAGAGTGGCAATTGCTTTGCATGCTGTAATTGCTCTGCATGGTCAGTGGATTCTTTTATTTATTCTCTCTCTTTCCCCCCCCTGTTAGCCTCCCCATCGGCCTCTCTGAGACTCCTTCGCTCCTCTTCCTTCTCCGCAGCAAACTTTGTCAAACTCTCACGAATGTTCTGCAACCTTGCGTCACGTCGTCCCCACCCATCTTCAGGTCTCCTTCCGCCTAGAGCTGTCTGAGGAGGAACGGGCGGCAAGAGAGAAAGTGGTGCTGCCCTATGAACACCGAGGTTGGCTGGAACTTCTCCCAAACCTGCCCAACCCTGCCCAACCCTGCCCAACCCCTCCTCTTTGGCACTCAAGTTTCGTCTTGTCTCCTTGCCTCTCCTTGTTCTTTTTCTCTATTCCGTCTTTGTCTGAAGACCGTTGGTGTCATTTCCCCCATATACTGTCCTTGCCCCTTCCTCAGGCGAAACTGGCCCAATCAAGATATACGACGGGAGAAGGAGTATTGCACCAAGCCACATCAAGGGAACAGCAAAGACTCATGGAGAGAGTTCAGTTGGTGTTGCATCGGCTCGTATGGCGGAACTTGCAGTGGGTGTGGGAACCACTGGGGGCGAGTGGAGTGAAGGGGGAGGTGGTGGTTTGATTCATTATGAGAGGGATTCGGATGACGAATACCCGGATTCGGATGAAGACCCCGATGACGACCTGGATATTTAGCATTTGTTTGTGTGTTGGTCTGTGCTACGATTGGTCAAAATTGTGCGAGCTATGTAATACCTTAAATGTCATATGCAGAAGTGCAAAACTATTTTGTCACGTTTCAGCTGAGGAATGTCCACGTAAACGAGGCGCTTTATAAGCATGCCCTCATGTGGCAGCTTCCTGGTTCTAGAAATACTTCGCTTCGCTGACAGCCATTTTCAAACGCACATCTTGAAGCTCCGTTGCACGCTTCTGGCTATGACGGTCCCAGCCAGTGGGACGACTAGAAAGCAGGCAGCGTGATCAGATATTGTGTTGCTGCCTTGAGCGCAGTCTGTAACGAGGGACGTAGTGGCGGAAGCATCTTATGGAACGGATAGTTTTGGCGGGAATCGCTGGTGGCGGGCGGAGAGTGATCGGATATTAGGGTTTCGGTTCGCTGATACCAGGGAGGTTCGAAGCACAGGGATTGCCCGCGTTGTTGCGGCGCGGTCAGTCGCCCGCATCCCGTGCCGTTAAACGCGCGAGCGAACGACTTACCGCTGTATCCCTGCTGACGTTGCTTGACTCGGACTGAGACGTCTCGCTTCGTTACGTTTCAGGGTCTCGCTTCACCACATCGATTCGCGTCGTTAACTCACTAATTCCGTCGCTGAATCTTCAGAGCCCCGTGTTCGTTAGGCCATTCGTCTCTATTCGTTCGGCCTCTTAATCAACGCCGATTTTCGCCACGCGTCACAATGGACGACTACGATGCTCTCGAGGATTTCGACTTCGAGCAGACGCTCGGCCCCGGCCCGCTTCCGCCGTCCGCGCCCGCCTTCAGCACCGCTGTCCCCTCCTCCGCGCCCGGCGCGGCGGCATCCGCGGAGCCGAGCGCCGGCCCGGGCGCAACCGGCGGAGCGGGCGGCGGCAATTTCGGCTCGCGGGCCGATGGGTTCGGCGGGGGTTCGTCGCAGCACGCGCAACCCGCGTACCAGCAGCAGCAGCAACACCATCAATTCCCGCAGAGTCAGCAGCATCAGCAGCAACAGCAGCAGCAGCCGCCGCATCAGCAGCAGGCGCACGACATGGGAGGCGGGCACGGGGGAGGTCCGCCGCCTGCCGGTTTCCGGCGGAATTACCGGCAGACCGTTTGCCGGCACTGGCTGCGCGGGCTGTGCATGAAGGGGAACGACTGCGGGTTTCTGCATCAGTACGACAAGAGCCGCATGCCCGTTTGCCGGTACTTTGCGCGGTGGGGCGAGTGCAGGGAGCTTGACTGCGTGTACAAGCACACCAACGAAGACGTCAAGGAGTGTAACATGTACGTTACGGCTTATTAAAATGTGACGGTTTACTGATTCGTGACTGCTTTATCAGCTGTATTTATTGGTCGACTCAGCAGGCTCTTGTGCTGATGCTTTTGACGGTTGCGGCGGTTATCTTGCTCTTTTAGAAGTCTGTACATGTGTGTGCGTTAGGATATTAGTAAGCTTTAGGCTATACGTGTTTGCTCTCTGTTTCTCCTCAGAGGGGCAGGAGTTGGCATTTTTGCGATTGTTTCTTTGTAATTCCTGCATCAATTATTTTTTGTCAATATTCTTTCCTGATTATAATAAAAAGCTTTCCTTTTGCTCCTCCTGTCCATTTCAGCCAGAATCTTCTGTGCATGTGCTGCCTTTGGCGCACACATGTCTATTCAGTGCACAGAATTGCGTGCATTGACTTGACTCGTTACCATTCCTGCATTTTCTCACTGTATTCTCCTGCACATCCTGATTGCGCTTTTTATTGCAAGCAAGCAGGCTTGTGAGAATTGTGGCGCTATTTCCGACACCTCAAGACCCATGTTATTACAGACCCTGCCTGGCCTGCCATCCTCATAGCCTAATGTTGCTCGTGCTCTCCATTGCTCTTGCTCTCTGCTCATCTGCTCATGAGATACGGCCTAATGGCTCTGTGAACGTTGCTCTTGCTCGCTGCTGTGTGCCGTTACCCATATTTCTGATTAATCATCCCTGTTACCCATAGTCCCCCCACTCCCGCTCCCCCTTCCCCTTCTGCTTCCCCTTTCCCTTCCCCCCCCCCAGGTACAAGCTCGGATTCTGCCCGAACGGCCCTGATTGCCGGTACCGACATATGAAGCTGCCCGGCCCGCCCCCTCCTGTAGAGGCCCTAGCGGAAAAGTTTCAGCTGCAGCTGCAGCAGCGCCCCCCCTTCCACTTCGCGGGGGGGATGGGAGGCGGGGGAGGGGGCATGGGGGGAGGCATGGGGGGAGGCATGGGGGGTGGCATGGGAGGTGGCATGGGGGGTGGTATGGGGGGAATGGGGATGGGGAACGGGGGACCGATGGGGGGAGGCAACAAACCTGTGCGGTTCTTTTCTGGGCCTGGCGGGATGGAGCAGCAGGGGGGCGGGGGGATGGGCGCACATGGCGGGGGCGGAATGGGGGTAGGGGGAGGCATGGGCGGAGGCATGGGGGGAGGAACGGGGCAAGGGGGAATGGGACCAGGGGGGAACATGGGGCCTGGGGGAGGAGCAGGTGGGGGTATGGGCGGAGGCGGGGGAGGTGGGATTGGGGGAGGAGGGGAGATGGGGCAAGGGGGGCAAATGGGACAAGCAGGCGGGGGAGCAGGGCCTGCTGGGGGGATGGGCGCAGACGGAGGGGGGATGGGGCCAGGCGGAGGGGGAATGGGGCAAAGCGGAGGGGGAATGGGGGCGGGCGGAGGGGCAGGGGGGGCAGCTGTGAATCAGCAAGCGCAGCAAACAGGGCAGCAGGGACAGGGGGGGCAGGCGCAGCAGGGGGGGCAGCAGCAGCAAGGGGGAGGAGGGATGCAAGGGGTGAGTAGGGCCACGGGCGAAGGGGGAGAAGTGGGCGCACCCACAGGGGGAGGCGGAGGCGGAGGCGGAGGGGGAGGCGGAGGGGGAGGGGGGCAGGGAGGGGTTGCCAATGGGGTGGGGAACGGAAGGGACGGGGCAGAGGCAGGGGGTGGGATGGGCGGTATGGGGACTGCTGAAGGTGGTGCCACTGCTGCTACTGGTGGGGGTAGTAGTGGTGAAGGTGGTGGTGGGGGAGGAGGGGCGGCACACATGCCAAATCAGGCAAATGCTCCTAATCAGGGGCATATGCAGCAACAGCAAGGGATGGCGGCTCAAGCAGGAGGCATTGGAGGAGGGGGAGGGATGAGTGGAGGGATGGGTGGAGGGATGGGGGGAGGGATGGGGGGAGGGGGAATGGGCGGGGGAGCAGGTGGAATGCACGGGGAGGGGGGGATGATGATGGGGGATGCGTCAGCAGCAGGCATGGGAGCAGCAATGGCGCCATCTCCGCCCATGAGCCTCGCCATCCCGCCACCACCCGGCACAACCAGGTGTGTGGGTGCGTGCGTGCGTGTGTGTGTGTGTGCCTGGAGAACTTTGAGCTGTCAGTGCGCAGGGGCATGTGACCCATTGCAGCACACAATTGAACGGCGCCCCCCTCCTTTTGCCCCCGACCGCCTTCCCCTTTCCCCCCTCTCCCCTCCCCTTTCGTCTCAGATACTTCATAGTGAAGAGCAACAATCCGGAGAATCTGGAGCTGTCAGCGCAGCTGGGCATGTGGGCGGCTGACCAATCAGCCTCCCCAACCACCTCCCCTTTCCCTGCCCTCCCCCTCCACCGTCCTCTCATTTCCCCTTCCCCCCCCCCCCTGCAGGTACTTCATAGTGAAGAGCAACAATCTCGAGAACCTAGAACTGTCGGCGCAGAGGGGCATGTGGGCGACACACCGCAACAACGAGGGGAAGCTGAATGAGGCTTATGAGTCGTGCGACAGTGTCATCCTCATCTTCTCCGTTAACGAAACCAGGCACTTCCAGGTGAGAGAGAGGCAGCATGGATCTGAGGTGGCAGTTCTAGGTTGAAGTGAATGACAGGTGAGGGGGGAAGCTAGGCTAGGGGGTGCAGAGTGGGTTGAAAGTTGAAACCGAACGAGGCGTATGAATCATGTGACAGCGTTGTGATGATATTCTCTCGTGCATTGAGGTGTATTTTGTATTGAGGCGTATGAATCATGTGACACCTCAATGACAGCGTTGTGATGATATTCTCTGTTGACGAAACCCGGCACTTCCAAGTGACGGTTGAAAGCAGGTGCTGAACTTAGAGGTGACGGTGTGAAAAAAGGTGATAAACTTTCATGTGAGGGGTGAAAGCAGGTGATGAACTTTTCCCACTCCTAACCCCACTCCCCACTCCCCTCTCCTCATTTTCACCCCTCGCTCTTCCACGCATGCAGGGTTGTGCACTGATGATGTCGCGCATAGGAGCCGTGGTGGGGGGAGGGCCGTGGAAGTATGCTGTCTTGCCTAGTGCTTACTCTCACCCCCATCACCACACTCCCTCTTCCATGCGTGCAGGGCTGTGCACTGATGATGTCGCGCATAGGAGCCGTGGTGGGGGGAGGGCCGTGGAAGTATGCTCAGCGAATGGGCAGCTATGGACAGAACTTTCGCATCCGATGGCTCAAGGTGAGGAGGGATAGGGGGGGGGGTTGTGGGGGTGCACTGAGTAAGCACGAGGTGGAGTAGCTACAGCTCATCTTGAGCTCTGAGTATGCTCAGCGGATGGGCAGCTATGGTAAGAACTTCCGCATTAGATGGCTCAAGGTGAGGGGGAGAGGGGAGAGGGGAGGCCGCTACAGCTCAGCTACAGCTCAGCTACAGCTCTAGGTAGCAGATGGCGTAAGGTGAGGGTGGGGCGCAGGAGCAATGAGTACGCACCGCGGATGGGCGGCTATGGACAGAACTTCCGAATTAGATGGCTCAAGGTGAGGAGGGAGGAGGGAGGAGGGTGGGGTGGACTGAGTAAGCAGGAAGGAGGCCACCGCTGATCTTAAGCTCTGAGTATGCTCAGAGGATGGGCAGCTATGGTGAAAATTTTTGCATGAGATGGCTCAAGGTGAGGGGGAGAGGGAGGGGGGAGGAGAGGAGGGGAGAGGAGTGGGGAGGGGAGAGGGGAGAGAGGGCTGTGTGAGCTATCCTTCAACAAGAGGCAGCCTCTGTGCAACCAGTGCAACAACATCCACGGAAAGACCAGCCTTCCCTGCCCACACTCGCTCTCCACCCTTCCACCCAGCGGTGTGCTTGCTAGCTGTGAGCACGCTTTCACAATATGGCCGGCCGTTTTCCCACTGCTCATACCCGTCCTGCCCTTGTCCTTTCCTACCCTTGGCCTTTCCTTCCCTTGTCCTATTCTTCCCTTGTTTTTCCTTTTCTAGCTGTGCGAGCTCTCTTTCAACAAGACCCGTCACCTGCGCAACCAGTACAACGACAACCAGCCCGTCAAGATCAGCCGCGATTGCCAGGAGGTGGAGCCGTCAGCAGGCGAGCAGCTCACAGCTCTTCTCTACCGCGAGCCAGACGCTCCTTTGCTGGTACGTGCCCCCCTTTTCTAAATGACTCAAGATTGCCGATAGTACGTAGGGTGCGATTGCCAGGAGGTGGAGCCGTCAGCAGGCGAGCAGCTCACTGCGCTGCTCTACCGCGAGCCAGACGCACCCCTCCTGGTGAGTGATGCATGTTTCAAGGTGAGTCAAAATGTTGACACGCCTCAGGAGATTGCCAGTAAGTAGATGCGATTGTCAGGAGGTGGAGCCGTCAGCAGGCGAGCAGCTCACAGCGCTTCTCTACCGCGAGCCAGACGCTCCTTTGCTGGTACGTGCGCCATGTTTCTAGGTGACTGGGGATGATAGTCTCTTGTGCTGACTCCCCTGCTGGTACGTATGTGCCTTGCGCCCTGCTGCTGAGCACTTCTCTGTCCCCTTTCTCTTGCCCCTTCTTTCACCCGTCCTCCCCCCTCCTCTCGGCCGTCCTCTGCCCCTCAACTCTTCCTGTCACCCTTCCGCTCACCCCTTTATTTCTTTCCTCTCTCCCCTACCCCTCAGGCCACGGCACACGAAACAGAGAATTTGAGACTATGGAGCAGCAACCTCAGGCGGTGCCCTGCTGAATTGCCCCTTGTGTTGACCTGCCTTCCCTTTCCCTTGTGCTCTCTCATTCACCCTCCCCAACCCCCCCGCAGGCCACGGCACGGGAAGCAGAGAAGAAGAGACTAATGGAGCAGCAGGCTCAGGCGCAGGGGAGGGGGGGCATGGGGGGAGGGATGGGCGGAGGGATGGGGGCAGGGATGGGCGGAGGGATGGGCGGAGGTATGGGGGGAGGGATGGGTGGAGGGATGGGTGGGATGGGGGGAATGGGCATGCACATGGGCATGGGAATGGGAGGAATGGGGATGGGGGATATGGGGGGTATGGGTGGTATGGGTGGCATGGGGGGCATGGGGGGTATGGGTATGGGCATGAATATGGGTGGTGGAGCTGGTGGTATGGGTTCAAATGGGTATGGCATGGGCATGCATATGGGTGGTGGTGGCGGTGGGGGGGGGAGTGGCGGGGCTGGGGGGAATGGGGGGAATACAGGCATGCGTCAGGCAGGGAACAAACGAGCGAGTCAGAAGAAAGAAGAGGAGGAGGAAGAGGAGGATTCAGATGATGATGATGACGATGACGATGATTCTGATGAGGATGATGATTCTGATGAGGATGATGAGGAGAGCGAAGAGGAAAAGGAGAAGGAAAAAGGAGGGCAGAGGAGTGGGGGTCAAGCAGGGACACAGGTGTTGAGAGGAAGAGAAGGAAGTGGAACAGGAGGAGGAGGCGGTAGAGGAGGAGGAGGGCGAGGGGTGGGAGAGCTAGAAGGGTCAACTGGGGGGAGCAGAGGAAAGGCGGGTGTGGGAGAAGGGCAGCGAACCATGAATTCTGGTGGTAACCCTGTGGGTGGTAACATTAAGAGCAATGATCCAAGGATTGCTAGGAACGCAGGTGCTTCTGGTGGCCGCGGCGCAGGTGCAACCTCGAGCGGAGGTTCAGGGCGAGGTTCGGCTCGAGCAGGTCCGGATGACCAGCGTCGGAGCCTCGGCTCGGGCCAAAGCAGCGGAGGGGTGGGAGGTGATGGCGAGAGGGGGATAGGAGTGAGAAAGAGGGTTATGGATGGGGAGTCGGGGGGGAGGGAAGGTGTGGAAGCGGAGAGGAGAGCGGGAGGGAGGAGTGAGAAGGGGAGTGTGGCAGAGAGAAGGGATCCGAGAATGAGAAGGGGTTAGAGTGGGTGTGAAGGGGTTACAGTGGGTGTGAAGGGGTTAAAGCAAGTGACAGGCCCAAGGGTGGGCGGCCGGGCAATGAGGGGTCACGTCACCTGGTAAACTAGAGGTAGGAGAGAGTGGAGGGGTGGAAAGGAGAGGTGGTGTGCTGGGAGGAAAACTGGAGAAGTGTGTGCGGCACGGCTGCAGTCTGTGTTTCAGTGTGATGTTATGGCACCCCTTTCCTGCATGACCTTTATAAGCAACCTCGAGTAGGTATTCGGTTCTGCCCAATGGCAATTGGTGTGTGTGCACACACTGCTAGCCCACTTGTTACGGTACTTATTGACCTGAAATTGATCCGATATTATTATCTCTAGAGTTCTCAGTACTTGGCATGTAGGTACAGATGTGCCCATGTTACCACCTCTCAGTGTAGCTTATGGTTGCAGGGAATCTGACAGGTGACTGAATAACTCTCATGTTAAAAAATCTACCGTTAATGTGATACTAACCCGCACACGCACCAGCATGCTAATGTTTCTCTTGCAATTTGCTAGCTAGTAGCTACCCTGCTGGATGCCAAAGCAACCATATCTAAGCAGTGCTGCACATAATGGCTAGTGGCCCGCAGGCATGCCCTGTTTTGCAAGGCAATGCAATCAGTTGCATTGTTGCGTATGCTCCAAGTAGGATGTGTCTCCTACCACTTGGATTCACAAGCTCGATATCAGAATGGCCGATGCTATTGCATTGCAAGCGTATGCAGTTGATGTGAACAATGTACGGTACTGTACTCAGATCTATCCTGCCTGTGTTATCTACTGATTATTTTCACGCCACTGCAGCAGCTCATTATGGGCCTGCCCTTTGCAGAGCTTGTATTTGATGCACGAGCATGTACGGTATCAACAGTAGCCAGGTTCTTTGTGGTTAACGTTCACAATGCGCAACCCCTGTAACTGGTGTGTTTCTACGCACAGGCCCTGTAATTAAGATGCTCCGAGGGACACGCTCTGTGATTTCTGTGCCAGGGGCACAAGTCCTGTAATTAGTGTGCTCTGATGCCTAAGCTCGGTGGTTAGTGCTCCAATGCGCGCCCTGTCAGACTGCTTCGACCCAAAGCCCTGTTATTAGCATTCTACGAGGCACAAGCTATGTGGTCAGCCCTGTGGTTAGCCCTGTGGTTAGCCCTGTGGTTAGCCCTGTGGTTAGACCTGTGGTTAGCCCTGTGATTAGCCCAGTGGTCAGCCCTGTGGTTAGCCCTGTAGTTAGCCCTGTGGTTAGCCCTGTGATTAGCCCTGTGATTAGCCCTGTGGTTAGCCCTGTGGTTAGCCCTGCGGTTAGCCCTACGCAGGGGGGTGCTGAGGTGGGTAGGTCCCATGGGGAGGCGGGTCGCACAAGTAGGTGGGTTGCAGGGGGAGGCACGCAGAGGGGCAACCCGGGGAGGACGGGGAGGGGTTGGGGAAGGGACAGGGGAAGAGGGGTGTGGGGGGAGTGCTACGCAGGGGGAGAGGGGGGATACCATACCTGAGAGTGTTACTCGTCTAAATAACCTATCCTATCCTATCTGCTTCAACTCTAGCATAGGTCTTCATCCTTCGTCTTGAATTCCAAACGGAGCTGCTTCGGCTGTACTGCAAACAGACGAGAGGAGGAGACAATGGAGACAAGAGATGAGCTTCTCTACATGGTAGAATCAGGTATAATATGAAATGTAGGAGTTATCCGATTCGGGCACATGGTTTACATGGATTGGGTACCTACACAATGTACATGATAAGATATACGATATGATATGACATGCTGTTTCTAGGTTCAGTCTGTGTTTGGTTGCTTCTTGCTCACCTTCATATACAACGATGAGCTCGGACACCAGCTGGCCACACCCCGCAAGGAATCGCAATCCCCGCAAGTGTGGTGTAGAAGATGGAGGGGTGGGTGCAGAAACCCACCACAAGAGAAGGCCTCAAAGCACGTGCTATTGTTGTGCGCCCTTGAGCTCCAATGCTGCTGCCAAAATGTTGCTCCGCCCACTGCTGCTGATCACACCTGAAGGAGGAAACGAGAGGGGTTAAGGCACGTGAACAAAGAGGAGAGGAACAGCAGAGAAATAAGGCATCTGAATGTAGAGGAGTGAAGGTAAAAGAAACGAGAAACGGAGAGGAGATGCAACAGAGAGGCAGACAAAGAAAGATTGGGAACAGAGGAGAGGAGGGTTGAGCGAGCAGAATTACCATAAGAAGAGACTCGAATGTCTTGACCTCGCCTGTAGTCCGTCCCATGCCACCCTTGCTGTGCCTGTTTGTCAAACGGTGGTGCAGGAGGATATGAGAGGAGAGAAGGCGGCGTGAAGAAGCGGGAAGGAAGAAAGCGAGAGTTGACGGAACATAAAGCTTTGAGGAGATGCGGGATGGGAGGGGATGAGGAACGTACCACGGGATGGGAAAGAGGGCTCAGTTGATTCGCCCTTGCTTGTTGTCCCTTGCTGATATTGCTGCTGGTGCCACTCCTATGCCGTGATCGACTGCAGAGTGAAAGGCAGGGAAGGAGGAGACAAGGAAGGTATGAGAGGAGCGGCGATGACGTTCTATGAAGTTAGAGAGAGGGCTGGCTAGGCGACACAAGGAAATGTGGAGGGGACTTTAGCATGCAACATGTGGATCCCGCTTGACCGTTGCTCCTTCTGACAGAGAAGGGAGTGGCAAAGCAGACCAAACTGGCAAGCAGCACGAGGAGCTTACCATGTCGTGTCTGCCTGTTGTGTTCCCCTCAGCGCCCCATTTGCTGTCTCACCTTGCTGCCCTCGCCTAGTGGAAGATAGACAGGGACTGGAAGAGCGATGACAAGGGTGAAATTATGGAGAGAGAGAAGGTTGAAGGGAGACAGGAAAAGGAAGAGTGGTGACAGGGAAGAAAATAAAGACAGAGAAGGGCCGTTCGCGAAGGGCGAAGGTGCAGTAATACAGAACGGAATGCGGGTAGAGAAGGGGGGGGGAGAGAGTGGGAGGCAAGGAGGCAACTGCAAGTGATTGGGAGGCAATGAGGCAATTGCAAACGATCAGATTGACAAAAAGGTGAGAGTGAGGCGGAGCAGTAACACGTAACGATGTTTAGAGGATCGAAGGAGCAGGCAACAATGAATGCGAAAGAAAAGGATTCGTCAGAGGAGACTCACCACATCACAGTCTTCTCCCTCATATCTGCTCCTTCCTCTCTGCTCCCACTTGTCTGCTCCCCTGCGTCCTCCTCTGCTCCCGAACACAGGAGATGCACAAGGAGAACAAGAAGGAAGGAGGGCGATCGATTAATAGTGAAAGTCAGGCTACGGCGAGGAGAAGAGGAGTGGTACGAGAGAAGAACTTCAGGACAGGAGACTAGGGAAACCGAGAACAAGATGACGGAAGGAGGACAACCGAATAAAAGCATAAGGCGAATCTCACCATGTACGCTGCAGAACAAGGACTTATCCTCCTCTGCGTGTATCTTCCGCTGCTCCCTCTCCTCGGCATGTATCTTCGTCTGCTTCTTCTCCTCCTCTGCTTGCATCGTCCTCTGCTACCCCTTCTCCTCCGCTCCCTATCCTACAATTCAGAACAAATAGTGCTACAACCTAAAGGAGAAGAGAGGAGTTACAGTTTGCAGGTGAGGCGACGAGCTAAAACCTACATTCTACAGCCTGTACTATACAACAGATCAAGGCATACATCAGATAAAAAGATATCATAATGATCCCACCTATCCTCACAAAGATGTCATCCCTGTTTGTGATCGGTTCTTTCAGGTCTGGAAACATATACTGCTTGATTGTTCGTTATCCTGCTGCATGCATCAGACATAGGAGCTGCCCTGTAGTCAGAGTGGGGTTAGCGTACCTGTAGTTAGGCGCTGCCCTGTAGTCAGAGTGGGGTTAGCGTACCTGTAGTTAGGCGCTGCCCTGTAGTCAGAGTGGGGTTAGCGTACCTGTAGTTAGGCGCTGCCCTGTAGTCAGAGTGGGGTTAGCGTACCTGTAGTTAGGCGCTGCCCTGTAGTCAGAGTGGGGTTAGCGTACCTGTAGTTAGGTGCTGCCCTGTAGTCAGAGTGGGGTTAGCGTACCTGTAGTTAGGCGCTGCCCTGTAGTCAGAGTGGGGTTAGCGTACTGTAGTTAGGCGCTGCCCTGTAGTCAGAGGGGGGTTAGCGTACCTGTAGTTAGGCGCTGCCCTGTAGTCAGAGTGGGGTTAGCGTACCTGTAGTTAGGCGCTGCCCTGTAGTCAGAGTGGGGTTAGCGTACCTGTAGTTAGGCGCTGCCCTGTAGTCAGAGTGGGGTTAGCGTACCTGTAGTTAGGCGCTGCCCTGTAGTCAGAGTGGGGTTAGCGTACCTGTAGTTAGGTGCTGCCCTGTAGTCAGAGTGGGGTTAGCGTACCTGTAGTTAGGCGCTGCCCTGTAGTCAGAGTGGGGTTAGCGTACTGTAGTTAGGCGCTGCCCTGTAGTCAGAGTGGGGTTAGCGTACCTGTAGTTAGGCGCTGCCCTGTAGTCAGAGTGGGGTTAGCGTACCTGTAGTTAGGCGCTGCCCTGTAGTCAGAGTGGGGTTAGCGTACCTGTAGTTAGGCGCTGCCCTGTAGTGAGAGTGGGGTTAGCGTACCTGTAGTTAGGCGCTGCCCTGTAGTCAGAGTGGGGTTAGCGTACCTGTAGTTAGGCGCTGCCCTGTAGTCAGAGTGGGGTTAGCGTACCTGTAGTTAGGCGCTGCCCTGTAGTCAGAGTGGGGTTAGCGTACCTGTAGTTAGGCGCTGCCCTGTAGTCAGAGTGGGGTTAGCGTACCTGTAGTTAGGAGCTGCCCTGTAGTTAGAGTGGGGTTAGCGTACCTGTAGTTAGGCGCTGCCCTGTAGTCAGAGTGGGGTCAGCGTACCTGTAGTTAGGCGCTGCCCTGTAGTCAGAGTGGGGTTAGCGTACCTGTAGTTAGGCGCTGCCCTGTAGTCAGAGTGGGGTTAGCGTACCTGTAGTTAGGCGCTGCCCTGTAGTCAGAGTGGGGTCAGCGTACCTGTAGTTAGGCGCTGCCCTGTAGTCAGAGTCGGTAAGTCCAGCCAGAGGGAGCATCTCACCAGAGAAGAGTGTCTGAGCCGGTGTTGCATGCACCAGCAGCATCGCCAACAGCACCATCAGCGCTAACAGCACCAGTAGAAGCTCTGCATGCGCCATCACCATCACCACCGGCGGTCACAAGCAGCACTCGCACCCACCAATACCCACTGCATCTTGCTGTTGGGATGAAATGGGCAGGAGAAGGGAAAGCGCAGAGGGACAGGTGAAATAGGCAGAGCGAGGGAGTGAGTGAATGAAAGTCTAGAAGCATGAACCAATGCATGAGAGAGAAACGAGAAAGCAAACTAGTGGTTGGTTGGGCCACAGTAAAGTGGAGATTCGCTCTTGAGAGGAGATTCACCTGGGGAGGGTCCCTTGATCAGAACGCAGACAGCTGAGTAGGAGGAGGAACAAGGAGCGAGGGGAGGAGGGCACCAGGTAGGTGGAGAAGACGACTGCTCCTCCCGTGCTGTCTTCAGTGGTTGCACTTGAAGCAGCACCCCTCCAAGCACACCCCTCTCAGCAGCACCCTTCCCAATGGCTGTCTCTGTCACTCCTTGTTGCTCGCACTCCCTTTGGCCTGGAAAAGGCGATAGAGTTGAGGATAGGGATAAGGACTCGGGATGCAGGAAGTATTCCCAAGGACGGAAGGCAGCAATGAAACAGGAATTGCAAGCGACAAAAGAAACAAGGCAGGGAAATCCGTAGAAAATAGAGAAGTGGACGATGCAATGTAAACAGAGAGGCGATGGTAGCACACAGCACTAGGGCGGCGAGCTAGCAGGCAAGGGGGGACTGGGTAAGGAAGGGACGCGGGCATGTGTATGAATGCATTCTACTCTACCCTCCTACGACTCTAGTATGAGCTCAAGCCGCCCCAGTGCCATGCGCTACCATCGCCAAAACGCCGCTCATCTCTCATTCAACTTTTGACGCTCATCTCACGTCTCTCATTTTGTTTTTCCGAACATGCAGTGAGGAAAAAACGCTGTACAAAAGCGGGCAATGATAAACATGAAGCAGAAACGGGAAGGTCGGGAAGCGCGAAGGGAGAGGGAACTTAGCCGTATTGCAGGACAGTGGCGTCAGGCTTCCAGGAGGCTCGCACACCGCTGTGACTGCCTGCCGTGCGTCATCCCACCGCCCTCCCAACCAGCACCACGCTGCCATAGCACCAGACGAGAGGGGTGGAGCAAAGGAAAGCAAGAGGACCGATAGGAACCCAAGTCGTCAGTAGAAGCAAGAAAGTAGTGAAATGCATGCAAGGAGGCAGAGATAACAAGAACGAATGAGTAACGGAAATGAAAGTTGAAGATGAAAAGCATGTGGCATTGTAACTCTATGAAAGGGGAGGCGATGGTAGCACACAGCACTAGAGCGGCGAGCTAGCGGGCAAGGGGGGACTGGGTAAGGAAGGGACGCGGGCATGTGTTTGAATGCATTCTACGCTATCCCCCTACGGCTCTAGTATGAGCTCAAACCGCCCTAGTGCCATGTGCTACTATCACCAAAACGACGCTCATCTCTCACTCGACTTTTTTTTCGATACATGCGGTGAGGGAAAAACGTGTACCAGATGTGGTCAATGATAAACACGAACCAGAAGCGGTAAGGATGACAAGGGGAAAGGGAGAGGGGACTTAGCCGTATGGGTGGTGCCCGCAAGCGACAGTAGCAGCGAGGCAGCAGTCCAGCAGCAGAATACACTCTTCCCATTTTGGCTTGATTTCGACCGCCCTCGCATTCGCCTCCGGCCAGCGCTTAGATCGTAACCGCGAGAAATCATCACCATCTCGATAGTCAGCGTCGGCAAGCGTCGCGTCAGTTGTCACCGTGAGAAGTGACCATCTCGATAGTCAGCGTCGGCAAGCGTCGCGTCAGTCGTCGCCGTAAGAAGTCACCATCTCGATCGTCACCTCAGAAAGCGTCGCTTTCATCGTCACTGTAAGAATTCGCAATCCTGATCAATCCTCATCTTCACCGCCGGAAACGTCTCAATCGTCACAATCGGGAAGCGTCGATTTGATAGTCACTTTAAAATAGTCGCTTTAATTGTCACCGCGGGAAATCGCAGTCCTCGCCACCGACGGAAAACGTCACTTCAATCACCACCATTAGAAATCGTCACCGTCAGAAATCGTCGGTTCGGTCGTTAGCGTCAATAGCCTTGATCGTCACCGTCAGATGCAGCCGTCGCTGACCGTCTCAACCATCACCATTGGAAATAACCGCGACGTTCGTCACCGTCAGGAAACATCCTCCCAATCACCACCGTTAGATGCCGATGACTCGCTACTCGAAGTCCGAAGTACTCATTGCTAACCCCGTATAATCATTCAGCGCTGTCTTCGTCGTGTGAAACAGCTGTCGCTGGCAGCCTCGGTCATCACCAACTCGAAACTTTCTCGCTGCTGGAGAGCGGCGACGCCTCTTGACTAGAAGGAGCGTTTGGAGATCGGAAAACTATGTTCCGCGTTCGTCAGACGTCTAGAATACTTGAACCAAGTTGCTCTGGAAACTGGAGCAGAAATCCGAACTGCGGTCAAGAAAGAGATTGCTACGGAAATGAAACTGCTCCGAATGACTACAACTTCTAAGCTTAAAATGCTTCTGTCCGACTAGATCAGGCTGTGATTATGTTAAAGGTTACTGGTTTGCGTCAGGAGCCGCAGCCATGGATTGCAACGATCAGTGGTCTCAGTCTTGACGACCTTAAGATAAAAAAACCTGAACATTAAGAAGACTAATACTACAATCGAGAACCAAATATGGTTTGCAACAAGCTGGCGACAGCCATGGACTTCAGCTAAGCGAGCTAATTCTCAAGGAATCCACGAGCGAATAGCTGTGACCATGGTTAGAAGGAATGAAGTTCAGGGAAGCTGGAGAATGGATTTTAGGGAGAAAGGCGACCATCAGTGAAAAAAGCCAGGTTCAGAGGTGAAATCAGGGGAATATAGACGGATTCAGAGTGGTGAAGAAGGATTCACAGAAATGATAGTAGACCCATAACCATTTCTCCTGCTAAGGTGCAGGCCGCCGTACCGTCGGCGGACGGTGGCAGCTCTTTATAGCGTTGACGATGGGGATAGGCATTTCGTTCGCGGAAGATACGACTCGCGAAACTTCGAGTTGAGTTTTGCGAGAAGATCCTCAGAATCTCCGCAGCTCGGCAATCCCGCAGCTCCGCCGCTTGCGCGGGAATTGTCTGTCAGAAGGGCATGCTTCTGACACGGCGCCGTGATGTACATTCGTATGGGTGCATCACCACACCATCGTCTGTGATGTGATGGTTGTCGTCGATGCTTCTCCTTTAGGAACACCACCATTTGATCGAACGGCCGAGAGCAACTTTCATTTGCGATGCGATGCGGTGCTCCCTCCAGGCCGAAGTTTGAATTGTTGTGTTACCGAAGCATGTTTGTATCGGAACTTTGGCAACCTCATTCACCTACACCTGATAAATCCCAATGAGTTGAACTATACAGAATGACTTCCAGCAAAGTTTCAGCTCCCAAGTTTCACATGCATGCTGAACGGGTGAGGGTGTGCATGTACCCCTTGGCATGCACAATAACGGGCATGGCGTTACCAGTGTGGTGGAACAAAACTCTCAGTTTGCAAGACAACATGGGGACGATACGGTACGCCAGTCGTGCCGTTTCATCGTGCAGCTAGTGCACGTCATCCTCCACTCCTCTCCTCTCCCACCACTACTACTAACTTATTCTAAAACTTCATGTGCACGATTGGTGGCCTCTGCATGCATGTGTAAGGTCTTGTTTGGCTAATCGGCTCCCATCAGGTCAGGAACTTCTTTCTGGCAAGTCCATGGAGCTCACGAGTGCCCACGCTGCACCATTTTCAACCCACTCTATCAAACACAGGTCATGTAAATATTCACCATACCATACACTAACGATCACATTGATTATTCAGTAACCAAGCTCTTCTGGAGTGTAATTAAGCAGAGTCTGCAGCGCGCTGGGTGCAATCTTCCTAAGCACGAGGAAGCAGGAGTTCTGATGACCGCCCCAGGAGCACTTGGAGTCCCACTTGACAGACGTGAGGAAGTGCGGGGTGAGCTGCTCCCTTGTGTACTCCACCGGATGTGGGCCCCCTGACCACATCGCCCATGTGGGGCCCCTCCTTGCCACATGCGCTGGATCGCGGATCTAGAGGAGGGGAACGGAGGGAGGGAGAAGGGAGAGTGGGAGGTGGGTGAGGGGGGGAGGAGACATGGGCAGGGACACGTAGGGATCTTGAAGGGCGACATGGGGGAAACGGAGGAGAGAGAGCGAGAGGGGATACGTAGGGAGAGGGACAGGGGCAGGTCATAAAGCAGGAGCAGGGGAGGAGTGGTGGTTCAGTGGTGGTGAGGGGGGTAGGGATGGAGAGGGATTGTACAGTTTTAAGGTAACTGAGCGCATTTGAATGAGACAGCACAGTACGATGCCATGAGCATCTGAATGGGGAGTACCTTGAGTAATGTTTGAAAATAATGCTCATCCAAATAACAGTGCCTATGCCAGTTGTCACCCTGCAACCGAGGAAAGAAATGATATATGGGGACACACGGAGAGAGGAGGGCAGGAAAGACGAACATCAGACATTTTTGCCGATTTAATGACCAGAAATAATAGTCGAACAGAAGGGTCTGCACCCATAAACACCACCATACCACGTATCCACACACACGCCACCCCACTCCCCTGCGCTCACCCCACTCCCCTGCGCTCACCTTGCACCATCTGGCGAGGGTGGGGTAGATGGTTGCGTCCGTGGCAGCAAGGAAGGCGTGGTGCCATGTCAGCGCCCACCACTGCTCAGGATAAGGCGGGCGGAGCAGCAGTCAAAAGTTGAAAGTAAGGAATAGAAGGAAGGGGAGGACATCTGAGAACCCTTGGAGCAGGGCATCGTGAAAAAAGGATTGATTACTGGGAATTTTCAGGATTAAATGGAGTATACCTGAGAGCCCTTGGTCCACTGGTTCCTTTGCACGTGCGGCTGCATGCGACTGCTGTAGTGCCCCATGCAGTTCCAATCATTGTTGCACGCACTGCATTGGGGCGAGAGTTGAGAGGCGAGGAACGAAGAGCATGGGGTGAGTAAAGACACTGAGGGCGGAGAAAATGGGAGAAGCAATAGAAATGAAGATGGATTTGTTAAAAGAAGAGGCGTGGGTAAGCGAAGTCCTAGGATGGCTGTGTGCGCAGGCAGGCATTGAAGTGCATGAACGCGTTGCTTCACTCACCTGTGCAGCAGGCTTTGGTTTTCCGCCATCAAGTAGCGGTAGGTGAAGGGAAAGTCGTGCAGAGGCATGCACCTGTCGGGGGGGATGGGGCGTAGAGGGCACGGAGGGGGGTGAGGGGTAGGTGAAGGGAAAGTCGTGCAGAGGCATGCACCTGTCGGGGGGATGAGGTGTGGAGGGCAAGGAGGGTGATGGGGAGGCGAAGTGGAAGCAGCAGCGTAGGGTCATGCATTTGTTTTTGCTGATAAGGCGAGACGGACACCTAAACCATGAGTCGGCAGACTGAGATAGACACCTTATAAAGCAACGAGACCCCTTTCCCTTCGCCAGGAGCCATCCCACCCACCCACCGACCGACCCACCCACCCACCCTCCGACCGACCGACCTACCCACCCAGCCACCCAAGCACCCACCCATTCATTCATTCATCCCATCCCATTCCACCCCCTCCCCTCATGCACGACTCAGAGACGATGATAAATCTCTTGTTGGCGGGGTCCAACAGCGCGTTCGCCAGGAGGCATCCCACCCACACACCTACCCATCCCACCCACCCATTCATTCACCTTCATCCCATCCCATCCCATCCTACCCCCAACGCACGACTCAGAGACGATAATGAAGCGCTTGTTGGCCGGGTCCAGCAGGGCGTTCGCCAGGAGCCAATTCACCCACCCACGCACCCACGAACCCATCCCCTCCCCCCCCCTCCCCTCCCACGTACGACTCAGAGACGATGAGGAAGCGCTTGTTGGCCGGATCCAACAAGGCGTTCGCGAGGAGGCGTCGCTCTGCCGCCACCATAGAGGGGTCGCCCCACTGCACCTTCTCGCTGGGGATCTCCCGCGCGTAGAACACAGGCGACGAGTCCAAGGGATACTGGAACCCTGGTGTTGTGTGCACGTACACCGAGTACCGCCGCTCGTGGCCCTGGGGGACGAGAAGAAGGGGAAAAAGGGGGAGAAATGACTCTTGAGTCGACTCAGTAGTCATTTTGAGGCCAGTGGGTACTGGAACCCTGGTGCTGCATGCACATACACCGAGTACTGCCGCTCGTGGCCCTGAGGGGGGAAGCGACAGCCCAGGTGTAGGGGATGTTGAGGCAGGTGCAGATGGTGGAAGAGAGAGTGGGGGGGAGAGTGTGTGGTGGCAGTGACAGTAGGGTTTGCAGGTCGCACCGAAGGTAAGACAATGAACACAATGGGGGGTGCGAAGGTAACCTCGAATTTTGCAGCAGCAAGGGATCTCACCCGAAGGTACCTCTCCCATAGTCTACTAAGAGGCATGGGTCCACGTGTCAGGAATAAGAACGCGACTCGGTCCTCCTCCCCCTGGCCGCTCCCCTTGGGCTGCCCGTCCGGGTACAACCTCCGCACCCTATCAAACAGCGCCACGTCAGCGGCGGATAAGACCGGCTCGTCCATGCTTCCGGGCGGCGGGCCTTGTCGTATCTCCTGGTCGGAGCATCTGTGACCGGTGAGGTTGACGCAGGGAGATTCGTCCTTGGCTAGTAGGCGGAGATATGCCGGTGTGGGATCGGTTGGAGATCCCGCGAGAGACGGAGGGATGGAGGAGGAGGAGGAGGACGAGGAGGAGGAGTTTTCAGGTAATGTTGTGTGGGAAGACGATGAGTCTGTGTGTTGGTGTGTCGTCGAGCGACCGTAGCTGTCGCGGGTTTCGCTGGCATCGCCGAGCGCGGATTCTGAGCTCGCGAGGCTTCGCAATTGCCTTCGCAGCGGCGGCGAAAGCAGCACGGTAACCGCGAGAAACGCGGATATACCCAAGGCGACGGGGAGGATGCTACGCTTGGTGCTACGGCCCTTGGGATTCGAGCGTCTTGGAACACTGCTAGCGGAACCCGCGCTCCCTGCTAAGACTCCTCCTTTCGCGACAACAGTCGGCATCCTTAATCGCCTCTGAGTTAGCTCACAAAATCGTAGAAGATTTTATGCCGAGCATCTTAGACAGTGGCGCTAATCTCTGGTGCGGAAGCGCCGTATCGCACGACTGCAACGTTACGACGATAGCGACGTCTCTATGAAACATAAGTTGCAGTCATTCCGAAATGGAATGCTGCGCACATTCTGAAGCTTCTGTGCTTCGCTTTTCTGAATGCCATGGATTCTGGAAGGAGAAACTTGAGCAAGGAGATTCAAGTCAGGCAAATGACGGACGGAATCTGACAGCCAATCTGGATCAGCCCAGCACTGCCAAACAAAACCTGTCAGAATGTGTCAGAAGGTTGGATTGCACCCAACCCTAATGTAATGTGGACACCCACCCCACCCTTGGTTTACCAAGGCCCTTGACCAGCTCCCGCCTGTTGTCAGGCAGGAATTGCCGAGTTTGGGGCTCTGCACTACAAATCCCCCCCTCCAGCTTTTCCCAGCGCAGCAGCGTCGCTTGGCGGTTGAAAGTCTTCAGTCTCTGCGGCGCATGGCCCGCGATGATGCTACCTTGGCCCGTTTGACTTCCCTTCAGGGCCCGGGTTCGGCAGCATGGGTGTCCGCAATTCCAGCGCATGATGACGCAACTTTCACCCCTGTGGAGTGGGGCATTTCGGCGGCAATCCGTTTGGGCCTTCCCGTCCACCAGCTTCTGGTTGCTGGCAAGTGTGTTTGCGGTGTGGAGTTCAAGGACCCGTCAGATCCGCACCATGCTCTTCGGTGCAAGTACCAGTACGCCCCGTCTCGTGTTCATGATGCAGTGAAGCTCGTTGTTGCTAAGATAGCCAAGGCATCGGGTGGGGTGGTTACGATCGAGGATGACACGCTTCTGCCGGGGAAGAGAGTGGATGTGGCGGTTAGGAAACCAATGGACGGGGAAAAACATGCGCTCGAGGTGAGCGTCGTGGATCCGGTTTCGCTACCGGTGCAGCAGCATGGGCAGTGTGGGCGGATAGTAGGTTTTGCTGCCAAGGAGCGAGAGAAGAGGAAGGCGACGGATTATCAACCTTTTCTGCGGCAACACAGGGGGGTTCGTTTCTTCCCGTTGATTCTTGAGACTTGGGGTTGCTTGGGGGGAAGCTTTCGACAGTGGTTACGGCAGCAGGGGGAGGTTCAAGTAAAGGTGGCTCTTAACAAAGGTGTGGGAAGGGGCAACAGCTCGGGTTTCTCGGAATACTTGGTGGGGTCCTTGACAGCCGCGGTAGGGGTAGCTTTGCAGAAGGCACAGGCTCGGGTGATTCTTTTGCGGGCGGCATACACGTTGGGTCAGTCCGAGGCGGAGTGGGTGGAGCGAGGGGGTGGGGAGCAGGAGTTTGGAGAGGGAGCACCATGGGTGGACGTGCCCTACTTGGTCGACATGCGGCTGTAGATGTCTTAGGAAGCAATACTTTGTTTCGGGTTTTGGCGATGGTCTTTTGATGTTTGAGGTAGTAAGACACTTCTAGGAAGGGTTTATGCATGTCTGTATGCTTGTTGAAATGTAACAACCCAGTCCAAATTAACCCAACCAATCAAAAGATCACAAATTCAAATACAGTTCCTGAGTATGTGTGTACTGTACCTCGTGTACCTTGTGGTACATGTACACTTATCGATTTTTTAATCAGAAACGCCGATTTGCAAAACCGCCCTGGGATCTCCTCCGAGCTCGTCAGTGAAGCGTATAGATGCTCCCCTTCACTCAAAGAACACCCATCTTCACTCAAGTCTGGACTGGAGTCTCCTAATCCGGCCATTTTCCACTACGTCTGTTTCTCCCACCATGATCTGAGATGCTCCATTCCAGAGCCACATCAGCCGTTCGTCCTGGGAAGATCATTTCCCGTTTTCTCACAAATTATCGATCGCTTTCGCGGGAGGTCTCCTCTGATTTCGCGACGACCTGCGTAACCCGCTGCGAGCGCGTGAATCTAGAAGGCGTCGAATCCGGAAGGCTCGATCTTGGGAGACTTGCCATGCTTCATGTAATCGTACCGTCAGACGCGCTCTCGTGCCGTCCGTTGCGCAGCCTACGCAGCACACCCGTCGCCGTCGCGGATCGTAACAACGGACGAGGATGCGACGTGTCGAACCTTCATCAGTCCCCCCCTCTCTCATTCTCCACGTCAGCGTATTTAACCGCTCTACCTTTCAGTCGTCGGACTTCCCGTCATGTGCTCCCAGTTCTTTCCTCCTCCATCGTAGCCGTTCCTCTCCCAGTGTCAGGCTTGTCACCTTTATCCATACTTCGAGCTCCCACCGCCTCACTTACTGGTTTGACCACGTCCGTCCGCGGTCTCCTAACCTCGGGATTCCATCCCTCGTCGAAATCCCGCCGAGATGAGCGGAGGCTGGGGATCGCGCCAAGGGGGGACGCGTGGCGGGTGCGCGCGCAGGGTATTGCGGGGGATGCGGGGACGAATGTAGCGGCGATAGTTGAGGTAGAGGCGGAGCCGGAGGGGTGCGAGGGGGTTGGCGGAGCGGAAGGGGAGAAGGCGGAGAAGCTTCAGTATGTGCCCCTGCACACGCACAGCGACTTTAGCCTTTTGGACGGAGCCAGCCAGGTGCGTGGCCCTGTAACCCCTTACATTAACCGGATTAAGCGAGTACAAAACTTGACTTGATCCCCACGCTGGTAATTTCTGCGTCCGTACGTCCTTACGTCCTTATTGAACCCCCATCCTGTTGCTCCTGATCATGCCCCCACACGTGATGGCAGCTGAAGGGACTGGTGGCACGCGCCAAGGAGCTCAACATGCCCGGCATTGCGCTCACTGACCATGGCGGTGAGTCTGCTGCGCCTTTTGAGTCGCCTCAAAAGCCTCTTCGTTCTGAGTTGAATCTCAAAATTGAATTACAAGGGGTCGAACGCGCCAAGGAGCTCAACATGCCCAGCATTGCTCTCACTGGCCACGGTGGTGAGTCTGCTGCGCTTCACTTACAAGTCTGATTACCTGTAGACAGTCTAATTCACCGCAGAGAGACCAAGGCAGTATGTTGCACCTCAAATTTCTTCCCTCTGTCAACCCCCCTTGCCTTTGCCGGCTTTCCCCCCACTCGCCTTGTCTTCTGTGTTTTGCCTATCGACGCCTTACCCACCCATCTCTCCTCTCCTGCCTTCGCAACCCCCGCCACGCTCCCTTTCATTCAATTAAAGCCCATCATTGCAACGAATTGTGCTTATTGGGTGGTTTTTGAGGTGCCTTGAAAACACGCACACCCCTCTCCCCCCAACCCCCCCCCCCCCCCCCCCCCTCTTCCCCCGCCCCTCTCCCCCCAGTGATGTACGGTGTGCTGCAGCTGGTGCGCATGTGCGAGGCGGAGGGCTTAAAGCCCGTGATCGGCAACGAGATGTACCTCGTGCATGACCAGGGCGCTCCCGCTGCTCTGCTGCAGGCCGCACGGGCCCTCAGGGAGGAGAAGGAGCTGGGAGAACAGGGGGAGCAGGGGGAGCAGGGGGGTCAAGGGGAGATGAGGGAGGAGAGGGAGGAGAGCGGGATGGGGAATGGGATGGGAGCGGCGGAGGGGGAGGGGGGTGTGGGAGGTGGAGGTGGAGGACAGGTGGTGTTGGAAAGAGTGGGGGAGGTGGGTGGTGCTGTAAAGGGGAGTGGTAGTGGAGAGGGGGAAGTGGGGCAAGGAGTAGGGGGTGAGGTCGCAGAGGGGCTGGCTGGGGAAGAGCAGGCAGGGGAGGCGGAGGCAGTTGGGGCAGGGAAGGCAGTTAAAGCACCCCCAGTCAAAAGGTGAGTGCGTGGGAGGGCGGATTGGCCCGAAGGGGAGAAATGATTCATTTTGTATTCTGGTAGGGGCAGATTCTTGAGTAAGGCAAGGTGCCCATGTGCCTTTCCCACGCATCCATCTCCCATGCATGCACCCCCCACCCCACAGATACCACCTGACTGTTCTAGCCAAAGACATGGAGGGATACCGGAACCTGGTGGTGCTGCTTTGAGAGGCACTATAAAGTCCCCCATCTCCATGCGTCCACATCCACCCCTCACCCCGCAGATACCACCTGACTGTTCTAGCCAAGGACATGGAGGGGTACCGCAACCTGGTGCCACTCTGTGAGGTGCCTCAACATCCCCCATGCATCCACGTCCTCCCACCCCACCCCGCAGGTACCACCTGACAGTGCTGGCCAAGGACATGGAGGGGTACCGGAACCTGGTGCAGCTCACGTCCCTCTCGCACCTGCATGGCATGGTGGTGAGTCTAAGTCGCATGCTTGTGAGAAGGAAGAAAGGAGTTATGGAGTGGGGAGCACGGAGGACTTGGGCACGTATACTCTCATCTGTTTTTCTCTTTGAATCTCTGCCTAAAAGCACACACAGAGGTGCGCAGTGGGCAGTTTGATTTGACGAGACCTTGTGTATCTTCATGGTTCCCCATGAGGCTCGATTGTGAAATCCCGTCAAGTGTTTTTCTATTCCTGTTTCTTCTTTCTGCTTCATGGCAGGGCAACGGGGCAAGAGGGCGCCCGTGCATCACAAGGTGGGTGTGCATGCATGCTTGCATCGTCTAGAGGCTGCTGACTGACACGCTTCTACTTTCTCGAGTGCAAGAATGGTATTCGCTTTGCCAAGCTGTTGGGCTACGCACCCTGCGTGTGTGTGACGGGGCTTTGGCTGATTGGCATCCTCTTTCCTCCACACCACCTCCCCCCATTCCGTTGCTGTTGCAGGGAGCTGTTGGCGCATCACAGAAAGGGGCTCGTCGTGCTGAGTGGATGCATGTCAGGAGAGGTACGCTGGAGGCCTGAGTAGTCCGAACGCTGTGCTGTCTGAGCTGAGCACATCATTCGTTAGGCATGCATGCGTGGATGTCATGACACATACATCACGCAACGGCCTCGTGTTATGCTTGATCTCCTCTTCTCTCTCCACTCTCCCAGTTCTCCATACGCTCCTTGAGTTCACTCGATATCCGGTTCATCTCTCTCGCTTCCCCTCCTCTGCTCGTCTGGGAGTGCAGGTGCCGCGTGCCATCATGGCGGATCGCATGGACGAGGCTCGCAGCACAGTTGACTGGTGAGTTTTCCGCGCATCTGATGCGCGCATCATACCCCCACCGCACCGCCCTTCTCCTCTGCTCGTCTGGGAGTGCAGGTGCCGCATGCCATCATGGCGGATCGCATGGACGAGGCTCGCAGCACAGTTGACTGGTGAGCCCATCCCTTGCATGTGCTGCATCACATCACATCATGCTTGCAAGCAAGTACACGAATGACACATATACTATCCAGAGGCGATGGCCAACCCATCACCTCTCTCCGCCTTGCATGCAGGTACCAGTCAGTGTTTGGTTCAGACTACTACCTAGAGGTGATGGACCACGGGCGCATTGACTTTGTCAGCGGCTACGATGTCAACGCCAAGATCAACCGTGCACTGCTGCACCTGTCCCAGCAGACGGTGAGGGGGATGGGGGGGGAGGGGGATGTGTAGGGAGGGAGATGGGCCAGTCCTGAGGCTAGGTCAGGTCAGGGTGATGCCGATTGGGGAGGATGCAGGGTGAGGGAGCAGGAGTCTATGGAATGTTGGTATAGGAGTGCCAGTGCCCTGATGCTCGTGCCTCGTGTCCTCACTCACCTGCACTGAGTAAGTACTCTGTCAATTGTCTTATGTTTGCTTCAAGAATCATTTGTCCTTTCCCCCACTTGGCAACCCATCACTCCCTTCCATCCCCTCCACTTTCGGTCCCCATTCCTCCCACCTTCGCCCGCATTTTCCCCCACTTTTGCCCCGCATTCCTCCCACCTTCGCCCCGCATTCCTCCCACCTTCGCCCCGCATTCCTCCCACCTTCGCCCCGCATTCCTCCCACCTTCGCCCCGCATTCCTCCCACCTTCGCCCCGCATTCCTCCCACCTTGCCTCTGGTGGCCACAAACGACTCTCACTTCACCCGGGCTGCGGACCACAGGGCGCACATTCTCCCTATCCCCCCCCCCTTCTCCCCCCATTTCCCCCTCTTGCACCTTCCCTTCCCTCTACCCCACCCAGGGCGTGCCCCTGGTGGCCACCAACGACTCTCACTTCACCCGGGCTGCCGACCACAGGGCGCACCAAACACTCGTCTCTGTCAAGGTCTGTGCCCTTGGGTTCTGCGTTGCTACAGCAACCTCTGTGAGGCCAGAGAATTTTGTAAAAGGATTTCTTGTGTTCTTCTTGCATGTCCATGTTCATGCCTGTGTGATAATGTACCCCTCACTCTCCCTCTCCCGCTTGCGTGTGCATTGCAGGCAGGGAAGAATCTTGTCCAAGCATATACGTGAGTCGCCTGCCTCCGTGTGTAGCAGTAATCATAATCTCTTTCACTTCCACCACTCATTTGATTCTTCAAAATTACGCAAGCGAATCTTGTTCTTCTTAGCTAATCCGTGGCTGGACTCCTTCTAACAGAACGTTTCAATCTGCCGTATCCCAATCCGCACATCACATCACATCACATCACATCACATCACATCACATCACATCACATCACATCACATCACATCACATCACATCACATCACATCACATCACATCACATCACATCACATCACATCACATCACATCACATCACATCACACGACATGACATCAGGGGACAAGAGTACGTGAAGTCGCCAGAGGAAATGCTGGAGAGTTTGCAGAGGACTCTCCCTGAGGATCAAGCTTTGGAAGCCCTTCAGAACTCCCTGCGCATTGCTGATAAGGTGAGGAGGAGTCTAAGTGGCAAAAGACGCTGGGCGCGTCATGCGTCCTGCGTCTGGACGCAGCGTCCGGACGCAGGGACGCTGGACGCGCGTCCAGACGCAGGACGCACGGCATAATTTTTTTCGGGCTGACCGGATTTTTTTTGTTTTGTTTCCCGATCGCGAAGTTGACATTCGCGATTTCGACGCGAATGTCAATGTCGCGAAATTTCGACCCCCAGACCCATTTCGACCATCAAAAACAGCCCACACACAATTCTCCTTCGTAAACCCTTGAGGGTTTAGCTACCTTTCGCTCCATAGTGCTACCTTTCGCTCCATAGCTATGTTTTTGCCTCACATGTGTGATACGTCGTCCTCCCCCCCCTTCCCATGCCCTATAACGTGTTTTTTTGGCTGCCCGGGGGCTTCTTTTGCCCTGCCCGGGCCTGCGTCTTTTGCTGCGTCTCAAAGGCCCACATCATGCGTCCTGCGTCTAAGACGCTGCGTCTGGACGCACTCGTCTTAGACGCAGGACGCGTCTTTTGCCACTAAGGGAGGAGTGTCTGTCGCATGACTTGGTGCGGCCGCCTGTCTGTCACTTGGCTAAAGCTACCGAAGCAATGCTGGAGAGTCTGCGGAGGAGCATGCTGTGGTGGCAGCCCTTCAGAACTCCCTGCGCATTGCTTATAAGGTGAGGTTGCCTGTCTGTCTCGTGGCTCCTGCATAAACCCAAAGCCACTGATACAATGCTCCACAGCCTACAAAGGACTCTCTCTCCCCGCTCGCCCCTTCTCCAGGTGGCCAGGCCACCTACTCCATTTCTCGTCCAAGCGCAAGCTGCGCCCTAAGCCTGTTCTGCGTCTCCCGTCCTTCCCCCCGCCCTCCCCCAGGTGGCCTCGTATTCCCCAGACCTCTTCTCGTCCAAGACCAAACTGCGTCCTAAACCCTTTTTGCGTCCCCCTCCTCTCCCCTCGCCCCTCCCCCAGGTGGTTTCCTACTCCTCCGACCTCTTCTCCTCCAAGCACAAGATGCGTCCTAAGCCCTTGCATTACTCCCCTCCCATCCCCTCCCATCTCTGCCCCTCGCCATTCCTCTCCCCTCGCCCCTCCAACAGGTGGTCTCCTACTCCGCCGACCTCTTCTCGTCCAAGCCCAAGCTGCCCACCTTTGACGTGCCTCCTGGCCACACCGACGCTTCGTGGCTTGAGGTGCGGTGGGGTGGGGTGGGGGAAGGGAAAGGGGATGGATAGGGGAGTGAAGGTGAGAAAGGGGCGGTACAAAGCTGCCCACCTTTGACGTGCCTCCCGGCCACACGGATGCTTCGTGGCCTGAGGTGAGGGCGTGTGAGAGGTGGGGGGTGCATCAAGTGAGGGGGCAAGTGATTCGAGATCGAGAGGGGAGGAGAGTTGAGGAGATGAGAGTGGTAACTTCACCTCAATGGCTCTTGCTATTGTTTTTTTCCGAGTTTCTGTCTGCTTGATCCGTTGAACCCTTGATCTTGCTACTCCATGCTCATGCATGTCCTTTCCATGTGTGCGTGCATGCATGCCATACGTTCCTGCACGTGTGGAATCAGAGTGAGGCGCGGAGGGGGCTACAGGCAGTGATGGGCGTGCACACGTGGGAAGCAGTGCCCCAGCAGTACAGGGAGCGACTAGACCTGGTCACTTAGACCATGCTCACACATGTCCATTCCATTCCATGTGTGCATGCCTGACGTACCTGTCAGAGTGAGGCGCGGAGGGGGCTGCAGGCAGTGATGGGCGTGCAGTCATGGGAGGCAGTACCGCAACCGTACAGGGAGCGATTGGACCTGGAACTCAGGGTCATTTGCAACTATGGCCTCTCCGCCTACTTCCTCGTATGTCCTCCTTTCTTGTCATCCCATACGCTCCAACTTTGAGTCGACTCACAAGTCCTCCCTGCAAGTATTGCCGCTCTGCTGCTCTGTATGCTTCCGCAACACCTTCCTAGCAACCTGCGCATCTCTCTCGCATCCGGCCCCCCCTCTACCCACTCCCGCCCTTCACCTCTGGAGCAGATAGTGGCGGACATCATTCAGTTGTCGGTGAGTATTGATTCGACTTAAAAGTCTCCTCGCCCCTCCCCGCCCCTCCCCGCCCCTCCCCGCCCCTCCCCGCCCCTCCCCACCCCTCCCCGCCCTTCCCTGCCCTTCCCCGCCCTTCCCCGCCCCTCCCCACCCCTCCTCGCCCGTCCCCACCCCTCCTGCCCCTCACATCTGGAGCAGATAGTGGCGGACATCATTCAGTTTGCTCGCAGGAACGACATTCCTGTGGGCCCGGGCAGGTGAGGCAGGGCGCGGATGGCGGGGGATTGATTAAGTAAGCCAGATGCCGTATTTCGCTGGGATGAGGCTCGTTTGGATGAAGCTTGGTTTTTGGTTTAAACTTAACTACATGCTCATGGGACAGGGCAGGTGAGGCAGGCATATGAGATAAAGGGAAACGAGTGGCATGGCACTTCTGCTTGGGGACTCTTTTTTGCGTGGCTACTTTTGACTGAATTTCACTTGCAGAAGCGACATTTCTGGGGGAGTGATGCTATATTGTGCTCTGAGCGGTCATCGTGTCTCAACAGATAACGTCAGAGTGTAAATCAACTCGGTCTCCCCACTTCTGTCTCCCTTCCCCCCCACTCCCCACCTTCCCCCTCCCCCCTCCAACGGGCGCCCCCAGAGGGTCAGCAGCGGGATCCCTGGTGGCATACGCGCTGGAGATCATTTCCATTGATCCCATCGAGCATGGTGCGTGAGGGGCCCCTATGCTCTTCCTCTTTTTTTTTGTGTTTTTTTTTTTCAATTCGACGGACATTGTTCAAATTGCACTGTTGCACGGTTGCGCTATTGAGCTGTTCCACCGTTGCGCTCTTGCGCCCTTGCGCCGTTGCGCCGTCGCGCCCTCGTGCCCTTGTGCCCTCGCGCCCTTGCGCCAACCCTGCATCCCCGCAGTCCACGCACGCGCCTTGGTCCACGCGCGCGCCTTGATCCACGCGCGCGCCTTGGTCCACGCATGCGCCTTGGTCCACGCGCGCGCCTTGGTCCACGCACGCGCACTGGTCCACGCGCGCGCCTTGGCCCACGCGCGCGCCTTGGTCCACGCGCGCGCCTTGATCCACGCGCGCGCCTTGGTCCACGCGCGCGCCTTGGTCCACGCGCGCGCCTTGGTCCACGCGCGCGCCTTGGTCCGGGCGCGCGCGCCTTGGTCCGCGCGCGCGCGCCTTGGTCCGGGCGCGCGCGCCTTGGTCCGCGCGCGCGCGCCTTGGTCCGGGCGCGCGCGCCTTGGTCCGCGCGCGCGCGCCTTGGTCCGGGCGCGCGCCTTAGTCCGGGCGCGCGCGTTGGTCCGGGCGCGCGCCTTGGTCTGGGCGCGCGCGCCTTGGTCCGGGTGCGCGCCCCTTGGTCCGAGCGCGCGCCTAAGTCCGGGCGCGCGCGCCTTGGTCCGCGCGCGCGCCTTGGTCCGCGCGCGCCCCTTGGTCCGCGCGCGCGCCTTGGTCCGGGCGCGCGCCTTGGTCCGGGCGCGCGCCTTGGTCCGGGCGCGCGCCTTGGTCCGGGCGCGCGCCTTGGTCCGCGCGCGCGCCTTGGTCCGGGCGCGCGCCTTGGTCCGGGCGCGCGCCTTGGTCCGCTCGCGCGCCTTGGTCCGCGCGCGCGCCTTGGTCCGCGCGCGCGCCTTGGTCCGGGCGCGCGCCTTGGTCCGGGCGCGCGCCTTGGTCCGGGCGCGCGCCTTGGTCCGGGCGCGCGCCTTGGTCCGGGCGCGCGCCTTGGTCAGCGCGCGCGCCTTGGTCCGGGCGCGCGCCTTGGTCCGCGCGCGCGCCTTGGTCCGGGCGCGCGCCTTGGTCCGGGCGCGCGCCTTGGTCCGGGCGCGCACGCCTTGGTCCGGGCGCGCGCCCCTTGGTCCGGGCGCGCGCCCCTTGGTCCGGGCGCGCGCGCCTTGGTCCGGGCGCGCGCGCCTTTGTCCGGGCGCGCGCGCCTTGGTCCGGGCGCGCGCGCCTTGGTCCGGGCGCGCGCCCCTTGGTCCGGGCGCGCGCGCCTTGGTCCGGGCGTGCGCCTTGGTCCGCGCGCGCGCCTTGGTCAGCGCGCGCGCCTTGGTCCGGGCGCGCGTCTTCGTCCGCGCGCGCGCGCCTTGGTTTGGGCGCGCGCCTTGGTCCGGGGGCGCGCCTTGGTCCGGGCGCGCGCGCCTTGGTCCGGGGGCGCGCCTTGGTCCGGGCGCGCGCCTTGGTCCGGGCGCGCCCCTTGGTCCGGGCGCGCCCCTTGGTCTGCGCGCGCGCCTTGGTCCGGGCGCGCGCCTTGGTCCGGGCGCGCGCCCCTTGGTCCGGGCGCGCGCGCCTTGGTCCGGGCGCGCGGGCCTTGGTCCGCGCGCGCGCGCCTTGGTCCGGGCGCGCGCGCCTTGGTCCGGGCGCGCGCCTTGGTCCACGCGCGCGCCTTGGTCCACGCGCGCGCCTTGGTCCGGGCGCGCGCCTTGGTCCGGGCGCGCGAGCCTTGGTCCGGGCGCGCGAGCCTTGGTCCGGGCGCGCGCGCCTTGGTCCGGGCGCGCGCCTTGGTCAGCGCGCGCGCCTTGGTCCGGGCGCGCGCCTTGGTCCGGGCGTGCGCCTTGGTCCGGGCGTGCTCCTTGGTCCGGGCGCGCGACTTGGTCCGGGCGCGCGCCTTGGTCCGGGCTCGCGCGCCTGGTCTGGGTGCGCGCCGTGGTCCGGGCGCGCGCCTTGGTCCGCGTCCGCGCCTTGGTCCGCGCGCGCGCCTTGGTCCGGGCGCGCGCCTTGGTCCGCGCGCGCGCCTTGGCCCGCGCGCGCGCCTTGGTCCGGGCGCGCGCCTTGGTCCGGGCGCGCGCCTTGGTCAGCGCGCGCACCTTGGTCCGGGCGCGCGCCTTGGTCCGCGCGCGGGCCTTGGTCCGGGCGCGCGCCTTGGTCCGGGCGCGCGCCTTGGTCCGGGCGCGCAAGCCTTGGTCCGGGCGCGCGCCCCTTGGTCCGGGCGCGCGCCCCTTGGTCCGGGCGTGCGCACCTTTGTCCGGGCGCGCGCGCCTTGGTCCGGGCGCGCGCGCCTTGGTCCGGGCGCGCGCGCCTTGGTCCGGGTGCGCGCCTTGGTCCGGGGGCGCGCGCCTTGGTCCGGGTGCGCGCCTTGGTCCGGGCGCGCGCCTTGGTCCGCGTCCGCGCCTTGGTCCGCGCGCGCGCCTTGGTCTGCGCGCGCGCCTTGGTCCGCGCGCGTGCCTTGGTCCGCGCGCGCGCCTTGGTCCGGGCGCGCACCTTCGTCCGCGCGCCGGGCGCTCGCCTTGGTCCGGGCGTCGCGTCTTGGTCCGGGCGCGCGCGTTGGTCCGGGCGCGCGCGTTGGTCCGGGCGCGCGCCTTGGTCCGGGCGCGCGCCTCGGTCCGCGCGCGCGCCTTGGTCCGGGCGCGCGCCTTGGTCCGGGCGCGCGCCTTGGTCAGCGCGCGCACCTTGGTCCGGGCGCGCGCCTTGGTCCGCGCGCGCGCCTTGGTCCGGGCGCGCGCCTTGGTCCGGGCGCGCGCCTTGGTCCGGGCGCGCACGCCTTGGTCCGGGCGCGCGCCCCTTGGTCCGGGCGCGCGCCCCTTGGTCCGGGCGTGCGCACCTTTGTCCGGGCGCGCGCGCCTTGGTCCGGGCGCGCGCGCCTTGGTCCGGGCGCGCGCGCCTTGGTCCGGGTGCGCGCCTTGGTCCGGGGGCGCGCGCCTTGGTCCGGGTGCGCGCCTTGGTCCGGGCGCGCGCCTTGGTCCGCGTCCGCGCCTTGGTCCGCGCGCGCGCCTTGGTCTGCGCGCGCGCCTTGGTCCGCGCGCGCGCCTTGGTCCGGGCGCGCACCTTCGTCCGCGCGCCGGGCGCTCGCCTTGGTCCGGGCGTCGCGTCTTGGTCCGGGCGCGCGCGTTGGTCCGGGCGCGCGCGTTGGTCCGGGCGCGCGCCTTGGTCCGGGCGCGCGCCTCGGTCCGGGCGCGCGCGCCTTGGTCCGGGCGCGCGCCTTGGTCCGGGGGCGCGCCTTGGTCCGGGCGCGCGCCTTGGTCCGGGCGCGCCCCTTGGTCTGCGCGCGCGCCTTGGTCCGGGCGCCCGCCTTGGTCCGGGCGCGCGCCCCTTGGTCCGGGCGCGCGCGCCTTAGTCCGGGCGCGCGGGCCTTGGTCCGCGCGCGCGCGCCTTGGTCCGGGCGCGCGCGCCTTGGTCCGGGCGCACGCCTTGGTCCACGCGCGCGCCTTGGTCCACGCGCGCGCCTTGGTCCGGGCGCGCGCCTTGGTCCGGGCGCGCGAGCCTTGGTCCGGGCGCGCGAGCCTTGGTCCGGGCGCGCGCGCCTTGGTCCGGGCGCGCGCCTTGGTCAGCGCGCGCGCCTTGGTCCGGGCGCGCGCCTTGGTCCGGGCGCGCGCCTTGGTCCGGGCGTGCGCCTTGGTCCGGGTGCGCGCCTTGGTCCGGGGGCGCGCGCCTTGGTCCGGGCGCGCGACTTGGTCCGGGCGCGCGCCTTGGTCCGGGCGCGCGCGCCTGGTCCGGGTGCGCGCCGTGGTCCGGGCGCGCGCCTTGGTCCGGGCGCGCGCCTTGGTCCGCGCGCGCGCCTTGGTTCGGGCGCGCGCCTTGGTCCGGGCGCGCGCCTTGGTCCGGGCGCGCGCCTTGGTCAGCGCGCGCGCCTTGGTCAGCGCGCGCGCCTTGGTCCGGGCGCGCGCCTTGGTCCGGGCGCGCGCCTTGGTCCGGGCGCGCGCCTTGGTCCGGGCGCGCGCCTTGGTCCGGGCGCGCACGCCTTGGTCCGGGCGCGCGCCCCTTGGTCCGGGCGCGCGCCCCTTGGTCCGGGCGTGCGCACCTTTGTCCGGGCGCGCGCGCCTTGGTCCGGGCGCGCGCGCCTTGGTCCGGGCGCGCGCGCCTTGGTCCGGGCGAGCGCGCCTTGGTCCGGGTGCGCGCCTTGGTCCGGGGGCGCGCGCCTTGGTCCGGGTGCGCGCCTTGGTCTGGGCGCGCGCCTTGGTCCGCGTCCGCGCCTTGGTCCGCGCGCGCGCCTTGGTCTGCGCGCGCGCCTTGGTCCGCGCGCGCGCCTTGGTCCGGGCGCGCACCTTCGTCCGCGCGCCGGGCGCTCGCCTTGGTCCGGGCGTCGCGTCTTGGTCCGGGCGCGCGCGTTGGTCCGGGCGCGCGCGTTGGTCCGGGCGCGCGCCTTGGTCCGGGCGCGCGCCTCGGTCCGGGCGCGCGCGCCTTGGTCCGGGCGCGCGCCTTGGTCCGGGCGCGCGCCTTGGTCCGGGCGCGCGCCTTGGTACGGGCGCGCCTTGGTCCAAGCGCGCGCCTTGGTCCGCGCGCGCGCCTTGGTCCGGGCGCGCGCGCCTTGGTCCGGGCGCGCGCCTTGGTCCGGGCGCGCGCCCCTTGGTCCGGGCGCGCGCGCCTTGGTCCGGGCGCGCGCCTTGGTCCGCGCGCGCGCCTGGGTCCGGGCGCGCGCCTTGGTCCGGGTGCGCGCCTTGGTCCGGGGGCGCGCGCCTTGGTCCGGGCGCGCGCCTTGGTCCGGGCGCGCGCCTTGGTCCGGGCGCGTGCGCCTTGGTCCGGGCGCGTGCGCCTTGGTCCGGGTGCGCGCCTTGGTCCGGGTGCGCGCCTTGGTCCGCGTCCGCGCCTTGGTCCGCGCGCGCGCCTTGGTCCGCGCGCGCGCCTTGGTCCGGGCGCGCGCCTTGGTCCGCGCGCCGGGCGCTCGCCTTGGTCTGGGCGTCGCGTCTTGGTCCGGGCGCGCGCGTTGGTCCGGGCGCGCGCCTCGATCCGGGCGCGCGCGCCTTGGTCCGGGCGCGCGCCTTGGTCCGCGCGCGCGCCTTGGTCCGGGCGCGCGCGCCTTGGTCCGGGCGCGCGCCTTGGTCCGGGCGCGCGCCTGGGTCCGGGCGCGCGCCTTGGTCCGCGCGCGCGCCTTGGTCCGGGCGTGCGCGCCTTGGTCCGGGCGCGCGCCCCTTGATCCGGGCGCGTGCGCCTTGGTCCGCGCGCGCGCGCCTTGGTCCGGGCGCGCGATCCTTGGTCCGGGCGCGCGCCTTGGTCCGGGCGCGCGCCTTGGTCCGGGCGCGCGCCTTGGTCCGGGTGCGCGCCTTGGTCCGGGGGCGCGCGCCTTGGTCCGGGTGCGCGCCTTGGTCCGGGCGCGCGCCTTGGTCCGGGCGCGCGCGCCCTGGTCCGGGTGCGCGCCTTGGTCCGGGCGCGCGCCTTGGTCCGCGTCCGCGCCTTGGTCCGCGCGCGCGCCTTGGTCCGCGCGCGCGCCTTGGTCCGGGCGCGCCCCTTGGTCTGCGCGCGCGCCTTGGTCCGGGCGCGCGCGCCTTGGTCCGGGCGCGCGCCCCTTGGTCCGGGCGCGCGCGCCTTGGTCCGGGCGCGCGGGCCTTGGTCCGCGCGCGCAGCGGCCTTGGTCCGGGCGCGCGCGCCTTGGTCCGGGCGCGCGCCTTGGTCCACGCGCGCGCCTTGGTCCACGCGCGCGCCTTGGTCCGGGCGCGCGCCTTGGTCCGGGCGCGCGAGCCTTGGTCCGGGCGCGCGAGCCTTGGTCCGGGCGCGCGCGCCTTGGTCCGGGCGCGCGCCTTGGTCAGCGCGCGCGCCTTGGTCCGGGCGCGCGCCTTGGTCCGGGCGTGCGCCTTGGTCCGGGCGTGCACCTTGGTCCGGGTGCGCGCCTTGGTCCGGGGGCGCGCGCCTTGGTCCGGGCGCGCGACTTGGTCCGGGCGCGCGCCTTGGTCCGGGCTCGCGCGCCTGGTCTGGGTGCGCGCCGTGGTCCGGGCGCGCGCCTTGGTCCGCGTCCGCGCCTTGGTCCGCGCGCGCAGCCTTGGTCCGGGCGCGCGCCTTGGTCCGCGCGCGCGCCTTGGTCCGCGCGCGCGCCTTGGTCCGGGCGCGCGCCTTGGTCCGGGCGCGCGCCTTGGTCCGGGCGCGCGCCTTGGTCAGCGCGCGCACCTTGGTCCGGGCGCGCGCCTTGGTCCGCGCGCAGCGCCTTGGTCCGGGCGCGCGCCTTGGTCCGGGCGCGCGCCTTGGTCCGGGCGCGCACAGGCCTTGGTCCGGGCGCGCGCCCCTTGGTCCGGGCGCGCGCCCCTTGGTCCGGGCGTGCGCACCTTTGTCCGGGCGCGCGCGCCTTGGTCCGGGCGCGCGCGCCTTGGTCCGGGCGCGCGCGCCTTGGTCCGGGTGCGCGCCTTGGTCCGGGGGCGCGCGCCTTGGTCCGGGTGCGCGCCTTGGTCCGGGCGCGCGCCTTGGTCCGCGTCCGCGCCTTGGTCCGCGCGCGCGCCTTGGTCTGCGCGCGCGCCTTGGTCCGCGCGCGCGCCTTGGTCCGGGCGCGCACCTTCGTCCGCGCGCCGGGCGCTCGCCTTGGTCCGGGCGTCGCGTCTTGGTCCGGGCGCGCGCGTTGGTCCGGGCGCGCGCGTTGGTCCGGGCGCGCGCCTTGGTCCGGGCGCGCGCCTCGGTCCGGGCGCGCGCAGCCTTGGTCCGGGCGCGCGCCTTGGTCCGGGGGCGCGCCTTGGTCCGGGCGCGCGCCTTGGTCCGGGCGCGCCCCTTGGTCTGCGCGCGCGCCTTGGTCCGGGCGCCCGCCTTGGTCCGGGCGCGCGCCCCTTGGTCCGGGCGCGCGCGCCTTGGTCCGGGCGCACGCCTTGGTCCACGCGCGCGCCTTGGTCCACGCGCGCGCCTTGGTCCGGGCGCGCGCCTTGGTCCGGGCGCGCGAGCCTTGGTCCGGGCGCGCGAGCCTTGGTCCGGGCGCGCGCGCCTTGGTCCGGGCGCGCGCCTTGGTCAGCGCGCGCGCCTTGGTCCGGGCGCGCGCCTTGGTCCGGGCGCGCGCCTTGGTCCGGGCGTGCGCCTTGGTCCGGGTGCGCGCCTTGGTCCGGGGGCGCGCGCCTTGGTCCGGGCGCGCGACTTGGTCCGGGCGCGCGCCTTGGTCCGGGCGCGCGCGCCTGGTCCGGGTGCGCGCCGTGGTCCGGGCGCGCGCCTTGGTCCGGGCGCGCGCCTTGGTCCGCGCGCAGCGCCTTGGTTCGGGCGCGCGCCTTGGTCCGGGCGCGCGCCTTGGTCCGGGCGCGCGCCTTGGTCAGCGCGCGCGCCTTGGTCAGCGCGCGCGCCTTGGTCCGGGCGCGCGCCTTGGTCCGGGCGCGCGCCTTGGTCCGGGCGCGCGCCTTGGTCCGGGCGCGCGCCTTGGTCCGGGCGCGCACGCCTTGGTCCGGGCGCGCGCCCCTTGGTTTGGGCGCGCGCCCCTTGGTCCGGGCGTGCGCACCTTTGTCCGGGCGCGCGCGCCTTGGTCCGGGCGCGCGCGCCTTGGTCCGGGCGAGCGCGCCTTGGTCCGGGTGCGCGCCTTGGTCCGGGGGCGCGCGCCTTGGTCCGGGTGCGCGCCTTGGTCTGGGCGCGCGCCTTGGTCCGCGTCCGCGCCTTGGTCCGCGCGCGCGCCTTGGTCTGCGCGCGCGCCTTGGTCCGCGCGCGCGCCTTGGTCCGGGCGCGCACCTTCGTCCGCGCGCCGGGCGCTCGCCTTGGTCCGGGCGTCGCGTCTTGGTCCGGGCGCGCGCGTTGGTCCGGGCGCGCGCGTTGGTCCGGGCGCGCGCCTTGGTCCGGGCGCGCGCCTCGGTCCGGGCGCGCGCGCCTTGGTCCGGGCGCGCGCCTTGGTCCGGGCGCGCGCCTTGGTCCGGGCGCGCGCCTTGGTACGGGCGCGCCTTGGTCCAAGCGCGCGCCTTGGTCCGCGCGCGCGCCTTGGTCCGGGCGCGCGCGCCTTGGTCCGGGCGCGCGCCTTGGTCCGGGCGCGCGCCTTGGTCCGGGTGCGCGCCTTGGTCCGGGGGCGCGCGCCTTGGTCCGGGTGCGCGCCTTGGTCCGGGCGCGCGCCTTGGTCCGCGTCCGCGCCTTGGTCCGCGCGCGCGCCTTGGTCTGCGCGCGCGCCTTGGTCCGCGCGCGCGCCTTGGTCCGGGCGCGCACCTTCGTCCGCGCGCCGGGCGCTCGCCTTGGTCCGGGCGTCGCGTCTTGGTCCGGGCGCGCGCGTTGGTCCGGGCGCGCGCGTTGGTCCGGGCGCGCGCCTTGGTCCGGGCGCGCGCCTCGGTCCGGGCGCGCGCGGCCTTGGTCCGGGCGCGCGCCTTGGTCCGGGGGCGCGCCTTGGTCCGGGCGCGCGCCTTGGTCCGGGCGCGCCCCTTGGTCTGCGCGCGCGCCTTGGTCCGGGCGCCCGCCTTGGTCTGGGCGCGCGCCCCTTGGTCCGGGCGCGCGCGCCTTAGTCCGGGCGCGCGGGCCTTGGTCCGCGCGCAGCGCGCCTTGGTCCGGGCGCGCGCAGCCTTGGTCCGGGCGCACGCCTTGGTCCACGCGCGCGCCTTGGTCCACGCGCGCGCCTTGGTCCGGGCGCGCGCCTTGGTCCGGGCGCGCGAGCCTTGGTCCGGGCGCGCGAGCCTTGGTCCGGGCGCGCGCGGCCTTGGTCCGGGCGCGCGCCTTGGTCAGCGCGCGCGCCTTGGTCCGGGCGCGCGCCTTGGTCCGGGCGCGCGCCTTGGTCCGGGCGTGCGCCTTGGTCCGGGTGCGCGCCTTGGTCCGGGGGCGCGCGCCTTGGTCCGGGCGCGCGACTTGGTCCGGGCGCGCGCCTTGGTCCGGGCGCGCGCGCCTGGTCCGGGTGCGCGCCGTGGTCCGGGCGCGCGCCTTGGTCCGGGCGCGCGCCTTGGTCCGCGCGCGCGCCTTGGTTCGGGCGCGCGCCTTGGTCCGGGCGCGCGCCTTGGTCCGGGCGCGCGCCTTGGTCAGCGCGCGCGCCTTGGTCAGCGCGTGCGCCTGGGTCCGGGCGCGCGCCTTGGTCCGGGCGCGCGCCTTGGTCCGGGCGCGCGCCTTGGTCCGGGCGCGCGCCTTGGTCCGGGCGCGCACGCCTTGGTCCGGGCGCGCGCCCCTTGGTCCGGGCGCGCGCCCCTTGGTCCGGGCGTGCGCACCTTTGTCCGGGCGCGCGCAGCCTTGGTCCGGGCGCGCGCGCCTTGGTCCGGGCGCGCGCGCCTTGGTCCGGGCGAGCGCGCCTTGGTCCGGGTGCGCGCCTTGGTCCGGGGGCGCGCGCCTTGGTCCGGGTGCGCGCCTTGGTCTGGGCGCGCGCCTTGGTCCGCGTCCGCGCCTTGGTCCGCGCGCGCGCCTTGGTCTGCGCGCGCGCCTTGGTCCGCGCGCGCGCCTTGGTCCGGGCGCGCACCTTCGTCCGCGCGCCGGGCGCTCGCCTTGGTCCGGGCGTCGCGTCTTGGTCCGGGCGCGCGCGTTGGTCCGGGCGCGCGCGTTGGTCCGGGCGCGCGCCTTGGTCCGGGCGCGCGCCTCGGTCCGGGCGCGCGCGCCTTGGTCCGGGCGCGCGCCTTGGTCCGGGCGCGCGCCTTGGTCCGGGCGCGCGCCTTGGTACGGGCGCGCCTTGGTCCAAGCGCGCGCCTTGGTCCGCGCGCAGCGCCTTGGTCCGGGCGCGCGCGCCTTGGTCCGGGCGCGCGCCTTGGTCCGGGCGCGCGCCTTGGTCCGGGCGCGCGCCCCTTGGTCCGGGCGCGCGCGCCTTGGTCCGGGCGCGCGCCTTGGTCCGCGCGCGCGCCTGGGTCCGGGCGCGCGCCTTGGTCCGGGTGCGCGCCTTGGTCCGGGGGCGCGCGCCTTGGTCCGGGCGCGCGCCTTGGTCCGGGCGCGCGCCTTGGTCCGGGCGCGTGCGCCTTGGTCCGGGCGCGTGCGCCTTGGTCCGGGTGCGCGCCTTGGTCCGGGTGCGCGCCTTGGTCCGCGTCCGCGCCTTGGTCCGCGCGCGCGCCTTGGTCCGCGCGCCGACTTGGTCCGGGCGCGCGCCTTGGTCCGCGCGCCGGGCGCTCGCCTTGGTCTGGGCGTCGCGTCTTGGTCCGGGCGCGCGCGTTGGTCCGGGCGCGCGCCTCAATCCGGGCGCGCGCGCCTTGGTCCGGGCGCGCGCCTTGGTCCGCGCGCGCGCCTTGGTCCGGGCGCGCGCGCCTTGGTCCGGGCGCGCGCCTTGGTCCGGGCGCGCGCCTGGGTCCGGGCGCGCGCCTTGGTCCGCGCGCGCGCCTTGGTCCGGGCGTGCGCGCCTTGGTCCGGGCGCGCGCCCCTTGATCCGGGCGCGTGCGCCTTGGTCCGGGCGCGCGCCTTGGTCCGGGCGCGCGCCTTGGTCCGGGTGCGCGCCTTGGTCCGGGGGCGCGCGCCTTGGTCCGGGTGCGCGCCTTGGTCCGGGCGCGCGCCTTGGTCCGGGCGCGCGCGCCTTGGTCCGGGTGCGCGCCTTGGTCCGGGCGCGCGCCTTGGTCCGCGTCCGCGCCTTGGTCCGCGCGCGCGCCTTGGTCCGCGCGCGCGCCTTGGTCCGGGCGCGCGCCTTGGTCCGCGCGCCGGGCGCTCGCCTTGGTCCGGGCGTCGCGTCTTGGTCTGGGCGCGCGCGTTGGTCCGCGCGCACGCGTTGGTCCGGGCGCGCGCCTTGGTCCGGGCGCGCGCCTCGGTCCGGGCGCGCGCGCCTTGGTCCGGGCGCGCGCCTTGGTCCGGGCGCGCGCCTTGGTCCGGGCGCGCGCCTTGGTCCGGGCGCGCGCCTTGGTTCGGGCGCGCCTTGGTCCAAGCGCGCGCCTTGGTCCGCGCGCGCGCCTTGGTCCGGGCGCGCGCGCCTTGGTCCGGGCGCGCGCGCCTTGGTCCCGGCGCGCTCCTTGGTCCGGGCGCGCGCCTTGGTCCGGGCGCGCGCCTTGGTCCGCGCGCGCGCCTTAGTCCGGGCGCGCGCGCCTTGATCCGGGCGCGCGCCCCTTGATCCGGGCACGCGCGCCTTGGTCCGCGCGCGCGCGCCTTGGTCCGGGCGCGCGCGCCTTGGTCCGGGCGCGCGCCTTGGTCCGGGCGCGCGCCTTGGTCCGGGCGCGCGCCTTGGTCCGCGCGCGCGCCTTGGTCCGCGCGCGCGCCTTGGTCCCGGGCGCGCGCCTTGGTCCGCGCGCGCGCCTTGGTCCGGCGCGCGCCTTGGTCCGCGCGCGCCTTGGTCCGCGCGCGCGCCTTGGTCCGGGCGCGCGCCTTGGTCCGGGCGCGCGCCTTGGTCCGGGGGCGCGCGCCTTGGTCCGGGCGCGCGCCTTGGTCCGGACGCGCCTTGGTCCAGGCGCGCGCCTTGGTCCGCGCGCGCAGCCTTAGTTCGGGCGCGCGCGCCTTGGTCCGGGCGCGCGCGCCTTGGTCCGGGCGCGCGCCTTGGTCCGGGCGCGGGCCTTGGTCCGGGCGCGCGCCTTGGTCCGGGCGCGCGCCTTGGTCCGGGCGCGCGCCCCTTGATCCGGGCGCGCGCTAGCCTTGGTCCGCGCGCGCAGCACCTTGGTCCGGACGCGGGAGCCTTGGTCCGGGCGCGCGCCTTGGTCCAGGCGCGCGCGCGCGCAGCGCGCCTTGGTCCGGGGGCGCGCCTTGGTCCGGGCGCGCGCGCCTTGGTCTGGGCGCGCGCGCCTTGGTCCGGGCGCGCGCGCCCTGTCCGGGCGCGCGCCTTGGTCCGCGCGCGCGCCTTGGTTTGCGCGCGCGCCTTGGTCCGGGCGCGCGTCTTGGTCCGGGCGCGCGCGCCTTGGTCCGGGCGCGCGTCTTGGTCCGGGCGCGCGCGCCTTGGTCCGGGCGCGCGCGCCTTGGTCCGGCCGCGCGCGCCTCGGTCCGCGCGCGCAGCGCCTTGGTCCGGGCGCGCGCCTTGGTCCGGGCGCGCGCACCTTGGTCCGGGCGCGCGCATTGGTCCGCGCGCATCGCCTTGGTCCGCGCACGCGCCTTGGTCAGAGCGCAGCGCGCCTTGGTCCGGGCGCGCGCCCCTTGATCCGGGCGCGCGCGCCTTGGTCCGCGCACGCGCACCTTGGTCCGGACGCGCGCGCCTTGGTCCGGGCGCGCGCCTTGGTCCGGGCGCGCGCCTTGGTCCGGGCGCGCGCCTTGGTCCGCGCGCGCGCCTTGGTCCGGGCGCGCGCCTTGGTCCGCGCGCGCGCCTTGGTCCGCGCGCAGCGCCTTGGTCCGCGCGCGCAGCCTTGGTCTGGGCGCGCGCCTTGGTCCGGGCGCGCGCCTTGGTCCGGGCGCGCTTCTTGGTCAGCGCGCGCGCCTTGGTCCGCGCGCGCCTTGGTCCGCGCGCGGCGCCTTGGTCCGCGCGCGCCCCTTGGTCCGGGCGCGCGCTGCCTTGGTCCGGGCGCGCCCCTTGGTCCGGGCGCGCGCGCCTTGGTCCGGGCGCGCGCCTTGGTCCGCGCGCGCGCCTTGGTCCGCGCGCGCGCCTTGGTCCGCGCGCGCGCCTTGGTCCGGGCGCGCGCCTTGGTCCGCGCGCGCCCCTTGGTCCGGGCGCGCGCGCCTTGGTCCGGGCGCGCCCCTTGGTCCGGGCGCGCGCGCCTTGGTCCGGGCGCGCGCCTTGGTCCGCGCGCGCGCCTTGGTCCGCGCGCGCGCCTTGGTTTGCGCGCGCGCCTTGGTCCGGGCGCGCGTCTTGGTCCGGGCGCGCGCGCCTTGGTCCGGGCGCGCGTCTTGGTCCGGGCGCGCGCGCCTTGGTCCGGGCGCGCGCGCCTTGGTCCGGCCGCGCGCGCCTCGGTCCGCGCGCGCGCGCCTTGGTCCGGGCGCGCGCCTTGGTCCGGGCGCGCGCACCTTGGTCCGGGCGCGCGCATTGGTCCGCGCGCTCGCCTTGGTCCGCGCACAGCGCCTTGGTCAGAGCGCGCGCGCCTTGGTCCGGGCGCGCGCCCCTTGATCCGGGCGCGCGCGCCTTGGTCCGCGCACGCGCACCTTGGTCCGGACGCGCGCGCCTTGGTCCGGGCGCGCGCCTTGGTCCGGGCGCGCGCCTTGGTCCGGGCGCGCGCCTTGGTCCGCGCGCGCGCGCCTTGGTCCGGGCGCGCGCCTTGGTCCGCGCGCGCGCCTTGGTCCGCGCGCGCGCCTTGGTCCGCGCGCGCGCCTTGGTCTGGGCGCGCGCCTTGGTCCGGGCGCGCGCCTTGGTCCGGGCGCGCTTCTTGGTCAGCGCGCGCGCCTTGGTCCGGGCGCGCGCCTTGGTCCGGGCGCGCGCGCCTTGGTCCGGGCGCGCGCAGGGCCTTGGTCCGGGCGCGCGCGCTGCCGCCCCTTGGTCCGGGCGCGCGCCCCTTGATCCGGGCGCGCGCGCCTTGGTCTGCGCGCGCGCACTTTAGTCCGGACGCGCGCGCCTTGGTCCGGGCGCGCGCCTTGGTCCGGGCGCGCGCCTTGGTCCGGGCGCGCGCCTTGGTCCGGGCGCGCGCCTTGGTCCGGGCGCGCGCCTTGGTCCGCGCGCGCGCCTTGGTCCGGGCGCGCGCCTTGGTCCGGGCGCGCGCCTTGGTCCGCGCGCGCGCCTTGGTCCGCGCGCAACGCCTTGGTCCGGGCGCGCGCCTTGGTCCGGGCGCGCGCCTTGGTCCGGGCGCGCGCCTTGGTCCGGGCGCGCGCCTTGGTCCGGGCGCGCGCCTTGGTCCAGGCGCGCGCCTTGGTCCGGGGGCGCGCGCCTTGGTCCGGGGGCGCGCGCCTTGGTCCGCGCGCGCGCCTTGGTCCGCGCGCGCGCGCCTTCGTCGGCGCGCCTTGGTCCGGGCGCGCGCCTTGGTCCGGGCGCGCGCCTTGGTCAGCGCGCGCACCTTGGTCCGGGCGCGCGCCTTGGTCCGCAGCGCGCGCCTTGGTCCGGGCGCGCGCCTTGGTCCGGGCGTGCGCCTTGGTCCGGGCGCGCACGCCTTGGTCCGGGCGCGCGCCCCTTGGTCCGGGCGCGCGCCCCTTGGTCCGGGCGTGCGCACCTTTGTCCGGGCGCGCGCGCCTTGGTCCGGGCGCGCGCGCCTTGGTCCGGGCGCGCGCAGCCTTGGTCCGGGTGAGCGCCTTGGTCCGGGGGCGCGCGCCTTGGTCCGGGTGCGCGCCTTGGTCCGGGCGCGCGCCTTGGTCCGCGTCCGCGCCTTGGTCCGCGCGCGCGCCTTGGTCTGCGCGCGCGCCTTGGTCCGGGCGCGCACCTTCGTCCGCGCGCCGGGCGCTCGCCTTGGTCCGGGCGTCGCGTCTTGGTCCGGGCGCGCGCGTTGGTCCGGGTGCGCGCGTTGGTCCGGGCGCGCGCCTTGGTCCGGGCGCGCGCCTCGGTCCGGGCGCGCGCGGCCTTGGTCCGGGCGCGCGCCTTGGTCCGGGGGCGCGCGCCTTGGTCCGGGCGCGCGCCTTGGTCCGGGCGCGCGCGTTGGTCCGGGCGCGCGCGTTGGTCCGGGCGCGCGCGTTGGTCCGGGCGCGCGCGTTGGTCCGGGCGCGCGCCTTGGTCCGGGCGCGCGCGCCTTGGTCCGGGCGCGCGCGCCTTGGTCCGGGCGCGCGCCTTGGTCCGCGTCCGCGCCTTGGTCCGCGCGCGCGCCTTGGTCTGCGCGCGCGCCTTGGTCCGCGCGCGCGCCTTGGTCCGGGCGCGCGCCTTGGTCCGCGCGCCGGGCGCTCGCCTTGGTCCGGGCGTCGCGTCTTGGTCTGGGCGCGCGCGTTGGTCCGGGCGCACGCGTTGGTCCGGGCGCGCGCCTTGGTCCGGGCGCGCGCCTTGGTCCGGGCGCGCGCCTTGGTCCGGGCGCGCGCCTTGGTTCGGGCGCGCCTTGGTCCAAGCGCGCGCCTTGGTCCGCGCGCGGCGCCTTGGTCCGGGCGCGCGCGCCTTGGTCCGGGCGCGCGCGCCTTGGTCCCCGGCGCGCGCCTTGGTCCGGGCGCGCGCCTTGGTCCGGGCGCGCGCCTTGGTCCGCGCGCGCGCCTTAGTCCGGGCGCGCGCGCCTTGGTCCGGGCGCGCGCCCCTTGATCCGGGCACGCGCGCCTTGGTCCGCGCGCGCAGGCGCCTTGGTCCGGGCGCGCGCGCCTTGGTCCGGGCGCGCGCCTTGGTCCGGGCGCGCGCCTTGGTCCGCGCGCGCGCCTTGGTCCGGGCGCGCGCCTTGGTCCGGGCGCGCGCCTTGGTCCGGGCGCGCGCCTTGGTCCGCGCGCACGCCTTGGTCCGGGCGCGCGCCTTGGTCCGCGCGCGCGCCTTGGTCCGGGCGCGCGCCTTGGTCCGGGCGCGCGCCTTGGTCCGGGGGCGCGCGCCTTGGTCCGGGCGCGCGCCTTGGTCCGGACGCGCCTTGGTCCAGGCGTGCGCCTTGGTCCGCGCGCGCGCCTTAGTCCGGGCGCGCGCGCCTTGGTCCGGGCGCGCGCGCCTTGGTCCGGGCGCGCGCCTTGGTCCGGGCGCGGGCCTTGGTCCGGGCGCGCGCCTTGGTCCGGGCGCGCGCCTTGTCCGGGCGCGCGCCCCTTGATCCGGGCGCGCGCGCCTTGGTCCGCGCGCGCGCACCTTGGTCCGGACGCGGGAGCCTTGGTCCGGGCGCGCGCCTTGGTCCGGGCGCGCGCCTTGGTCCGGGCGCGCGCCTTGGTCCGCGCGCGCGCCTTGGTCCGGGGGCGCGCCTTGGTCCGGGCGCGCGCAGCCTTGGTCTGGGCGCGCGCGCCTTGGTCCGGGCGCGCGCGCCCTGTCCGGGCGCGCGCCTTGGTCCGCGCGCGCGCCTTGGTTTGCGCGCGCGCCTTGGTCCGCGCGCGCGCCTTGGTCCGGGCGCGCGTCTTGGTCCGGGCGCGCGCGCCTTGGTCCGGGCGCGCGTCTTGGTCCGGGCGCGCGCGCCTTGGTCCGGGCGCGCGCGCCTTGGTCCGGGCGCGCGCGCCTTGGTCCGGCCGCGCGCGGCCTTGGTCCGCGCGCGCGCGCCTTGGTCCGGGCGCGCGCCTTGGTCCGGGCGCGCGCACCTTGGTCCGGGCGCGCGCATTGGTCCGCCGCGCTCGCCTTGGTCCGCGCACTAGCGCCTTGGTCCGAGCGCGCGCGCCTTGGTCCGGGCGCGCGCCCCTTGATCCGGGCGCGCGCGCCTTGGTCCGCGCGCGCGCACCTTGGTCCGGACGCGCGCGAGCCTTGGTCCGGGCGCGCGCCTTGGTCCGGGCGCGCGCCTTGGTCCGGGCGCGCGCCTTGGTCCGGGCGCGCGCCTTGGTCCGCGCGCGCGCCTTGGTCCGCGCGCGCGCCTTGGTCCGGGGGCGCGCCTTGGTCCGGGCGCGCGCGCCTTGGTCTGGGCGCGCGCGCCTTGGTCCGGGCGCGCGCGCCCTGTCCGGGCGCGCGCCTTGGTCCGCGCGCAGCGCCTTGGTTTGCGCGCGCGCCTTGGTCCGCGCGCAGGCGCCTTGGTCCGGGCGCGCGTCTTGGTCCGGGCGCGCGCAGCCTTGGTCCGGGCGCGCGTCTTGGTCCGGGCGCGCGCGCCTTGGTCCGGGCGCGCGCGCCTTGGTCCGGGCGCGCGCGCCTTGGTCCGGCCGCGCGCGCCTTGGTCCGCGCGCGCGCGGCCTTGGTCCGGGCGCGCGCCTTGGTCCGGGCGCGCGCACCTTGGTCCGGGCGCGCGCATTGGTCCGCGCGCTTCGCCTTGGTCCGCGCACGCGCCTTGGTCCGAGCGCGCGCGCCTTGGTCCGGGCGCGCGCCCCTTGATCCGGGCGCGCGCAGCCTTGGTCCGCGCGCGCGCACCTTGGTCCGGACGCGCGCAGCCTTGGTCCGGGCGCGCGCCTTGGTCCGGGCGCGCGCCTTGGTCCGGGCGCGCGCCTTGGTCCGGGCGCGCGCCTTGGTCCGCGCGCGCGCCTTGGTCCGGGCGCGCGCCTTGGTCCGCGCGCGCGCGCCTTGGTCCGGGCGCGCGCCTTGGTCCGGGCGCGCGCCTTGGTCCGGGCGCGCTTCTTGGTCAGCGCGCGCGCCTTGGTCCGGGCGCGCGCCTTGGTCCGGGCGCGCGCGCCTTGGTCCGGGCGCGCGCGCCTTGGTCCGGGCGCGCGCGCCTTGGTCCGGGCGCGCGCCCCTTGATCCGGGCGCGCGCGGCCTTGGTCCGCGCGCGCGCACCTTAGTCCGGACGCGCGCGCCTTGGTCCGGGCGCGCGCCTTGGTCCGGGCGCGCGCCTTGGTCCGGGCGCGCGCCTTGGTCCGGGCGCGCGCCTTGGTCCGGGCGCGCGCCTTGGTCCGCGCGCGCGCCTTGGTCCGGGCGCGCGCCTTGGTCCGGGCGCGCGCCTTGGTCCGCGCGCGCGCCTTGGTCCGCGCGCACGCCTTGGTCCGGGCGCGCGCCTTGGTCCGGGCGCGCGCCTTGGTCCGGGCGCGCGCCTTGGTCCGGGCGCGCGCCTTGGTCCAGGCGCGCGCCTTGGTCCGGGGGCGCGCGCCTTGGTCCCGCGCGCGCGCCTTGGTCCGCGCGCGCGCGCCTTGGTCGGCGCGCCTTGGTCCGGGCGCGCGCCTTGGTCCGCGCGCAGCGCCTTGGTCCGCGCGCGCGCCTTGGTCCGCGCGCGCGCCTTGGTCCGGGCGCGCGCCTTGGTCCGCGCGCGCGCCTTGGTCCGCGCGCGCGCCTTGGTCCGCGCGCGCGCCTTGGTCCGGGCGCGCGCCTTGGTCCGGGCGCGCGCCTTGGTCCGCGCGCGCGCCTTGGTCCGGGCGCGCGCCTTGGTCCGGGCGCACGCGCCTTGGTCCGGGCGCGCGCGCCTGCGCCTTGGTCCGGGCGCGCGCCTTGGTCCGCGCGCGCGCCCTGGTCCGCGCGCGCGCCTTGGTCCGCGCGCGCGGCCTTGGTCCGGGCGCGCGCCTTGGTCCGGGCGCGCGCCTTGGTCGGGGCGCGCGCCTTGGTCCGGGCGCGCGCCTTGGTCCGGGCGCGCGCCTTGGTCCGGGCGCGCGCCTTGGTCCGCGCGCGCGTATTGGTCCGCGCGCGCGCCTTGGTCCGGGCGCGCGCCCCTTGGTCCGGGCGCGCGCGCCTTGGTCCGGGCGCGCGCCTTGGTCGGGGCGCGCGCCTTGGTCCGGGCGCGCGCGCCTTGGTCCGGGCGCGCGCCTTGGTCCGCGCGCGCGCGCCTTGGTCCGCGCGCGCGCCTTGGTCCGCGCGCGCGCCCTGGTCCGGGCGCGCGCCTTGGTCCGGGCGCGCGCCTTGGTCGGGGCGCGCGCCTTGGTCCGGGCGCGCGCCTTGGTCCGGGCGCGCGCCTTGGTCCGGGCGAGCGCCTTGGTCCGCGCGCGCGTATTGGTCCGCGCGCGCGCCTTGGTCCGGGCGCGCGCCCCTTGGTCCGGGCGCGCGCGCCTTGGTCCGGGCGCGCGCCTTGGTCGGGGGCGCGCGCCTTGGTCCGGGCGCGCGCGCCTTGGTCCGGGCGCGCGCCTTGGTCCGCGCGCGCGCGCCTTGGTCCGCGCGCGCGCCTTGGTCCGCGCGCGCAGCCTTGGTCCGGGCGCGCGCCTTGGTCCGGGCGCGCGCCTTGGTCGGGGCGCGCGCCTTGGTCCGGGCGCGCGCCTTGGTCCGGGCGCGCGCCTTGGTCCGGGCGCGCGCCTTGGTCCGCGCGCGCGTATTGGTCCGCGCGCGCGCCTTGGTCCGCGCGCGCGCCTTGGTCCGCGGCGCGGCGCCTTGGTCCGGGCGCGCGCCTTGGTCCGGGCGCGCGCGCCTTGGTCCGGGCGCGCGCGCCTTGGTCCGGGCGCGCGCGCCTTGGTCCGCGCGCGCGCCCCTTGATCCGGGCGCGCGCGCCTTGGTCCGCGCGCGCGCACCTTAGTCCGGACGCGCGAGCCTTGGTCGGGCGCGCCTTGGTCCGGGCGCGCGCCTTGGTCCGGGCGCGCGCCTTGGTCCGGGCGCGCGCCTTGGTCCGGGCGCGCGCCTTGGTCCGGCGCGCGCGCCTTGGTCCGGGCGCGCGCCTTGGTCCGGCGCGCGCCTTGGTCCGCGCGCGCGCCTTGGTCCGCGCGCACGCCTTGGTCCCGGGCGCGCGCCTTGGTCCGGCGCGCGCCTTGGTCCGGGCGCGCGCCTTGGTCCCGGGCGCGCGCCTTGGTCCAGGCGCGCGCCTTGGTCCGGGGGCGCGCGCCTTGGTCCGCGCGCGCGCGAGGCCTTGGTCGGCGCGCCTTGGTCCCGGGCGCGCGCCTTGGTCCGCGCGCGGCGCCTTGGTTAGCGCGCGCGCCTTGGTCCGGGCGCGCGCCTTGGTCCGCGCGCGCGCCTTGGTCCGCGCGCGCGCCTTGGTCCGGGCGCGCGCCTTGGTCCGGGCGCGCGCCTTGGTCCGCGCGCGCGCCTTGGTCCGGGCGCGCGCCTTGGTCCGGGCGCACGCGCCTTGGTCCGGGCGCGCGCGCCTGCGCCTTGGTCCGGGCGCGCGCCTTGGTCCGCGCGCAGCGCCTTGGTCCGCGCGCAGCGCCTTGGTCCGGGGGCGCGCCTTGGTCCGGGCGCGCGCGCCTTGGTCTGGGCGCGCGCGCCTTGGTCCGGGCGCGCGCCTTGGTCCGCGTGCGCGCCTTGGTTTGCGCGCGCGCCTTGGTCCGCGCGCGCGCCTTGGTCCGGGCGCGCGTCTTGGTCCGGGCGCGCGCGCCTTGGTCCGGGCGCGCGTCTTGGTCCGGGCGCGCGCGCCTTGGTCCGGGCGCGCGCGCCTTGGTCCGGGCGCGCGCGCCTTGGTCCGGCCGCGCGCAGCCTTGGTCCGCGCGCGCAGCGCCTTGGTCCGGGCGCGCGCCTTGGTCCGGGCGCGCGCCACCTTGGTCCGGGCGCGCGCATTGGTCCGCGCGCATCGCCTTGGTCCGCGCACAGGCGCCTTGGTCCGAGCGCGCGCGCCTTGGTCCGGGCGCGCGCCCCTTGATCCGGGCGCGCGCGCCTTGGTCCGCGCGCGCGCGCACCTTGGTCCGGACGCGCGCGCCTTGGTCCGGGCGCGCGCCTTGGTCCGGGCGCGCGCCTTGGTCCGGGCGCGCGCCTTGGTCCGGGCGCGCGCCTTGGTCCGCGCGCGCAGGCCTTGGTCCGGGCGCGCGCCTTGGTCCGCGCGCGCAGCGCCTTGGTCCGGGCGCGCGCCTTGGTCCGGGCGCGCGCCTTGGTCCGGGCGCGCTTCTTGGTCAGCGCGCGCGAGGCCTTGGTCCGGGCGCGCGCCTTGGTCCGGGCGCGCGCGGCCTTGGTCCGGGGCGCGCGCGCCTTGGTCCGGGCGCGCGCGCCTTGGTCCGGGCGCACGCCCCTTGATCCGGGCGCGCGCAGCCTTGGTCCGCGCGCGCGCACCTTAGTCCGGACGCGCGCAGCCTTGGGTCCGGGCGCGCGCCTTGGTCCGGGCGCGCGCCTTGGTCCGGGCGCGCGCCTTGGTCCGGGCGCGCGCCTTGGTCCGCGCGCGCGCCTTGGTCCGGGCGCGCGCCTTGGTCCGCGCGCGCGCCTTGGTCCGCGCGCGCGCCTTGGTCCGCGCGCACGCCTTGGTCCGGGCGCGCGCCTTGGTCCGGGCGCGCGCCTTGGTCCGGGCGCGCGCCTTGGTCCGGGCGCGCGCCTTGGTCCAGGCGCGCGCCTTGGTCCGGGGGCGCGCGCCTTGGTCCGCGCGCGCAGGCCTTGGTCCGCGCGCGCAGGCGCCTTGGTCGGCGCGCCTTGGTCCGGGCGCGCGCCTTGGTCCGCGCGCGCGCCTTGGTCCGCGCGCGCAGCCTTGGTTAGCGCGCGCGCCTTGGTCCGGGCGCGCGCCTTGGTCCGCGCGCGCGCCTTGGTCCGCGCGCAGCGCCTTGGTCCGGGCGCGCGCCTTGGTCCGGGCGCGCGCCTTGGTCGGGGCGCGCGCCTTGGTCCGGGCGCGCGCCTTGGTCCGGGCGCGCGCCTTGGTCCGGGCGCGCGCCTTGGTCCGCGCGCAGCGGCGTATTGGTCCGCGCGCGCGCCTTGGTCCGGGCGCGCGCCCCTTGGTCCGGGCGCGCGCGCCTTGGTCCGGGCGCGCGCCTTGGTCGGGGCGCGCGCCTTGGTCCGGGCGCGCGCGGCCTTGGTCCGGGCGCGCGCCTTGGTCCGCGCGCAGGCGCCTTGGTCCGCGCGCGCGCCTTGGTCCGCGCAGCGCGCGCCTTGGTCCGGGCGCGCGCCTTGGTCCGGGCGCGCGCCTTGGTCGGGGGCGCGCGCCTTGGTCCGGGCGCGCGCCTTGGTCCGGGCGCGCGCCTTGGTCCGCGCGCAGCGCCTTGGTCCGCGCGCGCGTATTGGTCCGCGCGCGGCGCCTTGGTCCCGCGCGCGCGCCTTGGTCCGCGCGCGCGCCTTGGTCCGGGCGCGCGCCTTGGTCCGGGCGCGCGCGCCTTGGTCCGGGCGCGCGCGCCTTGGTCCGGGCGCGCGCGCCTTGGTCCGGGCGCGCGCCCCTTGATCCGGGCGCGCGCGCCTTGGTCCGCGCGCGCGCACCTTAGTCCGGACGCGCGCAGCCTTGGTCCGGGGCGCGCGCCTTGGTCCGGGCGCGCGCCTTGGTCCGGGCGCGCGCCTTGGTCCGGGCGCGCGCCTTGGTCCGCGCGCAGCGCCTTGGTCCGGGCGCGCGCCTTGGTCCGGGCGCGCAGCCTTGGTCCGCGCGCGCGCCTTGGTCCGCGCGCACGCCTTGGTCCGGGCGCGCGCCTTGGTCCGGGCGCGCGCCTTGGTCCGGGCGCGCGCCTTGGTCCCGGGCGCGCGCCTTGGTCCAGGCGCGCGCCTTGGTCCGGGGGGCGCGCGCCTTGGTCCGCGCGCGCGCCTTGGTCCGCGCGCGCGCGCCTTGGTCGGCGCGCCTTGGTCCGGGCGCGCGCCTTGGTCCGCGCGCGCGCCTTGGTTACGCGCGCGCGCCTTGGTCCGGGCGCGCGCCTTGGTCCGCGCGCAGGCAGCCTTGGTCCGCGCGCGCGCCTTGGTCCGGGCGCGCGCCTTGGTCCCGGGCGCCGCGCCTTGGTCGGGGCGCGCGCCTTGGTCCCGGGCGCGCGCCTTGGTCCGGGCGCGCGCCTTGGTCCGGGCGCCGCGCCTTGGTCCGCGCAGCAAGCGTATTGGTCCGCGCGCGCGCCTTGGTCCGGGCCGCGCGGCCCCTTGGTCCGGGCGCGCGCGCCTTGGTCCGGGCGCGCGCCTTGGTCGGGGGCGCGCGCCTTGGTCCGGGCGCGCGCGCCTTGGTCCCGGGGCGCGCGCCTTGGTCCCGCGCGCGCGCCTTGGTCCGCGCGCTGCGCCTTGGTCCGCGCGATGCGCCTTGGTCCGGGCGCGCAGCCTTGGTCCGGGCGCGCGCCTTGATCGGGGCGCGCGCCTTGGTCCGGGCGCGCCGCCTTGGTCCGGGCGCGCGCCTTGGTCCGCGCGCGGCGCCTTGGTCCGCGCGCTGCGTATTGGTCCGCGCGCGCGCCTTGGTCCGCGCGCGCGCCTTGGTCCGCGCGCGGCGCCTTGGTCCGGGCGCGCGCCTTGGTCCGGGCGCGCGCGCCTTGGTCCGGGCGCGCGCCGCCTTGGTCCGGGCGCGCGCGCCTTGGTCCGGGCGCGCGCCCCTTGATCCGGGCGCGCGCAGCCTTGGTCCGCGCGCGCGCACCTTAGTCCGGACGCGCGCAGCCTTGGTCCGGGCGCGCGCCTTGGTCCGGGCGCGCGCCTTGGTCCGGGCGCGCGCCTTGGTCCGGGCGCGCGCCTTGGTCCGCGCGGCGCGCCTTGGTCCGGGCGCGCGCCTTGGTCCCGGGCGCGCGCCTTGGTCCGCGCGCGCGCGCCTTGGTCCGCGCGCGCAGCCTTGGTCCGGGCGCGCGCCTTGGTCCGGGCGGCGCGCCTTGGTCCGGGGCGCGCGCCTTGGGTCCCGGGCGCGCGCCTTGTCCAGGCGCGCGCCTTGGTCCGGGGGAGCGCGGCCTTGGTCCGCGCGCGCTGCGCCTTGGTCGGCGCGCCTTGGTCCGGGCGCGCGCCTTGGTCCGCGCGCTGCGGCCTGGTTAGCGCGCGCAGCGCCTTGGGTCCGGGCGCGCGCCTTGGTCCGCGCGCGCGCCTTGGTCCGCGCGCGCAGCCTTGGTCCCGGGCGCGCGCCTTGGTCCGCAGCGCGCGCCTTGGTCCGGGCGCGCGCCTTGGTCCGGGCGCACGCGCCTTGGTCCGGGCGCGCGCGCCTGCGCCTTGGTCCGGGCGCGCGCCTTGGTCCGCTGCGCGCGCCTTGGTCCGGGCGCGCGCCTTGGTCCGGGCGCGCGCCTTGGTCGGGGCGCGCGCCTTGGTCCGGGCGCGCGCCTTGGTCCGGGCGCGCGCCTTGGTCCGGGCGCGGCGCCTTGGTCCCGCGCGCGCGTATTGGTCCGCGCGCGCGCCTTGGTCCCGCGCGCGCGCCTTGGTCCGGGCCGCGGCGCCCCTTGGTCCGGGCGCGCGCGCCTTGGTCCGGGCGCGCGCCTTGGTCGGAGGCGCGCGCATTGGTCCGGGCGCGCGCGCCTTGGTCCGGGCGCGCGCCTTGGTCCGTGCGCGCGCCTTGGTCGGGGCGCGCGCCTTGGTCCGGGCGCCGCGCCCTTGGTCCGCGCGCGCCTTGGTCCGCGCGCGGCGTATTGGTCCGCGCGCGCGCCTTGGTCCGCGCCAGGCAATCGCCTTGGTCCGCGCGCGTGCCTTGGTCCGCGCGCGCGCCTTGGTCCGCGCGCGCGCCTTGGTCCGGGCGCGCGCCTTGGTCCGGGCGCGCGCCTTGGTCGGGGCGCGCGCCTTGGTCCGGGCGCGCGCCTTGGTCCGGGCGCGCGCCTTGGTCCGGGCGCGCGCCTTGGTCCGCGCGCGCGTATTGGTCCGCGCGCGCGCCTTGGTCCGCGCGCAGGCGCCTTGGTCCGCGCGCGCGCCTTGGTCCGGGCGCGCGCCTTGGTCCGCGCGCCGCCCCTTGGTCCGGGCGCGCGCAGCCTTGGTCCGGGCGCGCCCCTTGGTCCGGGCGCGCGCAGCCTTGGTCCGGGGCGCGCGCCTTGGTCCGCGCGCGCGCCTTGGTCCGCGCGCAGCGCCTTGGTCCGCGCGCAAAGCTGCCTTGGTCCGGGCGCGCGCCTTGGTCCGGGCGCGCGCCTTGGTCGGGGCGCGCGCCTTGGTCCGGGCGCGCGCCTTGGTCCGGGCGCGCGCCTTGGTCCGGGCGCGCGCCTTGGTCCCGCGCGCGCGTATTGGTCCCGCGCGCGCGCCTTGGTCCGCGCGCGCGCCTTGGTCCGCGCGCGCGCCTTGGTCCGGGCGCGCGCCCCTTGGTCCGGGCGCGCGCGGCCTTGGTCCGGGCGCGCGCGGCCTTGGTCCGCGCTCGCGCGCCTTGGTCTGGGCGCGCGCTGCCTTGGTCCGGCGCGCGCCTTGGTCCGGGCGCGCGCCTTGGTCAGCGCGCGCGCCTTGGTCCGGGTGCGCGCCTTGGTCCGGCGTGCGCCTTGGTCCGGGTGCGCGCGCCTTGGTCCGAGGGCGCGCGCCTTGGTCCGGCGCGCGCGCGCCTTGGTCCGGGCGCGCGCGCTTGGTCCGGGCGCGCGCGCCTTGGTCCCGGCGCGCGCCTTGGTCCGCGCGCGCGCCTTGGTGTGCGCGCGCGCGTTGGTCCGCGCGCGCGCCTTGGTCCGCGCGCGCGCCTTGGTCCGGGCGCGCGCCCTTGGTCCCGGTGCGCGCCTTGGTCCGCGCGCCGGGCGCTCGCCTTGGTCCGGGCGTCGCGTCTTGGTCCGGGCGCGCGCGTTGGTCCGGGCGCGCGCGTTGGTCCGGGCGCGCGCCTTGGTCCGGGCGCGCGCCTCGGTCCGGGCGCGCGCGCCTTGGTCGGCCCGCGCCTTGGTGCCGGGCGCGCGCCTTGGTCCGGGCGCGCGCCTTGGTCCGGGCGCGCCTTGGTCCAGGCGCGCACCTTGGTCCGCGCGCGCGGCC